GGGGTAGAGTACCCTATGTAAGACAATACTATCTAGGGGTTCGGGGGACACCTGTGTCCCCCTCCGCGTCTCCGACTTCGCAAATGCCCTGATGGAGGGTTGACCTCCACCAGTCCGCCGTTCCCGCCGGCCGTTTTAGGTGCGCAAGTCTTCCAATCTGCGGGACCGTTGCTGTGCGTTTCGTGAGGGTTGGTCTCCGGCGTAATGATGAGGATGATTCAAGTACTCGGGTCACCGTAGTAACCGGGTACAAAAGGAATGATGGAGGATGGGAGTAGATAAGTAATAGTTGTTTTGTAGGGTAGTCTTGCTGCGATGAACTCGTTGATTGATGCTCTGTGTTCTGGCCTTCTCCTCTGCAGCGAACTTTCCGCTGCTCCTGCCACTTGGGACGTTTAGGCGGCCCATTCTCCCTTCGTCGACGAGTGAGGGTGTGGGAGAGCGTCCTGCGCTCTTCGTTTCGTTGTTGTACATGTAGTATACAATTTTTGTTCATGTGTGGTCTGCGGAGGAACTGACTATCGTTTATCTTTATCAACTGGAGGGGGTACGTTACCAAATGTCGCACTTAAGCGGTTTGTGCTGTTCACGAAGCGTATTAGCGGGGCGCAGGCTTTCGGGTTGGAGAGTAGGTATGGTAGGGAGGATGCTTGACGGCGGAGAGTTGTGGTGAGGATGTGACGTGCGCGGGCATACTGGGGGCATGATAAAAGGAAGTGTAAAACTGTTTCTTCTTCGTCTTCGCAGTGTGGGCAGTAAGGGGTGGGGTGCTTGCCAATTCGATGCAGATGCTGATTCAAAGAGATATGTCTGGTCCGGAGCCATAAGAGTAGGCTGATGTGTCGTTTGGGAAGCTGTTTGGCCAGGGATACGAATGCGCCTCGGAGTATGTTGGGGTCTAGGCTGACAGTGCGTTCGTAACGGGGTGACTTTCGCCAGAACCTTTCCCATCGTTCGAACGATTCTTGTTTCTGCGCTTGCTTAAGCGCCGAGATACTGCAGGGTAGGACACCTTTGCGAAGGTATGGTGGGAGAAGCGCTCTAGGGACTGTTATCTCTTTTGTTCTTTGCAGCTCTCTTGGCCTCTTTGTCTACCGCTTCGTTCCCCTCGACGCCGTCGTGCCCTGATATCCACCTGACTGTGACTTTGAAGCTGCGATCTCGACTGGATTTCTTCAGACTTAGGATCAATCTGCGAAAGTGGATCAATTAAATAGTGTCCTGGCTTCGTCGAGAGCTTTTCACCGGATTTTATTGTCGCTTGGTTATCCACGAAGATTGAAGCTGGGAAGGTAATATCCTCTTCCATTGAGAGGAGTTGTGCCGCGAGTGTAAGTCCCACTGCCTCCGCTTCGTAGACCGTATGTTCGTCTAGAGACCCTAAATGGTACCTTAGTACTTTTGGCTGGGGTTGACCCGTTCGATATAACACTGCCGCTGCTCCCGCATTCCCTTCTATTCCTGACCCATCGCAATAAATTCTGATCTCATCTTTAACGTTTTCGTGATCGAGAATCGCTTGTTCCCTTGTTTCCGCGATTGCGATGTGATATGGGGTCGATGAGTTCGGGGGACGTCTGTTGTGAGTGATGGTCTCAATGGAGCTAACGTCTAGCTGGGTTGCGTGATATAGGTGATGGAGGGAGGATTTGTGACGTTTGACGTATCTACCGGCTGCTCTTCGTACTGGCTTATGCAAGGGGTGAGATGGTGGATGCGCTGCTAAGCGTAAGGCGGCCTGATAGCAGAGGTTCTGGAGGCGATGTTCGAGCGGGAGTAACTTCGCGTGGGCCTCTAGAGTGTCAGTTGCAGTGGTACGCATGGCTCCTGTAATACTTAACGCTGCGATACGTTGGACCCTTCTCAGACGCTTCGCGACTCCAATTGACCCTCGTTGTAGCGTGTCACTTGATCCTACGAATATTGGATGGAACCAAAGGTCCACGGCGTATAACATCTTGGGTAAGGCCACTGCTAAATACATCTGACGCATGAGTGAGAGTGGAACTCCAATGGAGGTAGAGGATAAGCGGCGTAGCTGAAAGACATAGGCGGTTCCCTTTGCTAATGCGTATGCTATGTGCGATTGCCATCGAAGCGCTTGGTCTAGTATCACACCGAGGAACCGGTGTGTGGACGCTGGGGTGATGGTGGTGCCTCTCGTTATCAATGGGGGCCTTTCCTTGATGGTGTTTCTTGAGAAGTCAACTAGCGCGAACTTAGATGTTTCAAATTTCGAGTTGTGATCCTTGGCCCAGTCGAAACCGCCCCCTGGACGTTCTAGCATATGTTTAAGAGTATCGTGTGTGTCGTGGAAAGAGCTGCCTATTGCGATGAATGCTGTGTCGTCAACGAATGCTAGAGTGCGTTCCTTCTTGCTATTATCTAGAGAAATGTCAACGAGGTCAGAATCATATATAACGTAGAGTATCATTGAAAGAGGGTCCCCCTGTCCTATTCCGTTCTGAATCGCGATCCAATCTGAGGTGTGCCCATCGAACTTGAGTTGTGTGCGCCGGCCTACTAATAGCCTTTCAGTGAAGGTAACAAGGGATTCTGGCAGGCGTCTAGATCTCATATTGTGCAATAAGCGGTCAGTAACTGCGTTTGGGAACGCTCCCTCAATATCAAGAAACAATGCTGATACTACTTTACCTTGACGCCACGCGTCCTTAATGGTTGCCTCGAGGAGATGCAATGAGTCCGTCGTCGATCTTCCGGGACGACCGCCGAAATGTGTGCTGGGGAGTAGGTCGTGGTGCTCGAGGAGATAGGTCATTTGGTCGGCAACTACCGCCGTTAAGAGTTTGCAAGTGGTGTTCAAAAGGGCTATGGGCCGATAAGCTTTGGTGATCGTGTAGTTTGCTTTGCCTGGTTTTCTCAAAACGACCGTGGTGAAGTCGCGCCATGGGGGGTGATATGTCTTGAGGGAGAAGACGGCTCTGAAGAGGTGAAGTAGGAAGGGTTTAAGTAACGCAGCACAGCGTATAAAGACGATGTTACAAATCCCGTCCGGTCCGGGTGCTTTGTAAGGACCTAGTTTCGCTATGTTTCTCGCTAACTGGGACTCGGTGATGGGTGCTGGCATTGGGACTGGTTCCGGGTACTCGGCGTCGATTGGGACTGAGGAGGTCTCTGGTGGTGGGGGGAAGAATGTTCGCGCTAGCGCCTCTCCTTTCTCCTCGTTGGTGCTGGCGGTCGTGCCGTCGGTGCATTTCAGTGTTGGGATTCTCGAAAGACCTCCATCTTCCGCTGTGGCTGTTAAATACTTGTTAGCTGTCCATACTTCGTTACCTGACAATTCTTCGAGCCATGTGATCCAATGGTCCTTCTTCGTGGTCTTGATTGCTTCTGAATATTGGTTCCTCTTAATGCGGTGTTCTTCATGACTTGGGTGGTTAGCGTTGTTGCGTGTTTTATAAGAAAGATGACTTAATTTCGCGACCTCTCTCCTCAGTATGGTTAAGTCCTTCGTCCACCAGCGTTTGGAGTGCGGATTCGGCTTCGATTTCGGGACGTGGCGTTCTATTGTGTTCTGGATGGCTTTCGTTAGAGCGTGGGCGGCTCGCTGGAACTCATCGTCAGTGGCGATAGGTTGAGCAGGTGGGATCTTCTCCAGTTCGGTTGAAAGATACTCGTTGAATTGTTCCCAGTCTGTTTCGCGGAAGTTGTGTTTTTCTTCTACTGATGCGCGCGGGACTTCCAATTCCAGAACACTTAGGATGGGGAGATGATCCGTGGCGGGGCCTCGAAGTGCTGGATTGGTGTTACAACTAATGAAGGAGTCGCTGGTATGGTCAGTACAGAAGACATTATCAGGCCTAGTCCAATTCTTCGAACTGGATGATTGGAGTGTCGGTAAGTCTTTCGGCAGGGCCATTACCATACCATAGTCGGCGATTAGGTCAAGGAGAGGTTGTGCCGCGTCGAGGTAGTGATTGGTGAAAAGTTGCGTGTTGCGGTCCTCGTCCCAGAGGGGGTGATGGCGGTTGAAATCTCCTAACCATATCATATGGTCGTTGGTGGTTGGACGTAGGTTTCTTATCTCTTGTTCTAGAAAGGTAGTTAGCGCTTCTTGAGTTTTCGTTAGTAAACAATCATTATAAATATTAAAGATCGTGCAGCGGCCGAATGGGCCTTGAAGTTGAATAACGACTACGTCCGGTGAGGGAAAGGCTATCTGCTGCCAGGAGTTGGTGTCTAAGGTCTTGGAGACGAGGATGACGGCTCGAGATGTGAGTTCAGGTGCGGAAAAGCGTGTGGTGGGGTAAATGGCGTGGAAGTGTGGCGATGATATTGTGTTTTTTAGTGAGTTGATATGCGGTTCTTGTAATGCTATAATATCCCAGTCCCTGGCGATTGGGCCGTTAAGAAGGGAGTGTTGCGCCAATAATGAGGTGTTTAAATTCTGTTGCCAGACTCTTATTCGGGTCGTGTTTTCACTGTGGTGTTCATTCATTGTTAGGGGATGGTGTGCGTTGGGTTCCGGGGCTTGATGGGGATGGAGTTGTTGTGGTCGTCTTGGGAGGGTGAGTTGGAGTTGATGGGGTTTGAGTCGTGTCAGTTAGTGTTGGCGGTCCTGTGTTAGCGTTCCCTTTTCCAGTGATGATTATCGAATTGGGGCCTGTGGGAGTAAACGATCGGGTTCCTCTTTGATTAACGTGATGTGGGGCTCCTCTCATATGGTGCGTTCCTCTGGCTGGTCGTCTGGGTTCGAAGGGGATGTTGGTTTGGCGTAGGTTGGGGCGTGGAGGGTCCGCCGGGGGTGAGGGAGATGGTTTGTGATAGGGAGTAGGCTTCGGAGGCAACATTACCTGTGTCCATAGATTGTCAGTAGGGAAAAACGGCATAGAGTTTTCAGGGTGCTTAGCGTCAATCCCTGCGCATTTCGATTCGAATTCGGGGCAGTTTCTGTTCCAGCTTGCGTGTTCGTGTGAGTCGCAACTGACGCAGTAAAATGTTCGGTATGCGTTGCATTCATTGGTTCTGTGGTTTTTTCCGCAGGTGCCACAGGTGTCCCGTGGAGCTTGACAGTCTCTGGCTATGTGTCCCCATAGTTGACAGCGTACGCAGCGAACTGGCTCCCTTTTATCTTTACGTGGGTGGAGTTTCTCCTGTCCTATGTAAATGCCGTCTCTTAAGACGTTATTAGCCGAATGGGGGTCAGTAAAATGAAAGATGGCATGGGCTACACGCTGCGTTGGTGCTCGTCGTTGACGTGGTTTAATCCAATTTGCGGACTCTACTGCGCCCATTGACATACTATTTTCCACTTCGATTGTGCGTAGCCAGTCTGGTTCGTCCAGGTTGGCGGTGATGGGTAGAAAGGGTACTATAACTGAGAAGCGTCTTTCTTTGATGGTCGCTGGTATACCAATGGCATCGATAATTCTGAGTCTGTTGACCGGGTTTCTGATCCATTTTGCTGCCTCCGTGGTGGTTAGTTCGATGATGAGTCCTCCGTTGCGTAGACGAGTCGTGGCTTTGATCTGGATGTCTGGTGTGTCTTCTGTTTCGGTTGCTGTGATGGCCTTCTTAATTTCGGATGCTATTTCTGCTGATGTTATCTCGGGTGCGAATAATACTTTGCCTGGGGTCGGGTCGAATAGGATTTGTTTGTCCCTCGTTGCTGCTCTAGCGATTGCTGCTGAGACTGTTCCTGGGGTCTGAGTGCTTTGTTGAACTATTGCGCTGTATGTTTTCGGGAGTTCTGCTTGAGGGCTGGATGTCCGGTCCGCGTTGCTGATGAGATCCTGGGAAATCTGTTTGATGCTTGATTGCGTGGCGCTGATAGACGGGGTCAGTGATTCTATTGCTTTTTTAACATCGGTTATACTGTTCATAACCGCGTCGGCTGTCTGTTCGGCACGAGTGGCTGCTGCCATTGCCGATGGGTTTTCATTGGCATGTTTTGAGTTTACTTCAAGGGCGTTGTTGAGTTTCGCTAAATCGTCGATGTTTGATTTGAGAGACTCTGAGGCAGTGAGGATCGTGGCAATTTGAGGTGAGATAGCTGCGATGACGTGGGTTGACAAGGATGTTGTGAGGTCTGCGATGATTTGAGTCGATATTAAGGTTGAGAACGATTCGCTGATTTGATGGGTGGGTGATTCTGTTGGTGCTCCGCTGAGAAGGGCATCTTCTAGTAAGATTGCTACCGCTCGTAGTCCTTCGATCACGATGCGTGGTATACCTGTATATTGAGTGATGTGCAGAATGGTAAGAATTAGACTCTCGTTTGATATGGGTTCGCCGGATTGGCAAAATGGGGACTTCTCTAGGAATATGATACTGCTTTCTTTATCTTTTACATCGTATTCTTGATGCAAGATTTCATCTTTCGGTATTAAAAGGGATACCGTGTTTCGATGAGAAGCTCTGGTTCTATTGGTGGGAGTGGGGGCTCGGCTGGTTAAGTTTCCTCCCGTTTGCGTTGGTCGCGCTCTCCCTGAGGCCATTTCGTTGCTAGCAACTATAATGCAGACCTTCTAGGTTGGTCTGTCTGGTATTTGAAATGAGAAGCTTTGACGTCTGGGACGTCTAGAGCGCTGGTGAGCGCAGTGCTGGGAGCCGAAGTTTTCCGGGGTCCTAGCTGGGTGCCACTTGGTAACGGACCAAGAAGCGATAGTAGAATGTCCTAAAACCATCATACGTTCCATGAACTTCCATTAAAAAGAACTTGATGGGGCCTGATCTCTGGCTCATTAATAAGGACAAGAGGGTGCATCCATGATGTGAAATCCGTTTTCACCTCTCGAAGTAATGCAGACGGAGTATTCGGCAGACGACATCACAGCGGCTAGTGGTCTGCAGGTCTTATCGGTGCGTCGATTTCTTGTCAATACGAGGACCAGATAACAACAGATAAACTTACCATGTGCCACCAGTACCTATGCGGTGTGTAACAATTGAACTACTTCTTCCTTTTCTAACGTGACAGCTCAGTGTCGATGGCTACACTCTGGGTAGGCGTATCCCGATCTATTCCTGTCCGCTGTTAATTTCGCTCATCCAGATCTATGATTATGTTTGTTCACTTCACGGAGAGGTGATGCACTTGTTCCGTGGTCTACCTCGCTCCTGGTATTGATAACTGTTCAAAGTGGGCATTCCTGCTTCAGTCGCGCTGGAGCAAGGCAAAATGCCTTTATATCCTTGCACGAAATGTTCCCTTTGTCATCCTCACCATCGACCTATATCGTGCGTTCAGCTCCATCACACATTCTCTCGTTAATTAGTTGACATGTCGTGCTTCAGTGTACTTCACCCCGAACGAGAATCCCGATGTATGTGAACGTGCAGTGGACTTACCCACCCTGCTGACTCGGAATGATGCTTACTGCATGACTACCAGAAATGCCTAATGTTGATCAGCATTTACTCATGTACGTATACGGTACACGCTGCATGCACGTCCTTGCTGAGCGCTGCCCTTTCCCCTCGCAGGTTTCAGCTGCATATCAGTCTTTTGCTCCGAATGTATTCCCCCTTCCTCCGTGACATGCACTTGCTTCTTATTCGATTTTCCAGATATTTTTGTCCTTAGAACATACGCGCTCTGGAACAACAATAAGTATGTTCTGGCAGCCACAATATGTACCTCTATTGTGAGTTCCACGCCCTCAACACACCCAAGCTCATGGCTGATGAACCAGTCAGGCTTTCTTAGTGGCATCCATTTACATTGCTTTCACCACTGTTGACGCCTCTCAAGGTTCATGCTCTCACCTTCCCCTACTACTGTTCGTACATATTCACTCTCATTTTACAGTTATGACCAGCACGATCCCAGGCATCACAGGATGTTACCGGATCTCACGCAGTTTCAAACTCTCCACGCCGTTTCTTCTCTTATTTGTGTTTGAACTGGGTATGTCGCCGGGAAATGAGAGCATACATATACTAAAGGCGCACGCTGACCGACGCTCTCCTTAGGACTAATCTCCCTCACATTCATACGTGCCATGCAGAGCTGGCGGGCGGTCAACAGTCGTGTGTACACCGTCCTGGTGAAGCACAATATATTCTATTATGCATGCGGTTTGTGTAAGTCAGGACATAAATATATTTCTGTGCCCATCATGATAGCTTTTGTTCTGAAAGTTCTCGCGGCCGTGAACGTCCTCATGCCAACACTGTTTTCCCAAGTGCGTGTATCCCCAATACCCTCTATGATGGAGTTATTGATGTTCTGCACACACAGTACGCATACCACTCCGTCTTTGAAGAGTATGTGCCTCCAAATTCTACTGCGAATTCCTACTGACAACACCCCCGAAACTATGTAGCTTCCAGTTCTTTATCCTTGCTATCCTAGCCACGCGCATGCACCTCCATCTCTGGCATGTTGGTCAGGTCCAGGATACAGTTGATATATAGGACTGCATGTTCTGTCGCAGGCGTGTGCGTTTGGATGGCCTTCGTTAGTTCATTCAATATTTATGAGTGTCGAGTTTCCACTGTGAGCGACAGCGGACGGGTGTATAACAATCAGGATTCAGGATTGGCTTTCAAAATGGATGGTGCTAGAGCCAAACTTGAAGCACTGTCTGACTCAATGAGTACCATCGGCACCCCCAGAATTCGGCGGTCACGCAAATGTTTTTTGCAAGTTCACAGTGGTAGGTGCGCGTTTGCACCATAACACCGTTCGAGTCGAGAACATTACCTAGACAGAACGGAAAACCTGCGAAGTGAGAATCAAGGGAGTCGTGACCCCCTCTTGTGCATGAGGAATCAACTGCACCAGGAGCTACTGCGTCATTCTCGCCTTCTTACCCATTTCCTGCGTATGCAGAAAATACAGCCAGTAGAAGATGAGCCTTTTCGACCTTGACCACCCTACTGGATCTTATTCGATCCCCACATCGTTTATTATGAAGAATTCCACCATCATATGCACGCGTCGGGAACGCGAACAGCGCTGCCACCACACCCGAATGACGCAGGTAACCTTACCATTCCCGATGGGTGCTAGTCCCCGTGCGCCCCAGCCAGACACTATTACTGATATGTTCCCTGGCATGGTTCGAAATTTCTTGGTCATTTGACATCATTGCGCACTACCGTACTGGATGATGAAGTTCTTTCTAGGACTAGGTTTCAATGGAATATCCTCGCCTGCGATGACACCATTGCTCCCGTTGACCATGGTATCCTCTTCCTCGTCATCGAAGTTCATATCTTCACGCGCCCAGCGCAAGAGCATGGTTTCACCAACGCGAAAGCGATTTGGTTTCAGGCGTGACCTGAGCAGCCCCCGCAATCGGGCATAGAACAACCTCGTTCCAATGATCAAGACAGAACTTGGAGTGTATCGTTCAGTCTTATAAATAGTCAGTAGCACTGACACGCACCTAGTCATAAATAGAATAATTGATAGCGACCAAGAGTTGCGATCAGTTGGTGGAATCAACTCCTGTTCACTATCTTGTTCGTCGGAAGGATTCTCCTCTGGGCGTCCGTCCTCCGGCTTCTCCTCATTACCTTCGTTCTCATTATCATCGTTCTCGTTTCCCTCGTCACCATGTATATCGACGTTATGACCTACGCCTTCATCTTTGGGTCGAACGTTGTCCGTCTCGCTCGCTCGATTCTCGAAAATATTGCTGTTCGTATCGGTGGTCCCATCCCTTTTCCACTGGACCTTGCCCTTGAACCGCCCTTCCTCTTCTTGCAGGAGCTCATACCGTTTCGGTCGACCATTATCTGAAAGTACTATCTTCCTGGACTCCACAAGCTCTTGATCGCATGCATGAAGTGATTCCCAAGTAAAGCGGTGAGTGCACCCAATAACATGTACGGAGTCAAGCTCCTGCTAAGTACGTTCTGCATATGGTCAAAAAGATGAACTGAACACACTCACGTCCAGGTGCCTTTCAGGCAAGAATACAAAGTTTATCAAGACACCCCCGACGTTGGCCAAAAAGTGACTTTCAGGAAAATTAACACTCGCAGAATTAGCTGCTATACAATCTGTTAATCGTGCTTATGAGAGGATTGATAACCTGCTCACGAGATTGGATATTATGTTGAATGACTATTTGTCGGCCGGCGTCTGAATTATGGCTGGGCCATCGGCCGGAAATTGGGGTGTCAGACATCGTCTGCAGGTGTGCTGCGCTGGTTGGGAATTTCTCCTCTTTAAAAAACAAACTCATACTCAGCACTAAAACTTATTAAATGAGCACCACACTCACCATTCCACTGCGAAGTTCATTAGCAATGGCACATTGACTTCAAGCGCATCATAACTCACCGAGTACGCGCCTAGATCAATGATGTAAGGTGGTGTCAAAGTATCATCTTCCACGATCTTGGCTACATCGTGCACAAGTGCACACAGTTGATGCTGAATCGTGCTTAAATCGAAAGCGCATGTCTCAGGAGGCACCTCAACGAGCAACGGTTCCGAGCGTTGTATAACAGGAGCCGCCGAAACAAATGACGCAAAAACAACCGATAGCAAGGCTCTGCGAGTGCGAGAAATCATGGTGGAAGCCCAAGGTGTAGCACCTTCCCAAGTGCGTCCTTCGATAGCTATATCTTATGGGTGTATGGAATATTAATAGCTCCACAGGAGTCCACGAGCCACACAATAGAAGAAGTTCTCCAAAGTAGGTCCGAAGGCGGAAGCCGCAAGTCTGCCTCATCTAGCATTATGGGCGGAACTGTTGGGGGGGTTTCGTTGCCAGGTTCTACACAGGATCTGGCAAGTCTTACGAAATTGTTCAAGCAGGCTGCAAGGACCGTCCGTTTCAGACAAGGGTTGACTTTCGATGTTACATAATTTTGGCTCGTGATAAGTAAGCCGGCACGGCTCCCAACATGGTTTGACATCAACATCTACAAATATCTCCTCCATGTTCCGCTTCTCGAACACATCCAACTCCGTACAGCATCTTTCGGGCCGGCGGGCAGGTTGTCGACGTCATCACTTTGCGCTGTAAGTAGCTCGAATCATAACATGTTTCCAGAATCCAGATCAATGCATCAGCGCTACATCACGAAATGAATTCCAGGCTCAATTTGCCACATCAACGGGCCAGGCCTGCGAATTGGGACTGTGACATCGATGAAAGGCCCTACGAGTCTTGCTGGCAATTGACTTCTGATATGAAGCTTTGTGGCCATGGATGAGCGGGCGCGAATTTGCAAAAACAACGATGGGAGACCTCGGGGGGTTTGTTCGTGCAACGATGGGCGTACTCTTATCTTGCCCGAGTACTCAGGTAAGCACTATGCTGTGTGCGCGTACTTCATCGATTGTGAATATCCTATAAATGCCCAGGCAATCGACACGATTCTGTTGAAATTATGAGCACCATTTTTATTAGTTCGAGTAATGCAAATGTTGACGGCGGTGGTGGATGTGGACGGAATGTACCGTGGGTGATGGAAAATTAGAAATCCAACTCAAGTTGCCCAGGCTGCGAGAGCGCTTGCGCTGCTGGTACCGCTTCGGTAGTGTCATCGGGTGTTTTGTTTGGTAGCAGCATCCCCGTGGTTTCGGTGCCACTTATGGTTGCTGCGAATGCTGGTAAATTTCTTGTCTTTTGTTTGGTGTGATATTATGATGTTAATGTTGTCCATTTACAGGTGGTGCAAAGTATGGTGCTTGGGGTGCAGATGGGAGGATGTGCACGGCGAGGGTGTGGGTGCCATTCTGGAACAAGCAGTATTCGGTTAGGATGATTAATGGGAGGTGTGTTTTGTGGGATGATCATGACAATAAATTGGTTTGATAGCTATATCTATATGTCCTACTCGATCACACATTTGTTTTCATTTGATCGCTAGTCTTTGTATTAGTAAGTAGTTCCTGAGATGTGTATGCATACGGTCAATTGCAAGTCGTCGATGTACTGTACTGATATCGCGTGATGCAAACCGTGACAATGACTGGCGTTACATAGGCCCGGATCAGCTTCAATTTGAACAGGTTCCAACTCGCGACCAAGTCGCTTCCTAGTGACGGTCCCAAAACATCTTTCCAGCTATGGTCATATGGCCTTGAATGTCCTTTTACGACTGTGCCTTACATTGAAGTATATTCAGGCTTACTATGATCTGCGAGGCACGGGACAGGCAAAATTTGGACAAAGGATGTTCTTTGGGTCTCCAATAGTGAAATTTCCGGCCGAACATCAAAGGGAGCTTCTGAAGGCCTTTAATACTATAGCCTCGAGGTCAACGCACGACTTCCTCATTTCCCCAGAGCTCTAACGTTTCTTTCCCATTACCAGGACAATCGATTCCAGCTCTGTTTGTATTTTAGCGTAAGTACTCGTACTCGTACTCGTCCTCACCCTGCATTGAATCTGCTCCCACATCGCATTGCTCTACCCTCCAACAAAAGATGCCTGACGTAACACTAATCAATGACCTTGACCAAGACATACACATTGCTTTCTTGGTAGGCGTCCCTGCTAATTGGAAAAGTACCTCAAACCCGGAGAACGCTGGAGAACGCACCTGGCGAGTCTCCCGCTTCACTTCGAAGCGCGTAGTGTGCAGAGTCACGAGTTCAGCCATAACGAGTCCTGGGAGATGTTTGCAACCATCGGAGGCGCTTGCGCTGCTGGTACTGCTTCAGTAGTATCAGCAGGTGCTTTACTTGCTGGCGACATGATTGCAGGCATCCCCGTGGTTTCGGTACCGCGCCAACCGACAGAGAGGAACCTACTTTAACATCATTGAGTTTCGTCTCCCGAACCTCGCCTTCGAGGAAGCCAATTCGAACACAGCTCATACAAGCTCATATCTGAACTATCGGGGGTGGGTTTGATGAACAACCGCGTGCCTTTTCAAGTGCACGAGCAACACTGATAGATGGTGAACAAAGCAAACAATTGAACACCGGTTCGATTCCATGCGGGATCAATAAATTTTAGTATTTACACTGAAGCCAGAACTTCATCGTAGAAGTCGGATGATGAGACTCGCTATACAAAGTAGCGGTAATTTCAGGAGGATGCGTTTACTATGTATGTACATAAAGAATGTCCATAGGGTGCCGAGAAGTGGATATATGTACAAATTCATAATACCAACCATATCATAACGCCCCAAGTCCACTTTACAACATGCTTGCCCAAACTTTCTGCCGCCAATCATGACCAAGCCAGCAGATGCCAGAAGGGAGCACAACGCCAAAAGGGAGCACCTTTAAATGAACACCATCTGATCGAATAATCTCCTCTCCGAAACTTCTCTGATCCAACGCCTTTATTTTCTTCATAAACTCGGGAATGTCGCGGCGGTCCCTTAGCAGGGATGCAGGCAATGTCAACAGATCGACGTGCACGTTGATTTCATGTGTGTTCCGCAGCTTGATGCGAGCGCCGGCTTTGATAGCAATCAAGTACGGCAGTGAGACAATTTGAAGGTTTTTGAAAGAAGCCCATGGAGTGACCTCCATCCACGGCACCATGCAGTAGGATGGTGCGTTCGACCAGAGGAGGGATGTGGTGGTTGAGAGGTGAGAGATTGACCCAAGGAATGCAGATCCCTGGGGAGTGTCCGTGAGGCACCCCCACCGTGCGCCGCTGATGGGGGTCTCACGCGACAGGATCAGGGTTTTGGTGTTCCAGGGAAGTGGGAAATGTTCGTTGTTGGCATGTGTGGCTGCACGGGACTTCCATGCATGTTCCAGACATCCTTCAAGAAGGCCCATACTTGTCCAGTCAAGGGCAATGGATGGTGCAGCGAGTAGCACCGGAGAGAGGAGGCTGATGGAAAGCGGACGCTCAATCAAGTTAAAGGCCCATGGGTTGTGGCACTGGGATCCGATCCAGATCTTGTGCACATGGGGAATGTAGTCGAAACGGAGGTGGTTTGCTTTCTCCGCGTACATTTTTTGCATATGTAGAGCATGCACGAACACTTTCACTGTGACATAGTCCTCAAGCAGTACGGTATGGAGGAGTTCTGGAAGTACCGCCCGCCTGACAGCTCTGGAGAAATGACAGAGGGCGCGTGCATTAGAATATGGACTTTTAGAGTCATATGGAGCAGTCTGATCAAAGGTGGGTTCCACGTAATATCTGAGGATGATGAGGACAAGCTCAACTGGGAGGTAAGTAAATGGAAATGTGGTAATAGGCTTCATGACGTGCAAGTAAGATGCGAAGCTGGTTTGAAGGAACCCTGCCTTTAATACTTGCCTCGTGAATTGTGGACCGGTCGGAGCGTAAACAAGGGCCACCGGCTACACAAGGCCACAATCACCACATCACATGATCCATTACTGAGTTGATGTATTCCTGGGCAAATTCCACTGTCCTTGAGCAATCTGAAAATCAAACACTCAGTAACGCAGCCTTGGTGGCCGCCGGCTCGAACGCCAATAACCTCAATACCTACGTTTTTTTTCCCCCGACCGATCCACGCATACCCACCACCCCCCATCCAAAGTCACATGGAAAGTCCCTCACCCGTTCCTCGAACTACGCTTTCTCCTTGCGCGACAGAGGTTGTCATCCATGCACACGAAACGACGTAAGTGAGAGCACACCTTCGAATTTCATAGTATCCAGCTCCTCATCATCCTGATCATCGCATTTAGTATTGTGAAGAGCAAACTCATTTGGTGTCCCGTCAATAACGGGAAGTCAAGAACGTGTCTTTCATGTCGTATTATGAGCAAATTGGGAAAAACTGCACCTGAGGTCGCCATATAGCACCCTCCGCCAGCTCAGGCCTTCGACATATGTGTCTACCCATGGTTCGGAGGGCGTACAGCTATTCCAAGAAGTCAACAGCTAGAAATGCGGCGGGCCAAATTTCGCGAGGGAACTTCGAGTCACGACCGAACATCAATGGCGGTTATTGGCAGTGCCGGAGGATAAGTATTGCGGAGGAAGATGCATACTGACCATCTCTCTTCTGACAACCACTGTTCAAGCGCGGCGAGCTTGATGGTTTGAACTTGCGTCTTAACGGCGAAGGCTGGTCACCAGTTAAATATTGTGAATATCTACTACTCTCAACATCTTTTAGTGTTCTTCGTCGTCTACTGAGCACCGGTGGTAAACGATAAACGATTTTTATTGGTATTTTGTAACGCGGAGTCTTACATAATCTTATGCTGTCCAGACCTTCGCAATCAACTCCGTCAAACCTATAGGAAATAAGTCAGGTGAGGAAAGATGACAAGGGAGATTCATCGCACCAATGTCATTTGTGTTGAACTGATAAACGCCAACGAGCACGCCAACCGTGGCTGATCTCAGTGTCCAGGTCATGACAGGTCCAAGGATGGGAAATTTGCGCGGGTGCACATAGTCCACAATCATCGAGTCAAACTAGCATGAATAAGCCGACGTTAGATCCTCACAGAGTGCCACCCCCAGCGGTCACTGACCCCAAGATGAGAGTGCATCACCAAGCTGAGACCAAGCAGTCCGTCGAGGACGGGGGTAACATGATCCAGAGGTCGCAAAAGCGGCCGCCGTCATGGGAACAAGGGAGGCTGCAAGAAGGCGCTCAAATGCCAGTGATACGACCCATGCGTTCTTGATGGAGGGGGGAACTCCGTAGGGTCATTGACGGTGCCCTTTATGATAGCTGTCGAGCGCAAAATGAGTTTGTCTGGTACGAAACAGGGTTTATAAAACGCACGTCCGCCTGGTACATACTGCGTAGTCGAGCTTGCCGCTCTCACTTTCAAACGCAGGTAAGCTTGATCCACGCCTGAGGAATATGAAAGGTTCTACCTTGCAACGCAGATCGCAGGATATTACGTCCAGTTGCAGAAGCAAAGGTTCTGGGCAGCGTTGAGTGAAGGAGCATGGACGAAGCCATTGTCGCTGGTGGTGTCAAACCCTGAGGAAAGTAGTGCGAGAAAAGTCGTGTGCACAGTGCGGGGCGCGCGGATGAGCGATGAGATAAAGCCGCTAGCCAATCACCTGATTCCGGTTATATCCGAGCGTGTTCAACGGCGGGAATTTCGTTCTTCTGCGAAGGTAATACAAGGTGTACATGTGTCTTCATGAATTCGGTTTGTGCATGGGGATGGCCAGGGCGTCCAGAGTTGCTCTGAACCCTGGTCAGTAACCATTGCATCAAGCAAACCTTGGCCAGGGTGTCCAGAGTTGCTCTGAACCCTGTGCCGCTCAGTAACTCAGTCAGATGCGGCACCTTACTCTTTAACACTCATCCTATTTTGCTACCTCTCGTCTCTACTAAAGGTACTTTCATGCTCTTGCGCTCTTGTCTTCTGTGCGCTCATGGCCTGTTCAGATACTAGAAATGCCTGCTGCTACTGCTACCGCTTCTACTATTCCTTCTTCCGCCTCTCTCAAGGGCCCTGTTGACGGTCAAGTTGACGTGGCCGCCCTATTTGTCGTTGACAAAGCTACCCGTGATGCAGCCGCATGCCAGGGCGCATCACGCAGCTCTCCAACGCAGCCAACAACCCCACAAACCAGTTCTAGCACTACGTCTCTCCCGCACCCCAACAATCAACATCCAAAGGTTCATTTCCTTCTCTCGTCCATTCCCTACTCAACTGAACAATGCGCCAGCTTACCTGAAAAATGTTCACACTTGGTCAACGACCAATCCGAACAAGACTACCCGTGCTCGACATCGCACTGCAAAGACTGCTGCTCCACCAGTCCCACAACCGATCGTCGCCGCGCCCAAGGACACAAGCACTCAGATACACACCTCTTCCAAGCTGTTCACGGTGAGACCGTGATCCTTCATGACCGGCCTCACCTGCGCGGCCAGTGCCCGCATAAGTTGCCGAGCGTCGTCCTCGAGGGTGGCATCGATCATAGGCAGGACGGAAACAAAGTTAACGTGCGGATTCGGGTTAGCTTCACGCTCGTTTATGCGGACGTGAACCATGATGTGCTAACAGTGCCCAAGCGGCAAAGAGTACTTGGTAATAATGAAATGAATGGACATCAAAAGAAGGCGCTACTTACTTATAAGGTACATAGTCGAGAGCAGAACTTAAATACTTTGTCACGGTTCGAATTCACGTCATGACCACCATGACCTCACCCAGGTCACCACATTCTCTATTGGCCCACCTTCATTGACTTTTGGCTCCGTCGTGCTCTGCTGCTCTTCCTTGCGAAACTCTTGCTGTAGCTCCACACGAACAGCAGCAAGTCTATCCAGTTCACGGACGCTGTCAAGGCGCTCCATTTCCTGAGCTCTGGCATTGTCCTCCTCCAGGCGACGTAACCGTTGTTCCTTCTGTTCCTGTTCGACGGCCAGTTTTTCCCTCTCTTTTCTCTCCATCTCCAGCTGTTCCTTGCTCGCGGTGCTTCTCTTCCATTGCGCTGATCCGAGCCTCGAGCCTCTCCTTCGCGGCTTTGAACTCTGCCTCCAGCCGGTCCTTTTCGCCCTGCAACTTCAGAATTTGGTAGTGCTTACTCCGAATCTCCTCTTTAAGTTCCTCCTTCGTTTCGAGGTCCTTATCTCGGATCGCTGCCTCCATATCTTTGCGCAACTGAACCATTACTTCTTCGTGGCGCTCTCGCTGCTCGTTCAGAACTCGTGTTAGCTCAGACCCTGCAGAAGTCTGTGCGATATTCTTGTGCTCGTTCACGAGCTCCTTTTGAATGAGGAGCGTCGCAGGTTGGTTATGAATCAGGTATCGTAGGACGCGGTGCGTCGATTCGCGCGTGCCACCCCCACAACCAGTCGCACCCGCACCAGTAGCTCCTCAGCTTCCCCTTAACCCACCCCGTCACCCACTACCCGTAGTCTCCCAAGCTCTCCACTCCACATATGCCTCCCGCCTACGCACAGGAACGACTCTCCTCGTCCAACCCATACTCACACAGCCCTCTGCAGCAGCAGCCGGAAACACGCGAGCCTCCACCCGCCGTGGAGGCATGATCAACTACGCCGAACCAGGCTCAGGCGACGAGTTCCCAGATCCTGGTGCTATCGAATCTGACGACTCAGATTTTATGGTTAGTGGGGGCACGAGGACGACGTTGAGGACGCGGCGAATGGGAACTGGGATGTCGGCAAGAAGGACGTTATTGAATGGGGCGTGATTGGTGGGGACAAGGAAGCTGAGGGGATGAAAGACAAGACGGGGCTGGGTATGGGTTGGGGAAGGACGAAGGGACCAAAGGTGCTACAAAGCGTATGGAGAGAATGGACGGAAGCAGAAGAATTTAGAACAAGGTTCGAGGTCCTCACGGCAGAAGAAGTAGAGAGGCGAGAAGTGGAAAAGGAGAGAGCCAGCAGGTACGTGGTATCGCCAACATGCTATCTGTCCAATCACACTAAGGTGGATCTGATCACAGACGGTTGCGTCGCGAGACATCGAAATTCCAAACGACGAGAACGAGACGACGGTAATCTGTATTGGGATAATTATAAGTTGCTTCGAGGAGTAGCTCGCCTCGTCCCACATCACCTAGACTCCCAGCTCTTATCAAGGCGCTCATAAATCCTGTCGAGGAGGTGCCCAATACCATTCAACTTCTCTCGGCTACCACATTCGTTTCCGAAGTAGACTCTGCTACGAGGGCGAAGACCTGTGCAACTGCCAATCACTTGGATGTTGTCAACGTTGCATGGCTCGAGAACTACCTCGTCAGCCTGAAGACCTGTACCTCCATCATCGTCTGACACGACTCTAGCTTCCTCAAAAACACAATCACTGTCCACCTTAACCGCTTCTCAGTCAAAAAATACTGCGGTAACCTTGAGGCTTTCGTCAAGTTCGTTCCTGAGGCGAAGTCTTACTATGCTCTTGAGGCTGCTGAGGACTACAAGTTCAAGCTCCCAGACCCACCTTTGCTCGAGTGTGTCAAGACCAAGGAGAAGAGTTTACTCAATATGCGCGAGGTCAGCTTCCAGTACCCCATGTCATGTCTAATTTGCGTAAATTGCAATGTGATATATGGACTACATGAAAAAAATCTTGGCCTGTAATTTCCGCTCCTAATATATTCAGTGAGATGTGATTAACTTCATGAGCTGTATGTATGGCTTCAAATACACTCACAGACTTCATTTTCAGTTCCGTAATCACCACCACCACCTCCTCGTTCACTGCGATACTCCAAGGGGAGCCATCGAAAACCTGATCATGGACCACCTCCACGAAAGGGAGGTATGTCCTTACTTGCATGTCCTGCTGGAGACCCATTGATGACGTAGGTTTGCGGACTACTTTGCCGATTCCACGCGCCACGGCTGAGGGATTGAAGTCCATCATATGCAGCCGGAACGGTGAATCACTTCGACCTGCGACGGGAACTGCCCGTATAACACGAGATCCTCCCACTCCAAGAGTGCGCGCTGGCAACACTTGCGAGTTGAACATATCTTCAGAGAAGTAACGAGAATTCTGTGGACCCCATGATGACCATGGAACTGATCGTCCATCTTCTGATGCCACATCAAACCATGCCGGAGGGATGTCCATGAAACATATTCGGGCGGATATGATGATAGCCGACGAAGGAGGGCCAAACACCATGTATATAACTTGATCTGCAGGGTGCGTTGTCCAAATCCAATGGTTATCTGGTGCCGCCAGGTGCGCATGACTTCCAGTATTATGAAAAACCAATGAGTGAAAAAAGCCGCCCAACATTTGATGATAGTGGATGGGCAGCATAAATCTTGCCTGAAGCTGTGGTGCGATCGATAGGTCCTCGATGTTGTATAGCTCTATAGTATTATCTGACGAGAGGACTAGAAGCTTCTCCTTGGTAAGAAAACGAAAGTCATGCAACTGATTGCCGTTGCCGATGGCACAGATGTCCTGTTCAATGCCCAAATCAGATCTTTCGATGGAAGATGAAAGTAGACACCTACGTCAGCTTGATTACATTGATACCAACTTAGGACATGCAGCGACCAGTACAGGTCCCCATTTTCATCACGCCCAAAAAAATAGACTGCGAGGCGGTCTCCGAGGACAGACACAGAAATCTTGACTGTCTGAGATTCCCTGAAGGCAGCTCTACTAGTGACTATATGGGATCCATGGGCCAAAGGATGTTCCTCCCCCGTGGATATCATGCGGGAAAGTATTTGGCACTTAAAGGTGTGCGAGTCGACATTGACCGGAAGTTTAATGGTGATCTCGAGGTCTTGCAGCTCATCTATGTACCTGAATGTGTGAGGAGCTTGATTCATCACGAGATGACCGCTAGTCGTCGTGATGGTCTTGATATTCACTGCGTGGGACAAAGCATCCACACGCGCGGACCGCGTAGAAAATAAGATTTGTTTATGAGAAATCGAGACGAAATCGAGCAAAGTGGTGTCACACGGTGCTGTCGCATCATCGAGCTGGAAAGAATTCCACGTGTTTGCCTTGTTTCTGAGGATACGCAAGCACTCTGCTGAGGAGACGGTAGGTGACCGTGGATGTACCTCAATCAACCTTTGAGCACCGAGTTCGATGGTGTACTGTAGCTCGGCAGAGGATTTGACCGTGTTGTACACCTTTTGGCAAGTCTATAACGGAGTGGGTCAGTGCATTAGTCCGGAAAATCACAAACAGTACTATGAAGATATGACTCACTGATGCGCAGCGCATAATGTCATTACCTGAAAGAAAACTGAGGATATAGCAGCGCAACTCCTCTGGGATATCTTCAAAGGTAGCCCTTCCAAGCTGATAGGGCATTCTTCTGCAACAAATGGTATTCTCTTGGTCAGACAGAGGGGTATCGGAAAACAAGCGATGTGATGGCACAGGTAGAATGGGAGGGAACATGGGAGGGACCGAAAATACTGACCTCCTACCCGAATGACTATGTGGATCGCCATGCACATGAGATTTGCGTTGAGCCTAAACAACAAAAGAGGATGAGAAGTTTGCGGTCAGAAGATGTATAATAACTTACTTTTTTTCTATCACGCAGCTCTTCTGCGCAACTCAACAATGAGTTGACAATATTATTGATGAACTTGTGGAGCATAGTGACATGAATAAGTTGAGAGCAATAGAAAAGTTACTGGTTACCAGCTCAGTTGTAGGGGAACATACATATGGGGATTCCGACATGACATCGTCGGGGCACAGCCACAGGGGGCTTGACTAAGCACCAGCATAGTCAACAAAAGAGGGCCTCGGTATCCAACTGACTACAAGTTAGTACAACACACGAAACGACCTACGACAAACCGACTCCGGGCTACGATCAGTCCACAATTCAATATTGTATCCTCTATAATGCCAACTACATGTCTGCTTCCACAGATATTCCATTCAACCCAACCCGCTACCACCGAATCTGGGATCTTCCTCTGGTTTCAGAGTACTATACGACCCCAAACATTTTGCAAAGCAGAAGAGGGCGATTATATGCCTAGTCAGTTCTCGCTCAATATATCCAGCTCTGCAGGCAAGGTTGGCGGGTATTCTAAGTTAGCCGAGGCACGAGGCTAACGTAGAATTTAGTCTACGTGTGAATTAGTGATGTGACGCTTAACTCTCTTTGTCCTCATCCACGTCAGATACAGATAAACGTAGACGACGGCGACTCTACAACTCTCGTTTTCTGCTTACTATTTAAAATATATTCTAATCCTATGTTAGACAATCCCAACAACGCCATAAGACCCGACTTCAGTGCTAGTGCTGCCGAAGTCCGGTTCGGTCCGGTTCTTTGGCAAAAATTTCCGAACGCCGAACCGAACGCTAGGTTCAGGTTCAGCTGTTGGTCGAACTCTGGACCAAACGCCTCTGAACGCGTTTGGGAGGTCCGGTTCGCGTTCGAACCGGGTTCGACTGCAATATTGAGGTGTTGCGTCGACGATGCCCACCACGTCCACCAAACCATTCCCAACACCATGCGCAAACGCCCAGTGCACGTCAGCAACTGCTGACGTGGCTCAGACAAGCACGGACGATGGACGAGAGCAGGAGGAGGGAAGCAAACGAGCAGGAAAACCAGGGAGAGAGACGAGCAGGAAGAAGGAAGAAGCTAGTTGAGTTCACGCGGAAACATCCCTACAAGGTTCTTTGCAAGCTTACCTAGGAAGTACTGCAAAATGACGGTCGCCTGTGCTAGCCCAGTGTCATGCGTTCCATCCTCAAACATTGTGAACGTCTAGACCATGCTCTCGCGCACGTACGTGATGAAGCTTATTCTCGACTTACTCTCAAACTTGTATCACAAGCGCTGTGGCTAATTGTCTTAGTTTGTTTTCAATTACAACTGGCAGCGGGAGAACACGCGAATGCCAGAGCTCGCCTCATTGACAAAGGCATTGCAGACGATGCCTTAGCAGCAGAAGCATTAGACACAATCTGGACCTTGAACAACGAAGCTGCCAAGGACGCCTGGGCAGAACAGGAAGAAGACGAACAGAGACAAGCACAAGATGCTCGTTGTCGCGCTGCCGAATTAGACCAAGAACGCCAGTGCGTTCTCGAAGACGAGTTGACTGCAGCACGCAAAGAAGAGCTCAAAAAGAACAAAGCCAAGTTCGTTCCAGTCTCGAACGCCAAAATCCCCACTATCCCTGTCGTCATTCCCTCCAGTTATGCAGTCAGGAAACTCAAGGCAGGGGAGTACTGCGAATTGTACTACTTCACCAACAGAGGTCTGAACGAAGCCAAGAAAAACCTCCTCTCAACGGAACCTCAAGGCATGATCTTACTCCCAAGAGAAGACGGCCAGCAAAGGTGGGTGAACGCTGACGAAACCCGCGACTCCAAGACAATTATCACCAAGGATGAAAATCTCTCCTGGGAAGACTTCAACGAAGCCGCCCCACACATAATTGTAGCCATGAAGCAACAAGAGTGGCCCGAAGACCGCATCAACATGCACATTAGCTTCTGGACAGCTCTTCAAAACCATTGCTGGCGTCACGCCAGTGATATATTGAAACAACGAGCTCTTCTCCTCTACCAGAGTCAACAGCGCAGAATGTGGCACATCACCGCTGGCGGCCCGCATGGCTGGTCCATAGCGGAACTCAACCACGAACTCATCCTGGAAGCACGAGAAGAAATATTCAACCTGGATCGTGATAAAACCTTAGCGGCGCTCAAGCAGGTCAGTATTTCTGCGACCAACGAGTTCCTCTCCAGATTACTAACTCACTTCCTCGTTTCCTTTTCTCCACACCCACACTCGCATCGTGCGCATCTTCATATCTTGCCAAAACCGCCGTTCGACAACACGCTCGTTCGGCAACCAACCCCAAACCCCCGACCAACACGTGTCATGCTGGCCACCGCATGTCGCACCTTACCACCCCCTCCTTTTCCTCACGCCATCACACGCCCCTCTACCCCACACCTTCAAGGCCATCCCCGTGGCTAACCAAAGCTCGGGATCGCGCTCTTTTAGCGGGCAGAAGAGAACATTATCGCCCAGCGTGGATGCTGGAGAACAGAGGAAAAAGGCTCGTTCCTTTCGTGAACCGCACAACGCACCAACCACGCTCCCTTGCTGCGCCGTTTGCCTCGGGCGTAACCCACATCGCACAGTCGAATGCTCAGCATCCCGAACATGGGACAATCTCTTCGAGGTCTTCTCCGAACGCATCAAGAAAGCCCTGTGGGCCAAAGATGGCCGCCAATTGTGCACAGCTTGGCAGCGAGAAGAGAGTTGTAGCATGTCACACCCTAGCTATAAACACCTGTGCTCAGGGTGCGGCTCCACAGAACATGGAGCCCAGCGCTGCACTCGCGCACAGAAGGCATAAGCCGCTTACCCCCTACATCGTCGAAGCTTGGGAACGAGCTCTTCTCGAAGCCCAAGCACTTGTTCGTTTTGCAAAAATCACAGAAGGTCTTCGCGCAGGATTTATTTTAGATTTCCCAGTAATAACACATGTACAAACCCCCCCGAATCGAGACTCTATTGTCGAATATAACGCCGAGTTTAAGTCCGTCATCCAGAAAGAAATCCAGAAAAATAGATACATAGGTCCCTTTAATGCCGAAGTTCTCGAATCCCTCATAGGACCGTTTCAATCTTCGCCGCTGTCCATTCTACCTAAGCCTGGCAAGCCAGGAAAATACAGACTAGTGCAAAACTTCTCCTTCCCTCATTCCCCTACCCAAACCCACCCTAATTCGTCCATCAACTCGTTCATAGACTCCAACCGCTTCCCCACAACGTGGGGTAAATTCGCAATTATCTACCTTTTAATATCGAGACTTCCGGAAGGCTCAGAAGTTGCGACACGAGATGTTTCAGAAGCTTACAGAACGCTGCCACTCCACCCGTCTCAATGGCCAGCTGGCATCGTGCGAGTATCGGACTCAGAATTCTGCATAGATACCTGTATGGCATTCGGAGCTGCTCCGTCAGCAGGGGTCTATGGTCACATGGCGGACGCAGGGGCTGAAATATTTAGGCACCGAGGCATTGGTCCATTAGATAAGTGGGTGGATGATCACCTTTTCATCCGCATTCTGCTAGAATTTCTACCGCTTTATAATCGCCAACGTCGCATCTGGCACGAAGCCTTAGTAATAAAAGGCATGCAACAAACTGGGAGCCGATTGTGGTTCGGAGGCCACGTTTTCGATGACGGATCACGCGAGGAATTCAACGAGGATTGCGCATGGCCGCTAAAAGACTTATCAGGAGTCTCTCCCAGATCTAGCCACGATAAGCTCTTCGGCTACTGCATGGAGGACATCGACCGGGTATCTGGCGACTTAGGAATAGTCTGGGAGAAAGGGAAAGACCAACCGTTCGCGTCGTCAACGGTATGCATAGGTTTCTTCTGGGACGTAAAGAATCGCACCGTCTCGCTCAGCGCCCCCAAAGTAAGCAAATACTTACTAGCCATCCATGAATGGCGTCGTCGCGACGTTCACGTTCTGCAGGATGTACGTAAATTGTACGGCAAACTTCTGCATATGTGTGAAGTAGTGAAACGAGGCCGCGCATACCTAACATCCCTAGAACGCATGTTAGCGTTATGCTCCAAAAAACCCTACCTCCCACATCGCCCCATCAAGGAAATCGAGATCGATCTCTTATGGTGGTCCAAACTCCTACAAAACGACGGTGCCACCAGACCAATCCTCCCACCACTAACTTACTCCAACCCTCTTGCCTTCTCCGACGCGAGCTCAACCATAGGGATTGCCATAGTAATAGGTCAACGCTGGAGAGCTTGGAGGCTCATCCCAGGTTGGCAAACGCTAAATGGTCGACGGGACATCGCCTGGGCAGAGGCAGTTGGTTTTGAACTTCTCGTTCGATCCTTGTCTTCTCACACAGGATTCGGCAGCGCACTCACAGTTTACGGAGACAACGTCGGAGTGGTCGAGGGATGGTGGAGAGGCAGAAGTCGCAGCATCGAAGTTAACAACATCTTTAGACGCATACACGAACACATCTGCCACATTCCCAGACACTTTGCAATCCAGACTGCTTACGTCCCCAGCGAACACAATCCTGCCGACGGTCTATCACGAGGAATCTATCCTCCCACCGAACTTCTACTCCCTACCATCGATATTCCCCCCGCCATTCAGCGCTTCATCGTCGATGCCACTCTTCCCCCCACCCCTGCCGAACTTGAACTTCTGCGCCACGGGAAATACCCCCCTGCTGCAGCAAAAGTCATCAACAGAGCCCGTCTCCGAGCAGAAGGCACAGAGCGTGAACGAGCTCACCGCGAAGAAGAAGATGAGCTCCTCAACTTCACCATCCACGACACCTCAAACTAGCGCCCCTTCGCGATTCGATTCTAAACTCCCCAATAGCACACCTCCCCTCACCACAATCCCTCAGCGCTACAAATCCAATCTTACCCCCATGCCTTCCCCCCTCCGTCCACACTGTCTATCGTGTGACAGGATGCGACTCTGGATTCCCCCAGGTGAAAGCCTACGCAAGTCCACATCCTCGGGCGACGAAAACGCCATCTCAATCTCCGAGGACCAGCTCAATCGTATCTTAGAGGTAATGGGTTCATCGTGGGCCCCTTCCACAAAAGAGACGTACGGCGCGGGACTACTAGTGTTCCAGGTCTTTTGTGACACTCACAAGATCCCCGAGGAAAAGAGGTGCCCAATCTCCCCCAGCATACTCCTAGCTTTCCTATCAAGCTGTGCTGGAGCGTACTCCGGTTCAGCACTAGCTAACTACGCTGCAGGACTCAAAGCTTGGCACTTACTCCACGGCCAACCATGGCTAATCAACTCCAGAGAACTCAAGGCCACCTTAGACGGCGCCGCTGCCCTAGCCCCTCCATCATCCAAACAGAACAAACGCAATCCATTCACGCCGGACATTATCATTAGAATTCGCGAACATTTAGATCTCAACAATCCCAAAGATGCAGCCATCTTCGCGTGCATCACTACCTCATTCTATGCTATCGCACGCCTAGGAGAATTCACAGTCCCTTCGTTGAAGAGCTTCGACTCAACGAAGCATATAACTCGCGCGCACGTCACGCAAAAAACGGACCGCAACCATCTCCCCGTCACCTCCTTCTACTTGCCAAGCACCAAGTCCTCACCCCTACAGGGTGAAGAGACCTACTGGTCCGCCCAAGAAGGATTGTCGGACCCCAAGGCAGCTCTAGATAATCATCTCAGGATCAACACAGCACACGCAGGAGCGCATCTCTTCGCGTGGAAGCACCCCAACGGCCTTCGTCTGCTGACGAAGAAGGAACTAACCAAACGAGTCAGCCAGATCTCCTCCACCGCAAACCTGCCCAACCTCAAGGGACACGGCATACGCATCGGAGGCACGTTAGAGTATCTCCTACGCGGTGTCCCCTTCGATGTCGTCAAGGCAATGGGAAGGTGGTCGAGCGACGCCTTCACCATATACCTCCGCGACCACGCCATTGTCATAGCGCCTTATATACAAGCCTCCCCAGCACTCGAACACTTCACGCACCTCACGATGCCGCCGGTTCATTAAATACAAGAAAGTGAGTACACCTCCTACCTTCCTGGGACCACTTGCTGTCGCTGTGTGCGTCGATACACCATCACCAAAAGTCCAAAACCTAGATAAGGTGTGATAAGATCTTATCATCCGTCATCAGCCCCACCACAGCCATCATGGCCCATCAGCCCAGACCAGGCCCAGGTCATAATATATGATCAGATCAAGAAACTGATTTTTAGATCATATGATCATCATCTGATGCGTCATGTGTCATATCTGAACATATGGCGCACTACTGAGCAGGCCTGAGCAACTTAAGGCACCTTATAATGACTTATAGCGGAGGTATGGTAGTATAAGCATGTATCATTCTTGTAGTACATGACATCAATTACATACACTTATCTACGGTTAATGCGATGGTGAAAATTGAACTCCGTGATGAGGAATGTATGACAGCAACGAGAGTGAATCTGGGAATCTGGGAATATCGTGGACGAGTGTGACAGCAATGAGAGCAAATGTGCGAACTGCAGAAAAATGCACAAGGACAAACGAAGAGCAACATATAGTGATGGGGGATGTGAACAAGTGGATGCTGGGTCGGATGAGCTGGAATATATAGCACTATCAGGTAAACGTACAGAAAAAGAGTGAACACATACCGGAGAACGTGAATCACTTTCGCCCTTTGCGTTTCTTGGGTGCGGTAGCGGTAGCCTTCTTTCGGCGCTTCTTCGCGCCTTTTGGAGCAACTGGGACGTCAGACTCGACTTCGCTCAGGGAGCTCTCGCCGCCAACCTCCAACTCGTCTGACTTTCGCTTCTTGCTCTTGTTAGAAACAGGAGCAACAGCATCAGGCTTCGGAGGGGCCACAGTCGGCAACGCGGGTGCAGAAGATGAGCTGTCGCCAGTTGATTTCTCAGCTGGTTTGACAGGACGGGGCCTAGGAATGGACGTCGGTTGTGGGACCACGGTTTCTTCAACGGGAGGCGGAGAAGTACTTGGCAGAGAAGGATGTACGATTGAAATGTCTGGGTGATCGACAGTAGGCTCTGCTTCAACGGGGGGAGAGACAGAGGTAGAGGCGGTAGACTGAAGATGAACAATTAGTTCAAGGTGTTATAGGATAGAATAAAAAAAACCTTTGCACGCGCTGCTGCGGCGCGCTTTACAGATTGCTTCTTCATCAGCGCGAGGTCGTCGTCTTCGTCGTCGCTGATATCGAACAACGGAACACCCCGTTTGTTACCGAACACCGCCCTGGGTAGAATTAGTATCGCAAGTAGAAAAAAAAAAGAACTTACTTGTTCCACCATTCCAAGAGGTCCTCGGCCCATGCTTCGTCGAATGGTTCTCGGATTGCTCGGATTGTGCGGTAGTAGGCATCGCGGTAGCTGTACTTACCGTCCATCTCTTGCCATTTATCACGGGATGAGATCCCAAACCGACTCTAGAATGCCAGTGAGTTATTAATGTACTAGAAAAATAAATACGTACCTGAACGAACGCATATGCGATGTGTTCCGCCTCAACTTTATACATACCGTGTAACTTAGCATTGCCTGATCGTGTAGCAGACAGCTCTCCGTCTTCAACGAGTGCGGATGAGGGACTAGTATAGATATGCCGAAGAACCTACAAACAATTTTGTTCAAATAAAAATAACGAAGAAGAAAAAACATACCCGTTTGATTAGGTGTCCCTTGAGTAAACCTTCCTGGACGTCTTTGATATCGAAGTCCGCACCAGGAGGATCCCCAGGGTATGCTAATGCAGGCCAGGCGCCTGCGGTCATTTTGATGTTACCGTTTTGAAGTTGTTCCTGCACGCTGAGAGACTTGTCAAACACGTCTGAAATTAAGATAGAGTAAGTACTTACTTCTTCGGATCATCGTGGTATGCACTCGCGTGCTTGATCGGACACAGCATGCCTGCCAGCTGCGGGTGATTCACACCCATTCTGGTGCGGGACTTCTTGTTCTCCGAGAAAATTGGAGGTTCCAGTCCCCTTTCCTCAGGTTGAGGAGCCGCGTAATTCCCGATGAAGGGCTTGAGGTGACTGGCATCCTCAGACCGAATTTGGCCGATGATTTCCTGCATCTTCTCGTGTGTTAGATATTGTAAAATAGGATTAGTTAAAAGACATACCTCTGATAAAATGCTATTCAACTCAGTCTCCAGCTTCTTTCTGTTGTGACGGCCTCGGATGAGAGTGCGCAGATAAGGCGCGGACGATGTAATCCTCTGGTATATCTTGAGGTGATGCTCTTGAGCATCCTTAGACCTGTACATAAGGTAGTTAGTATACCGGATAAAAAAAAACGGCAGAAACTACTTACAAGACGCTAAGAGCTTCTTTTCGCTCCCTCTTGCTGTCTTCTTCCTCGGGTTCGGATGAGTTCTTGGCCACCTCTTCTGCTTCCATATACCTGGCAATGCGAAAAGTATCCTTCAGTATGACAAACATGTCGATACCACGAGGGATCCAGCGTGCGACGTGCATGCACACTTCCCTCCCAGTCCAATAAGTGCCTGGTTCTTTCCTATCAATCGATCAGCATCTTGATCGCACCAAGATCACGGCATGAACACGCGTGATCGTGAACTTACTTTTCATTGGTGCCATTATTAGCTTTCCTGTGGGTATATGCGCTATAAGTAACACAATGCGGCCGAATATTAATGACGACTTACTTGATAGATCTTTTCTCATGCTTTGTAGGCTTGGCCGACCCCTTTCGAGGCCCTGAAACGCGTAAGATGTGTTGCGATCAGACTTCATTCCCAGAAATACGGATACTTACCCAAAGAAGAGGACTTATCCACGGACAAGGCAGCTGATTCCGCCACAGTGTCGGTTGATGATGAAGAAGAAGAAGACGCGGAGATCGGATCAGGAGAGGAGAGTGATGATGACGAGGTTCGAGGCTTGGCCAGTGATGAGGGGGAGAACGAGAATATTGAAGACGATGTTCGTGAGGACGGAATTGACGACGAGGACCGGATTATGGCTGACGAGGGAGAGGAGCTTGATGACGATATTCTCGCGCAAGAGGGATATGGAGCTTTGTAGCTGGGACTTACTGACTTACTGATAGCACTTCTATGAATATACGATCGACTCAATGCATATGAGCTTCTTCCGCTGACCGAACGTTCTTAATTAATTTCAAAATGTATACTAATCGCGCTACGTGCAATATCAAGACTTTGCAAAGTGGACTTACTTAGATCTGAATATCAGGCAGTGATCATAATGACATTAGATTATCAAGCAGTGATCATATTGATATCAGATCATCATTTGTTTATCATTCGCAGAAACAATGGTAAGCTACAAACTACTCGACGTCATAATGATGGAGTCCTGGCGTCATCGTCTCAGCACCCATAACCCGGGATCACGCATGATCCCGAAAACCTCGTGACCGTCAGCCTAATAAGGCAATACCTGGTTTCTCGACTTTTGGTGATGACTCCTTAAAACTCGGGACTCACAGCTCCCCTTTTGCACCCAGGTCGGGCCAGCGTTTCGGGCCGGAAACCCCTGCGGGTTTTCGCCCAAAACAATTCTCTTACACTCACTTCATTTCTAGTTACATCGTTACACTCAAATCTTATTGTTTTCTCTGATCGTGTCCACTCTAACGTTCGAAACGCATAGACCCAACGCTGCCACTTCAGTCCCAGAGATCAACGAAGATTATACACCTTTCCTCGCTATGCTCTCTAGGCGTTCTGTCCTCGTTCTCCCTCAAGTATATGGAATGAAACTCGACAGTGCCCTGAACGCCTTTGGGTCGACACAGAATTGTTCCGTGTGCAAGCACTGTGCACAGCGCACAAATTGATCAAAAATTACCAACCTATCTCCTAATGTTGTTTCTCGCCCAGCTATCATGACAGCCCTAACTCGTGTATTGCGCATGCCTTATCGTTTATTTCCCCCCGCAATCTCAAATGCTCATCCGCATTCTGTTCGACGTTGGCAAGCCAGGCTAGCCACGAGCCTAATGTCGAGTATTAAAAAATTGACGATCCAAGAAGCAGAGAGGGAATAATATCGGACAGGCCAGAATTTCTAGAGAGCTACATTGTAATATTCATGGTGGACACTACATATACGATAATATAGCTCACGTTCTACATAACCTTTGATGACAGTAATTCCTAGCTGCTTGAGATGCAAATTTGTGATGCTGGTACAGACCAAGATAAAAAAAGAAACCTATCGCCGGGCCAGCATAAAGGCCACTCCCGCATAAAATAGCACCCTCAACATGCACAACAATAAAAGAACATACATCCCAACAAAATATTGACGGCACCGCTCCTTGCCTATTCAACTTCCAATAAGTCCTCCCCGAAGTCTTCCATCTTGATAATCCGAAACTTATCCTTCCACGGCGTGCCCTCCCCGAACTCTTTCTTCCACGCACGGCTCAAACCTTCCTCCCATGCATATAGCTCCACGCGCCACCCCTTCTTCAGCGCAATTCGCACAGGACCAAGGAAGCCCTCGTCGCTGAACTGCCCCACGTTCCCATCACCCGTTGCAAGCACTATCGTCGCACCCGGGCGCGGCACGTCTGCATCCGCAATCGCCTGATGCAGCTTCAGCTGCAACAGCTCGTCGACACCCTGCTCTCGGTAGCGGATGCGTCCATTACGGGGACCGCCGCTCCCAGATGCAGTTAATCCTGCGCCTCCGCTTCCACCTACGCCTTTGTCAGAATCTGATGAGCCTCGTACGTGTCCTTTGCGCCATGAGTCTGCATTGGTGTTGGCACTTGGTGGACGACGGTACTGCCCGTTCCCACTGTCTGGCACGCGCACAAAAATGCAGACTTCATACCCGAGCTGTTCGGCTGTGTCCGTTGGCTGATACAATGGGGAGGAAGTGACTAGGGAACGCCGCGTGATGGGGCGTCCACGTTCGAGGAGGAGCGCGAGGGCTGCATGAGATAGTCGTCGCCTTCGACCCGAGAGTGAGGCGTGACGGCGAGCATAGGTTAAGAAGCCAATGAGGATATTCGAGCTGAAACGATACGTCAGTACCACAATGGGAATCGAATAACAAAAAGTCTTACTGGTCGATAAAAACATGAATCAAAGAATCTCTAGGTCTCGGTGCTGGACCCCTGGGGTCAGAGAAGTCGGAATCGGCGCCGCTAAAGTCCTGCGTGAGTAACGCCGTGATGCGGTCGTAGTCCTCCGGGAACTTGAGTCGTAGCTTATGGGCAAGGCATCGTAACTTAAGGATTTGAGGATTTGTGGGTATCTGTGATAGATGCAATGATGGGGTAGAACGACTGTGGCGTAGCCTATCTAATGATGGCTTGTGTGCAGGCGTGGAAGGAATAGTGACAGCAGCATTTTCTCCAGAAGACGAGGATTCTTCCGTTTCGGGTTCGGGCTCTGGGTTGGAGGAGACAGCGATGATCTCAGCTGTGCCAGATACGCCAAGTACTGTGCTAGTTCCTGTGGTGTGACTCGTGCTCTCCTGTTCTACATTTTCTCGATCTCGCTGTATGATGTGAATTACTTTCGCACGCTTTCTTCTTCGCTTTCGTGTACGACGAGGTTCTGCCTCGTTTCTCCACGGGCCATCGCTCGTAGAGCTATCTTTGCCTGTACCACGATCACGGGCAGCAAGCCTAGCACGCTCCGCCGCAAGGAAAGAAAACGCGCCACCGAGGTCACCAAGATTGGGTTGGTCTCCTAAATCAATATCGCCATCTGAAAGTGAATGATCGTGGCTCAGATCCGCATCCGAGTTATGAGACTGTGATCGACTAGGTGCCGTGAATGTGAATATATGAGGTTCAAGTTCGCCCTCCGTCTCCTCTCCGGAGTCATCCAAGTTGTTGTCAGGATTCGGAAGGCGCGGGCTCGCGGTTATGCTGGTGAGAGTCGAGCGTGTGTGTGAGGAGCTTGAGGATGCGAGATAAGACGCTAGCATGCTCTGGTTCCATACCGTAGAGCCTTCTATGAATTCTGAGTCCGTCGGAAGTGAAGAGAGCGGACCGGTGTCGGTAGAATTGGGTGTATCAAGTTGGGTGTGAATGTGGGCACCCCCTCGAGGAGGCACGAGTGGTTGAAGGTGGTTGAGGGCCCTAAAGACGGTGGTGAAAGCCCCAAGGTCGGGTGATTCTGAGGTGCGCAAATCAAAGTTGATCATATTAGATCGTACTTCACCAAAATAGAAAAGAGAAGATCGCGATGGCGGTGACTCACCATCTGAGGTTGCGTCACTAGCAACTGAATAGGTTGAGAAAGGACTGATGGGAGTTGGCGAATTGGTTGTCGTTTCCGAGCTGGAGTGGATCGTGGACATGAAATACGGTTATTAAACGGAAATTGATACAGATTGTGATGTAGTAGATAGCCAAGGGTGTGTGTCGTTGACTGGAAAGTATATTGTTAAACGGAACAGAGAAATGAAAAAATAAGGATGATTGAAATAGAAAAACAGTGTGGACAGAGCTGTAGTGTGGCTCAAGGAAACGTGCTGGCAGCGTGCATCTCAGGCTCAAGTGACAGTTGTGGTTAATGAGCCACCTTCCCACTAATGACTCTAAGTATTGATTTTGGGAGCACGTGACCACTCGCGTTCAGGTTCAAGATTCCATAGTCAGAGTCAGAGTCATGAGATTCGTGATACTACATGATGCGTGCACCATGTATGCGAACGAATAGATGTACATATTAAATAATATGCGTGTGGTGGAATACAAATGCTATAATGCCATGTTCCAAGTAAATTTGTAAATTTGTAATGCTGAAAACAATGATGATGACGGTGCATAATACGACAATGAGATGAAAAGGAAAAGGAAACTTTTAATTGAATTCGTTTGTGAACGAGCGCTGGTCCATACAACGTGTAATTGGCTCCGGAGACGGGCTGATGCTGAGGGATATCGTGAGTGGACGCCTGGTAGGGGTCGAACTGCGCGTGGACAGTGGAGAGATCGATGGGAAAAATCGGTGGTTGGAAGTAGGTCGAGGCGGGTATGGGGAGCTAATCGGGCTGACCACGAACGGCGAGGATCCCCGCCAAGAGATGGGGGAAGAGTCGGTAGTGAAGGAAATAGGTGAGCCCACCCGAGAATTGGGGGGTCCCTGAGCTGCTTGACTCAGCGGGTGAGCCGTCAATACGGAGAATGAGGCCTGCGAGCCAGGGAAATGTTAGGTCATTGAGATCAAACGGTGCATGAATATCTACCTCTGGAGTGGCCAGACGAGTGGAAGGGTAAGGCGCGGCAGCGGCCCGTCGAGCGTCTTTGCCAGCGGGGTTGTGACGTGCCTTGGGCTCGTATTTGTGTAGCTTCTTGCGGTGACGCGTCAGGCTGCCTGGATCGGTGCTGGAAAACTGGCATCCAGGCTCAGGACACGTTTGCGAGCGGTTCCTTGTGTGGGTCCTTTGGTGGGTCTGCAAGTTAGACTTTTGGAGAGTCTTGTACTTGCAGCCAGGGTGTGTGCATGTGTGCATACTGACGAAGATAGTCAACAGCTCAGGAACCATCTAGTTAAATATGAGACAAAGAACATACAGATCCTCCTTATTTGCGGCGTGAGTTTTGAGGTGTCTTGGGAGATCTTCTTTGCGGCTAATAAATTTGGTGCATACAGGACATTGAACGGGTGTCTATAAAGTGTCATAAGTACAAGACGTGTGGCGTGATGTAGGCTGGAAGCATACCTTAGGCATCTTGTGATAGAGTATGACAAAGGGAAGAAGTGGATGTGAAGGATCTGCGGGGAGGAATACCTGAAGTCGATGAATAGCGCTTGTGTTGTAGCAAGTCCACATATTTTATGGGCTTCTTTTGGGCCAGTGGGCGTGGTACGAACGTTGAGTATGATTTTTTTTTCTGCAGGGTGTGTTTCTGCCTTTAAAGGCAAAAAGTGCGAAGCAATCGTGTGCGATGGCCTGAGCATAAGGGACGAGCCACTCGGTTAGCGGGGAAGGCAAAAGAATTAGGAGGGCTCGATTGTGTCTCGACACTTTTATTTTTTTTGCCCCGTAAGGTAATTTCAGGTTATCTGCTGGACGTGGGGAGTGGCTCAGCGCTAAGACCCTTCGCGCATCATGATGAATAGGGAAGTAGGGGGCCGGGGCCCACCTCTTCCGAACAGCGCTCCAGGCACGCCCAAAGGCATTGTGTCAGGTTTCATTCCAGCACTTGTCTTTAGGATAACATTCGCAGTCACCCTTTGTCGATGAGCGTTTCTATATAAGTCTCGGAGAACGATGAGGAACAACGTCACGGTGGTACGTTCAAGCTCAAGTTAAGTTTTTAGTGAAACCACAGTGATTAACATCGCTTACGTTATTATCCAAATCCATCAAGGGACCTGACCGCATCACCAAGTCATTATCTATTTGAGCGGTAAGATCTAATACACGGCCTAATCTAGCTATGCGTAGATGTACAGACATGGACTGCAAGCTTTGTTATTGCCGATACAAGTGTTCCAAGATACATGTACCACAGTCACCATGAAAGTGCCATCATTGCCGACCAGCCAGCAAATCAGTCACAAACCGCTAACCATGCTTGATGCACGCAGCTCATGAGGCTCCCGCCTGTACTCGGGTGCGAACTTGTCGTTTTACAGTTTATCGTCACACGTTGCCTGTACCTCTGGAGAATATATCACATCAACATCACGGGAGTTGGTGGCCAATGGCCCGAAAACATTATGCCTGATTTCAGTAACTTCAAAGGACCCGAGATATTAATTCAGTGGCACCTGATGCATGCGTACTATGAGATTGACCACTCGTGGCAGACACCTCGACTGAATTAACGTTTCAACGTCAACCAGAACCTGGGACTTGGACTTATCCAGAAGATGGCACGTCATACTGGAAATGTTATCGTCAAAATGAGCTACTGACCTTTTCGAACCGCTTTCATTAATTAACGTCAAAGTAGTCGTGTCGAAATCCATACCCAGCAGCTTGACGAGAGAGGATCTTTGCCCCTCCAAACAGCATGACGTCGGACGGCAGCATACCTTGGAATGTTCCAGCACTCGAGTGCGCTGTAATTCGAACGGGATCGTAGACCATAATCCGATCGATCGACCTTGGCCTCTGATGCGGCGTGGCCCAGCGATCGAGTCATGTGGTTGCGCAGATCAGACACATCTATGACCGTGCGTTGAAGACATCTTCCCTGCATCGTAAAAGAAAGTCAAGAGATATTGCGTCTTAAAATACATCAGTAATCAAACCCTTCCCTTCTCACCGTCCCAACCATACCCTGGATAACCTCTCGCTCGAATGCTTCCGGACCGCAAACATACACACATTCAACTTTGAAGTCAGAAATGAACTGGGAAGTGATCCGTCCAGAATGACGATGAAGCGATACCGAAGCAGGCAAGGAGCTCTCGAATTGTTCAGTGTGCGAGAAGATGTGAATGATTAGTTTAGCTTTGTGGGGAGCGACTTTTATGGCATTGGAAAGAAGGAGGAGCATCACATCTGGCTCGCGCGTGGATAACACAAGGGTGATTTCATACTTGGAGCACGAGGACGGAACGCCAGAGAGCATAGCGAGGAAAGGTGTTATTCCAATCCCGCCGGCTACCCAAAGGAGCTTCCTTGGAGCGTTGTTTTGAATCGACGTTTGTTCTTCCTCACGTCTAGCCGCAATTTTAGCGCCATCGTGAGGGTCTGGGGGCTCAAGGACGAAGTCCCCCACTATCCCGACCACTGTAACGCCCAGACCGAGAGGACGTGAGTCCTCAAGGAACTCAGGGCGAACCGCTGAGAGTTTGTTGGCAATGCTAAACAGTGCCCCGGTAACGGCACCACCAGGCTTCAGGCGCATTGTCAAGGAGAACGTCGTGCCTACCCTGTCCTCAACCGAAGTCCACGAGCTGCACCACGAAATGGTCCACGTCCTGATACGATCGTCGTTCACTAAATTCGGGTTCTTGGGTGCCATGTGCCTGTATGGCAACGCACCGAGAAAAGAGGTGAAATCAAGGATAGCAGCTTGGCCTGGAATAATATCAAGTTTGTGGGGTGATTCAAACGTGAATGTGGCGAGATCGGAAGAATGAAACTCAACGCGGGAGAGCGCGGCGTGTATGGTGTCTTCGGTGCTGAAGTATGTTGATGAAGCTTGTTCTTCTTTGAGCAGCTTCACAGGGGGCGCATACATACTCCTTTGCGGCTCTGTCCCTTCGCGTTGACGAACAGGCAATGCGTTCTCGATACAAATATAACCCGTTATTTCAATCGTGGTGAGAGCATTATGTGAAGGCATGATTGCTTGAGCGGGAGCGCCAACAAGGTTATGGGCGATTCCGGTAACATATAAGAGTGATCCGTCGGTGAATGATGGGAATGTCAAAGAAGCAAGAGCTGTGGCTTCTATATTTCCGAGGGATGTCATTAATCGGTTGCCTGTGCATTGATAGGGCATTTGTAATCGATGAAGTATGCGGACATAACAGTGCTTACCTGAGTAATCGGGCAAGACAAGAGTACGCTCATCATTGCGCACACGAACAAACCCGGGTCTCCCGCCACGATGATTCATGCCGAGGTGAGATGGAAACCTCGGTGCATCTTCCTTAGAGGCCGAGTATGATGAACCTAGGAATACAGTGTCGGATGACAAGATGAATGAGATGAGATCTGAGGGAAGGCGGCCAGTCGAGAGGAGGTTCATTTCTTGATGGGTGACTCGAGGTGTCGTATTTGGAAATGGAACGAGATCGCGGATCGTGATGTATTTCGGGCAATTCCTGCGGACAGTCAGCATAACACTAGAAGCACGTTCAAAAAATGTGGACGTACCCAATAGCTTCGTTTACGGTCGTGCGAATATCCAATAAACCCTCGTGCTCTTCAATAACCTTGACCGACCCTGCGAACTTGGTCCTGCGTCTACTTGAGAACTCTACGCCGATACCAGCAATCAGCATCTTCCTCGAAGACTCATCCGCAGTATGAGCATGATAGTCCGCATTCGCCTTGAGCGGATCACCGTCCCAGACCTCCGCCCGCATAGATAATTGGTCATACATCTCGCTAGATGCCCACCCAACCTCTCCATTTGGACCTGCGAGTATTGAAGACCAAGGACGACCCATAGAATCAAGAGTGGTGACAGGAATAAATGGGAGACACGTGGAGTAGAAATTTCGGTGCTGCTCTGGTATTTCTCCTTCGATTTGGGTCCAAGCCTGGGATACGGCTCCACGAAATCCGAGTTTTTGCTGAATAGAGCGTTCACCTTTGTGCCAACCGTTGAGAGAAGACATTGTGAGATGTGTACTGATGATGGTTAGGAGAAGATGAGAAGATGTCACTCCACCACATGACGCGGTCCGGCTGCTCACAGTGTCATGTGACATATGGTGAATTTGAGATGCTTGTGCAGCAAGAGTCTAGACTTTGATTTGTCTGCGCAAGCACAGGTGAGAGCAAGATAACCATCATCATGGTGCAGTGCAGGCGAGGTCAGAGGTAGGCAAAACGGGTAGAGCAGAACCAAACATAAATTATCAATGCTACAGGATACTGGGGTGACAGTAGTACTGCAATATTGAAACTAGCGCAGGAATCACGAAGTGGGCACATGGAGGAAGGTGGATATCAAAGCATGAGAGCTGCAGTTGGCGAAGCTGCAGCAGCTGAATCCAAGTTAAATCGGTAGCTACCCGAGGACCGGGCGAGTGCAACTTGCAAGCGCCGCCGCGAGGTTGATCGTTTGGCTATACGAGTTGTACCACACAAAGAATACATGACATGAATCTCACCTGGTATCTCTCTGTGAACGGTCTGTCATGTTCTCGTTTCCGGTGAGACCACACGTGTTGTGTAGATCACGGCGAGGTCTTGGTGTTTAGCGCTGTTGAACTAGTAGCGGCTGTTGAAATCTTGGTGCGGCAGATGCCGAACGCCTCTTGCCAACATTTTCTCCACGGACTCGAATGGTATGAGTATGTTTGCCTGTTGCCAATCAAGAAGTATACCTCCAAATCCAAGCTGATTTCTAACAAGGCTGCGTAAAATCTTATATCTATCACAAGACGCATTCAGGCTGGTCCCTTTTAGATGAACATTATGGTTGCTTGGACTCGGGTCACTCGGCTAATACGAGTTGCGCCTCGTTCGACTCGCGAGTTGCTAACGATGAAACGGATTGAATGTCGTAGTGGCAGGAGTGTCACTCGTCGTAGCAGATGATGAAAATGACTCACTAGCAAGGACGATGAAAGAGTCTGGAGTGAAGGTGATGTCCAATGATAGTATTTGTGTAGGTTCGCCTGCTGACCCTTTGAAATCTGGACAAACGTTGACATGAGCCTATATCCTCTGGTGACATGACTGATGTACGGTCGCTGAGTATCACCAGGTTATACGCCATGGTGATCTACGATGTAGGAGAACGGAGAGCTCCTTGACGGGAATAACCACTGGACTCCAAGAAAGTCATTAATATTATTGAAACCTTAATTTATCAGGGGTTCATGTTTAACACAAACTGTAGATGGGAGCGTACCACGTCGGCTAGGTGTGTGCGTGGGCGTCGAGCATTTCTTTAGTAGCAGGCATGGTTGCGCTCCAGGTATTCACCCCATTTTTGTAGAGTCTATTATAGACAAGAGCACCAGGACCCAGTAGAACTGACTCTTGGCTTCACAGCTGGTCCTTCCTCGGAGATCCGATGTCAGTTTGGCTGATGCGTGCAACAAATCATTCTCTCACATCGACAACAACAATATTAATTCCATCAGTCGACTCCATTCATTGTTATTTTAGCTGCGCATGTTTTCACTGCTGATTGTGTGCGTGCGGGGCACGGTGCGGTTACATCAAACGGTCGTGTGAATCGGGATGCTTGGGAAGGGGTAAAAGTTTCCAAGGAATGATGGGACCGCGATTACTGGGAGAAAGGCTGAGGATTTGCAGGGATTTGCCCATGTCAACAAGTCTGACTCGATGGTTCCTTGTTCAGGAAGCTAAGGCCGTATCTCCGACGTTACTCAGCAACGTCGTGCCCCGGGTGTTACTATCTAATCTCTAGGAAGGCGAGAGCAGAAGATGATTCGATAATCAGTGTTCTTGCCACATGTTCTCTCTGACTTTCTTAACGAAACCACGTCCAAAGCGAGCTTCAGAGAAAACCACCATGTTAGTGGTGGATCTTGCTGAGATTCGAGAAGGTATGTTCTCGAAGTTTTGCCGATAGACAGCCACTGAAGGAGCTGGATTACTATGGCTCCACCTGACATTCAGATTGTTGATGAGTGTCGAGGATAGCGCTGTATCTTTCGTCAGCCTCGTAAGTGTGGAGGTGCGATGGTGCGTCACTGGATTGTTATTGTTATTCGATGGTGGGGTGCATCATGATGGGATCAGGAAGCCTTGCACAACTGGTTAAGCACATCACGCACATTTTTCGTGCAACGCGAGACATGCTGACTCAAATCCATCTGGGAATAGCGCGAGCGATCAACGCATCTCACGAAGGCAGCTGCTCTAGTTCGGTCCACGTCACCTACAGAACCATCGAATGTTCTGGATACTCCTGGAAGTTGGACCCACAACTGCAGTGCATCCTAGGAAATCCTAGGGTCACATGTTCAATTTGTGTCTGATGTGCGTTATCTTTTGGTTTATCAAGGTTCGCTTTGTAGGCGTCGTGCGTGCTGAATATGGAAAGAAAGCTGTATGGTCGTTGAGTCATGCTCGATGGAGACTTCGAGTTCCGTGGCTTCCCACAGCTTCCTACCTCAGCTTATTGACTGAGGCTTCTAAATGCTAGGATTGCGCCACTGCGCCCACAATTGAACGTGTCATCCTTGAACAATCGGAGTCCCTATTCAAGTGGCGAAGCGCTGAACTCGTACATATAAATGTGATATCTGACAGCCTTTCCAAATTCCAACCCCGTACTACCCATCGTCTGAGGTCATACTACCACATGGCAACCGACTCTCAAAATGGCGTTTCGCGCGTTGATCACCATCCAGATTATTATCTTCCAGACGGCACCATTACCTTCATCGTACGCTATGATGTCCTGAATGTATTCCGCACGCGCTGACAGCCACGTTTTCACAGGTAGAAAATACTTTCTTTTGCGTTCATAGGTCCTTCTTTGAGCGCGAATCTCAGTTTTTCATTCAGGAATTTGCAAACGCTCCCCAGGGTGGAATATCTGATGACAGTGCGTTTCGGCTTGAGGAAGTGACAAGTGCCGATTTTGCGAAACTCCTCTGGGTCTGGTACAGTCCGTAAGCTCTCAGTTAGTTCTCTCAGAGACATTACCCCTGACTTCCGGTCACAGGAAGTATAGACTGGACAATAAACGGCCAGACCACTGGCTCGTGATACTCGATCTCTCCACGAGGTGGCAATTTCTAGAGATGAGGGAGCTGGCTATCGAACAACTCCAGAATCTCGAAATTGACCCCGTGGAAAAGATCGCCATTTTTAACAAGTACGAGATCGATAAATCGCTACTTTTGCCAGAATACATGCACCTTTGCACGCGGGAGGGTCAGATGTCGATCGAGGAGGGTGAGAAGGTCGGGTTACTCACTGTCCTCGGTATACATCAGGCTCGCGAGCGTGCGATGAAGAGTGCAAGGCCAAGAGAGGGTCACAGCCTAACTCCTGCTGATGCAAGTGACGAGGACCTGGAACAGATATTGAAAGATATCTTCAATCTTGACGCAAATGCTACTGCCGGATCACGACGTGGCGCATATAATCAGGTGCCCTCGGGAGGCACTAGCGGCCAGAGCGCGCAGTCGCAGGGGCAATCAAACTCACTCACTATCATCAATACGCCGCCCGATGCAAGCAGAACGGGCAGGTTGTCTGGGCCAGGTTCGGTAAGTCGGAACTTCTACCAAAGAGCGTGTCATTTGGCTAACTAAATACAGTCCTCTCAAAGCTTCAGTAGGGGGGGAGGTGCTAGAGGAACGGTATGTCGCATGCGACTCACTAAGCGCAATTGAAACTGAAGGAATATAGGATAGAACCAGATAAGTGACCAATCGATGGGTGATCTGGGAGCTTGCCCAAGTGAAAGTTGGGCTTGCGTGACCGAGAATGCAGTGAAACGCGTGTTAGTCGATAGTTCCATGTCGACGTTCATCGAGTTCGTGATAGCATTGGTGGTTGTCTATATTGTCCTCCATGTACTATAGCTACGAAGTCTCGATTCTTGCCAGTGAAGACACCGGAAGTTTGTTCCGTGGACTGAAAATATGCACAACCACCTTTTACGATCCCGTCATCGTGCACACAACTGATCCAAATCCAAACTGCGTAAGTGCATGCAGCGGAAAACGTCTTGGAAATGTACTGATCGCCGATGGCACAAGGATGGCGGCAGGCACAGACTCATGTAAGACGTTACGAGAGCACACGAAAGGAAGCGCTCGAGGATGCATGAGGGTGCGGCGGACCAATAGGTTGTCCACTGAATGTCGTTACAGACATCGAGTCCAAAAAAAAAACAGAGGAAATCACATAATACAAAGATTTTTGCAGGAGCGGGCGGGAGCAGTGGTGGGCGGGAGCAGTACTTGGCGGGCGGAGGCGCATTGATATTGGAACTCCGCTCGAACCCGGGGATGGAATAACCCCAGAGTGAACGTTATCCCTGGCTTTCACATCCAGGAGGTGTACAGAATGAAAGTTCATCAGAAATTCAGAATGATGCATAGCATTGCACAGTCGAAGGCCGCCAAAAACAGGTCATTATCATCCTCCCCCACGACCCGTTCCCATCTTATTCTCTTCCTGCATAGGTTTGAAATTTGAACCTTGAACATATGCACGATCTAGGCCTCACATTTAGCGCTTTTGCGAAGAACACGACGTTAATATTGAAAACGACACAACCGTCCAGCAACTTGATCTCCGCTAGGTACGATTCATTATATCTTAATATACATGAAACTGTGAGGAAGCAATGATATTTCAATCAACTAGGTGACAGCTATTCCTATCACTCAAGCCTATTTACATCAAACTCGTCCACCCACCGATAAAGTTTTTTTTGACGTATTCTATTAGTATGTTTTTTTCCCCTCTCCGGAACTTATTGGCTCGCTAAATTCGATGTATCAATGCCAAGAAGTTCGTGGATTACATTCAATTATATTTCATTGGTGCACACCCTGATCCCGTGCTTGATGGAGGCGTCAGCTGATTTATTTTAATGTCCAGGAAAGTTTTTTCCGTCGTCGCCCGAGTCCCGCTCGAGGTTTTTGAGCTGCTAGAGAACTTGGTGAAGATGGTCTTGCGACAATTTCAGTTCTGAAAGAAGAGGCACGGGCCCCATACAGCAGGGAGGCCGGGAAGGAAGGTATGAGGGACACCACTGGTTCATTTTTAACTTGAGTAACAGGATCTTTTGATCAATGAGAAGTTATGCGACTGGCATCCCACAGAAGGCTGTTGTTCATAGCGCAGATATATTGATTCGTTCACCAGACATCTACAAGCGTCGTATTTCTCGTTCCCTATACGATGGTGCGATGCGAATTCACAACTCTCTTGACAGGTTCTCCCCCGGACCCTCATATGCACTCGGCTGCTCAGAGGCGCGTACAACTTGTGTAGGCTGGCCAGGTACCGGATGCCTTGCAGTAGCTGTCTCTTGTGAGCGTGTACTTCATACAGATCAACTACTGACATTAAGCCCATGAGACCCCAGACTACAATGCAGCAAATCGAACTTCCTACTAGTAGCCGATCTACGTGTGGCGATAAATCACAAAGATCATGCTAGCGCATACTTCCTAGAAGATAATATGAGTCAGCAGTCTCGCCGCTTGCAACCGTGGTGGTCAGGGCACAGGTTAGTACACAAGCGATTGAGGATGTTTATGTCGGAACGTCGTGGCGTGCGGTCCGTACGTCTGACCTTATCATTTGGAGATTCTCACCCACCGATGACAAGCTGCCTTGTCATCTATTTCAAAGGCGGTCGCATATATTTGCAATCCAAGTAAGCCGTCCCCATGGTCATGGGGTTGTACTTACGACAGTCGGCGCTAACCGATTTATACATTCAAAGAATTTGCATGCGTAGCTGCCAGCACGATCGTAGATATTCGACGAATGATCTGATTTGGGTCACATAGTGGACCTGGTACTTGTCAGAAGATGAAGGATTAGATCGATCGAGGGAGTTACATAGGCCTATGCCCAAGCTCGTCGAGCGCTCATCTTGAGAATCGCGGGAACGGCCGGACTGTCCGGGAATCACGTGCGCCCGGACAAATCCCTTTCTTTGTGAATCAAATTCACCAGCTTTATAGCCCGATATACCATTGCGCCGCCTAATATCTGGGGGACATTATCACTGGTGCAGACTGTCCGGCCGGACTTTGAATCCCGATTTCCATATGGGCGCTCTTAGATGCGGCATCATCGGTCTACCGCTCATCTTAGCGCGGTCACATCTTAATACACTGCGCGGTTCAGGACCCCAGGCAAGTAAGCATGCATACATCTTCCACAATCCTCGGACTTGTATGGATAAATGTCATAAGCTTCATTCCCAAGGGCGCGGCTGCCACACGGCGGCTTAGATGAGTTTCCCCGGAAGTAAAACTCTCACTGTCAAACATTGCCGGCATGTTAATCATAATGTGAAGCCACCACGGATCTATACCCATGTGTCTTCATCACAGCTGTGGAGAGTAATCAAATACAATCTCTTGATTGCCCAAGCCCGTTTTCTAACTCATGACAAGGACTGTTTCTCACCATCTCAGGGCAAAGGGCAATCGCTCCGACATACATAGTCTTTCATTGCGGATTAATCCGGCACGTTAACCCGCAGGTCACGTATAAATAATGTGGTCAGAATTCTCGTGACCCAGCTTCGTCTCACCTTCTAAGCTTTCTAAATGCACTTCACTGGCTTCTCTGTGCTTCTCTTCTCAGGAGTTGCGACCGTCGTCGCGCGCACCGAGCAAACCAAGCGTGATGCAAGTCAGCCATACTTCGACATCTATCAAGGTCCAAATGAGCAGGATTCTATCATCAATGATCCCTCTACTCAACTCGACTACACCCTGTCTGCGGGAGAGGCGTAAGTTAACTCGTTCTTGATTATACTTCACAAATAACATGTATTTTATGTGCAGATTTCCCAACCCATACATGGTCGACAGACTAGGAACGACTGGCCCTCTTCTTATTTCGTCCACTAGCCTGGCAAGGAATTTCCTTTGAATAGCGTCGATCCTTCCTAATATAAGCACATCTCAGATCGAACAACTGGCTCACTTTGTCCGTGAGAGGGTGGTAAGGCACACAGGAATCTTCGCAATCCCACTGCTAACAAACTCTTTGCAAAGCCTGAGCGCACCGTCCACGCCAAAGGCGCAGGTGCCCATGGTTGGTTCGAAGTGACTACACCTGTGGCTGCAAATTACTCTATGGCGAAAGTCTTCTCGGATGTTGGCAAGCGTACCCCGGTTACTGCTCGATTTTCTACAATTGCTGGTAATCTGGGCAATGCGGATACTGTTCGGGACCTGCGAGGGCTCGCCTTTAAGTACATGACCTGTTTAGTGTTGTCGCTTCGTGTTCACTGTGTTGCTGTTTTAAAACTTTAGGCTGCGCACAGAAGACGGAATCTTGGATTGGGTAAGCGTTCATCATGTACGAGTGTTTCCTGAAGCTAATATACCGCCAAGCCCTTCTTAAACCACCCTGTTTTCTGGCTCCGGGATCCGGCGAAGTTTCCTCGTTAGTTTAACGAGTCCTCCCATGGCTTGTCATATTGAATGGTGTCCACAGACTTTATTCATTCTCAGAAACGTAATCCTCAGACAAACACTTTGGATCACAATGTACGTTCTCATGATATAACAAGCACTTCATTCACACTAACATTATGCACCCCACTAGAACTTCTGGGGTGAGTGACAAATCAGTTGCTCCGATGTGCAGGCTTCACGTTTTTTTAGATTACCTTTCCGCGAATAATGAATCGATCTACCAGGCACGTCCTTGCAAGATTCTTCCAATTAAACGATTATCTTTGCTGACATTAAAATGTTATAGACCATGCGTACCATGTCTGACCTCGGGACCCCATACGGTTTCAGGTAACATAGATCTGATGAAATATGCCTGCTCTCTCCTTTACTCATCAATTCTTAGGCATATGAATGGCTTTAGTGGCAACGCATTCCGCGCTGTGAAGGCTGATGGATCTTGGGTTTATATCAAGTAGGCGGTCGTTGTTGTGCTTGTTTTCTTGACCGTTGACACGACCAAGAACCTCCGCGTATACGGATCAGGGCATCATGAACAATACTAATGACGCAGCCATCACGCAAGCTGGCACGAACCCCGACTTCGGCGTCCAGGATCTTTATGACTCCATTGCAGCCGGAAATTACCCCAGCTGGACAATCTACTGGCAAACCATGACGGCTCAGGAAGCGGCGAATTATAAATGTCAGATACCTAGTCTTATCTGGTTTCTTCAAGCTAGCGCTAACATTTTCTCTCAGACGACCCCTTGGACCTGACCAAAGGCACGTTTCACGTCCCTCAAGCTACACTTTCTTGACACTCACATTTCTATTTCTAGAGTGGCTCGTAGAAGACATACCTCTGAAGGAAATTGGTCGGATCACCCTCGTTCAGAACCCGTACGGATTTCTGACTTTCGATGTTCATGCACCACACCTACCTTTTTCCTTAGGACTAATCATTTCTCGGAGGTCGAGCAAATTGGTTTCGACCCTGCAAACTTGGTTTGTGTTTCTAATGGTCCGCGAACCAACAAGGCTAATTCAACCTAGCCTTATGGTCTCGAGCCTAGCGAGGATCCCACGCTGCAAGCGCGATTGTTCGCTTACGCTGGTAAGCTTTCTAACATAACTTTGAAATCCTTCTACTAAACTTCATGCGCCCAGATGCCCAGCGATACCGCACTGGAATTAACGGAAGACAACTTCCTGTGAGTAGCACCATGTGACTCAGTCTGATCGTGCTAAAGCTTATATATGATTACAGATCAACTGCCCCCTCAATCCCGTCGGTTTGTAACATTGCTCCATCGCGCTGTGTGATGCTAAATCGAGTTTATCCAGCGAACTTCGTGCGTGATGGTGCCATGAGTTTCAACAATCAGGGAAAGCGCCCCAACTTTTGGTCGCAACAAGATATGCTTCAGCTTGCTCCTCGCCCCTATAATGACGACAATTACAACACTTGGACTGGCGGTGTCGTCAAGTACCTCAGCTCTCCCAGCGAGATAGATTTCGACCAGCCCAGGATCTTCGTACGTAGCGAATAGTGTGCAGTTTGCTTTCGAATCGCTGATTGAACAATTACAGTGGAATGGTTTGTCTGAACGTGATCAAAACAACTTGATCTACAATGTCGTCTCGCATCTTGGACAGGCTAGCGACATGGCCATCCGCCTCAAGCAGTGCCAGATATTCTACCATGTGAATGAGACCTTGGGTCAAGCCATTGCAGCGGGAGTGAATATCACGCTTTAGATACAAAATAGACGACTGTAAAACAACGGACATTCTCGTCGTTACATTTCATTCACGCAATATATGAGTTCATGTACAGTGCTGTATCTTTGGGTCAAAGGAATATGTTCAATATCACCCAGGAAGGAATGATGAATCGGAATTTGACTGAAATGGTTTCGAACTTCGGATATCCGAATCAAACATTCGTTGGAACAGGTCGCTACATCACCCGTGTATACGAGGGCTATACTTATGTCATTGTCTAATGTTCCGAATTTCCTATCACCCTCGCGCCCATGCTGGCGGTAACCAATATGTACCACCAGACTCATCCATCATCGCAAGCCATCATTCATCAAGGTCCGGTAAACGTTTTGCACTTGGCCCATGACACGCGCCATTAATATGAATTTAAAGGCACGAGGACAGAGCTACTCGTGGATCTTTTCACTTACCCGTAGCTCCCGGAACATTAAGATCCGTCTTGCCCTGCGACGGACTCGGAGGCCAAAAAGTAGTAAGTGATGCTGCATAAATATTAAAATGATAAGACCAACTAAGCCACGTTCACCTCGTGACTATGTCGAACTCTGCCTGAAACAAGAATTGAATAGTGATTCGCCTATCATACGTTTGGCGGTCAGCCTCCTTTCCAAGGTCTGTGCTCGGTGTTTAACGTTTAGTGCTTGGTCTGCGTTCTATGTAGGAACACCGGAAGCATTTGGAGTCCAATTTGGGACGAGCATCTTTGTGGCGGAGTTTTCCTAAAACGTACAGTCGGGACTAATAACGTACAGCTGTTTGCAGAACGCAAAGTCGGCAACCGTACGTCGGACCACAAACTTTGGACTTCCGTCGACGCAGGGCTCGAACGATTGATGCGATACATTCGGAAGATGTTTCAGGAGACTGACAAAGTTATCGGCACACCAAGGTGAGCTTTGAATCTAAAGAAAAATTGACCGTAGACGTTGTATGAAACACAGTTGAAATGAGTAACAAGATTGCTGGCTACACGTTTATGTATATGCATTGAATTTTTAAAGGTAAAGATCTTCAGACCAACTTTCAAAGTTATTCACATCCTCAGTCAGGCTCTTAATTTTGTCCCTTGTTGAAACAATGACCTTTCGGTGGAGTGGCAGACGCATAGGAACTTCATCAAGGTGGCTCAACTTCTCAATGGCTACCGCCGCCTTGTCTGCGTCTCCATTGATGTTGTCCGACGTGATGAACTGCCGAACTTGGGAGCCGGGCAAGCCAGGATTGGCGTAAGCAGGGTGCTGGGGAGCCACAATTTGGTTCTCTTTGAATATCTTGGTGCGGAATGGACCTGGCTCGATTATTGTGACCTTGGGAAATCGAACGTTAGATAAGTTCTTGGCAGCCGGCCATCCTTAGCTTACCTTTATGTTCCATGCAGGATCGAGTTCATTTGCCAAGGACTCGCTCAGACCTTCTAGCGCTAGACAAATTGGTAGTAAGCATCTCCGCTCTCACAAAATTGATTACACCTGCCAAATTTTCTGTCGCAATGATATGAATTAAATACAGCATGCCACATGACCAGGAACACTCACGATGCACTGTAAAAGGCGGTTGCAGGGCCGCCAACCAATCCCAACCTTGACGAGACCTGCAGCAGTCTCCCACCAATTGGATTGTTCACTTCTCGGAAGAACTTCACCGCTTCCTTGCTCACATGCATAGCACCCCAGAAATTTACTTCGAACATCTGGCGGGCGCCTTCCTCGCTCACGGACTCCATTTCTCCTATGACACATTGACCTGCATTATTCAATACAACGTCAATCCTTCCAAAAACTTCTTTTGCTTTGGCAAATGCGGCCGTTACTCCCGCGCTGTTCGTCACGTCAAGTTGAATGACTAAGAGCTGGGAGGGAAATTGTGCCGATAGATCTGATAGGGCATCTAGTTGGCGCAGAGTCGCTATGACTTTGGCGCCTTTGTTGAGCAATAGTTCAGTCACTGATCTCCCGAATCCTGATGATGCGCCGGTAACTAGAAGAAGAACATATGAGATATCAGCATCCATGGCAAGTCTAATAATTCACTTTCACCCACTAAACCAAACCTTTGTGTCTGCCATATCTCCAGCAGGGACTCAGAGAACAAGAGGAATGACAGGGGCGTGAGTATCGGAGCTAATGCGCAGCACTTACTCTGTAACGGCTCGTGTGAGCTATATTTCACCTATAAAAATATCAAATACGCCATACATACGCCATACTTACATGCACAGGCGGCTCGCTCTTGAAAATTAAATGTGCCTATATTACCTAACCTCGAAAAATGCGGGTGATATACTTTTCGGAACAAAATCGGAGTCTCTCGAGCGCTTGGCGCTAGCTAGTCGGATATGCTGCAAACTGTTGGTCGATTCGGTAGTATTGTGTCTCCGGGTTGCGAGCCATCCGGCCCTCTCTTACACTGCCCTGAACCCCTGAGATATGTACATACATTTAGCAGTTGTGTGAGCGCACCATGGCGGATCTCTCTAAATAGTTGGTATCATAATGCAAAACCAATCAATTGTCATTCCAATAGACTTTGTGAAAAAAATTCAGGAACTACCAATTCGTCTCCACATTCAATTTCTGGTTGCTGATTCTAAAAAATTATTCTGTTGTGTGATCTTGTGTCCCAGGGCTAGTTTGTTTCATGTGGCAGGGGTTTGGCATGAGTCCTACCTTGACGGTAAGCACAAGGGGATAGGAGAACGTGTGAGTATGCGATGGAGCCCATGAAGTCGGAGATATGCAGAAGAGCTGCGAGGGTGCACGAAGGTATCGGGCGGAAGTAGGAGGTAACAAGAAAACAAGCACGGGTGGGAGAGTGTCTCAGGAGATGGGCAGTAGGTCTGGATGGGTAGTAGACATGTCGTGTAACCATTTTGACAACGTCCGAGAGAGGAGAGCTTGTGGTTACCCCACTCGACTTGTCCGTGGTATAAGCCAAGCTGGCCGTGGGCTTATCAGAGGATGAAATGCCAATAAACATGCGGAAGGGTGCCATGGAGTCAGGAGCATGCGGGAGGGTGCCATGGAGTCAGGAGCATGCGGGAGGGCGTGAGTGTACCACTGGCATCCCCGCACGGCAGGCCTTCGTGAGCAAATGTGAGGGACACGCACAACGGTGCAACTTGAACTTGCAAGCAAGTGCACGAGAGGTGAAGGAAAGCTCAAGATTTCAAGTATGGGGCTTCTCTCGGTCCGCAATGAAAGCGAAACACTATGACGTCAATGTGTTCTAGAGCTTTGCGTGCTGTGTTGCCTGTTTGACACGTCGAGCTCCCGTGCGAATGCAAATGTCACTCGATATTTCTGGTTTCAAGAGCAAAAGGAAGGAAGGAAAGTCAGGTGGCCAACATAACTTACAAAGGCACTCAGCAGGGAGAGAAGGAAGTACGGCGTGAGTGTGGTCTGTCGAGCCTGAGCGTGTGTGTGAGAGGCTGAGGCTAAAACACTCCATCAAGGGGCTTGCATGTTAGCCGCGGTCGACAATCTCAATCAAGTTTTGGTAGCTAGATGTTGAGTTGTTCAACGTTCAACAATAATCTTAGCTCTCCCCATGGGCCACTGTCTGTGACAAAGAGTCACAGTCAAGTTCACACGCCTAATGGAGACAGCCCTCCCCGGTTCAAGTTCTCAAGCTTCACTCAAGTTCAGGCATTTCTTCAAACAAAATCCTAATTGCGCCGAAATCATTCAACCTGCACTAAGCACTTTGTCACATGTAGCCCCTTGAAGGCTTCCGGAAGGCTGACACGCGCAATAGTGAATTCGGACTCGAGGTAGCGGGCGCTGCCACGAATGTGGGGGCCCAGATTTTCAGATCTTCGTCGACAATACGAGAATATTGCTGTGGCACATACAGATTGCAAGCTATTACAGGTGACCATTTGACAATTGTTCCTCAACAACTTGATCAAGAATCAAATGATATGTTTTGGAAGGTCTGGAATGACTGGCGCTGGCGCCAGTCATTACGCCACGACGCTTTGCCTGATATGGGCTCCGCAAATTGGTACCTTTTATGACGTTTGTATGGTTTCCTCGGATTGACTCATCACCCGACCAAGGACGCTCATCTGGTTCACTGCATCCGAGGGGCCAACGTGCATTGTTGAATACACTTAAAAGTTACATGGAGGTCAGTGTTCTCAGGGACTAGTCATATTTCTGGTTCACAGTTGTGATCAGTGTCGGCTTATTTCTGGGGATCTTGGTGATATTCCGTGTTCGGCGGTCTGTCTCGTTTTAGGTCGTTACCAGTATGGCACATATGCTGCGCTTCGACCGGATGTGACATGCAACTGGCGGAGTCGTATAGGTACCCGGGATGGTACGGGAATGAAGGTAGGTAACCGAAAAATGATAGTGCCAGATGGGCCAAGCTACTGCCGACAAATTGCAGTACGTACTCGATCATCATACAATGGTTAATCAGGAGTAGACAAAACCTTACAGAATTGCAAATGGTATCCAGTGAAATCCCGCAAAAGAAAATGTAACTAGTGGCACTGCGTCGATATTCTCACCCGCCGGCAACACCGATGGCGCCATGACATTGTATGGTTTCATTGCAATTGTATGGGAAGCACCCCCGTGAGTGGTTTGCGTGGCGTCACCCGAGGTCTAGTTGCATCTGCACCCTGTTACAATCACTTGACCTTGGCTTGCAATGACCCTTCTCAGTCGGACAAAAATCAGCACCGTTCGGTCACGTTTTTTTTTCTGTGTCTCGTCAAAGTTGGAGTTTGAAACCTATAAAAGCTCTTCCAGCATAACCAGACCTTCCTCAGCACTCCAATTTTCAATCATGTTCGACATCTACGCTTTAGCTGCATCTATCATCGGTGGCGTTGTGCTCACACTTCTTGCCGATGTCGCCTCGATAAAATCTCGAGGTGTACCGAAGACGCTCCGTGATATATTGTCCACCATCACTGTTCGTATCAGACCTATTTGCTCTCTGGTTATGGATGAACTGACGATCGGTTAGAGCCCCATTCGAGCTGCATTGGGCGGACGAGATGACCAAGATGGTAATCCTCTGACAAGGTATGGATGCGCCCCCCTTTACGGCCGTAGTCTAATGTTTTGTTTATTTCAGAGCGCAAGTCACTGCTGCATTTCCGCAAGGAACGTGGCAGCGTAATGCCTACGAAGACTACAAGGCAGTTCTCCTCGACGAGGAACTAGTCTTCCCCTGCATTTACGCCACAAAGGGCTTTAAATCAGACGACCAGCTCTATCTGTTCATCGACTCGGATGACCTATCAGACCCACGGCATATCCGTTCTCTCGCCAAGGCTCTTACCATATACCTCCCTCAGGCTCACCAGCTTGGTCCCAACACTTCCCTCGTTCTTCTTGCCAAGCAAAATGACAACATTTCGCGATCAATAGAGGACTATAATTCCCTGTTCTGGGAACTCCTCAATGGTCTTGCTAAGCTTGATGAAAAACCATGGCCTTCAACTGTGCCCCGTGACATTGACACGGACAGATGGTGCTTCTGCTTTGGCGGGGAACAATTCTTCACTGTCATCCAAACTCCGGCTCACCAGGTCAGACGCACACGTTATGCGCCGGGCCTGACCATGGTCTTCCAGCCAAAGTGGATTTTTGACATCCTCTTCAGCACTGACGCAAAGCGCGCTGGTGCTCTTGCAAAAGTTCGTGCCCTCGTCGCCAAGTACGATCCCATCCCTGTTAGCCCTGAGTTGAAAAACTACGGCGACGAAGGATCGCGGGAGTCCAAGCAGTACTTCTTGCTGGATGAAAATGTTCCGGCATCGTGTCCATATGACAAACTTAGTGATCCCGAGATCGTCGCTGCATAAAGGTGCGCTGATGGCCCCCGGTTAAGTTACCGTCATCTAACCAACCCCACAGCGAACTACGACAGCTTCCTAACGCGGAGTTGTAAAAATGAAGTGGTGCTTTGAAATCTGAAATTTGAAATTTGTCTAGAGTGTAACGTTCTTCCTTGTAGTTCTACGCGTAATTCAATAGCGAGCTTGGTTTATGTTGCCAGGTTGTGTCAATTATGATGCTGCGCGATGCCCTTGGAAAAGAATCTTTGTGGGGCTACGCTGAGCAAGAAAGGATTTTGAAAGCTGTGTACTGACTCCGGTAGGGTTCTTTAGACCCTTCTGGCTCCAACTCCGGCTCGGTGATGCGAGGATGTGATATACACGTGGTGTTTGAGCCACAAAGAAATGTTACTATTCGTCATGAAATCGTCATTACTAGCTTTCGCACACACACGTTAGAATGAAACGTTTGCCTTCCCATCGAGTCGTCAATATTTTAGGCATCGTTCTCACCATGACATCGGACCTCCTCTCCGTGTCCGAGACTCCGAGTCTAGCTTCTGCTTCGCTTCGCTGCGGCAACTAGCCGTCCTGTTGACCGAGAAGGTTAAAGTCTGCTAGGTAGTGTCATAGACCTCTTTAACACCAACCATGACCCCACTTCCCTACACTATCATTGGGACGCCATTCAGTACCTTCACCCGATCTATCACTCTCGGGTTGACTCATAAGGGGATACCCTTCAATCAAGTTAGATGCGTTCCACACTCAGACAAAGCATATGAAAACCATCCATTCGGGTTCCTGCCCACCCTGATCATCCACGAAATTGATGGCAAGGCGGTCAACCTGAAGTTGCGCGAGAGCGCAGCCATTGCACGCTTCATTGACAGGGTTACACCAGAACCATCTTTGCATATTTCCCCGGGTCACGGGAAGGCCATCATCGAGGAACAGATGTGGGAGTTTGTGAGTCTTGCTGGCGCACATGGTAAACTCAAAATTTCATACAAACATATGGAGCCTATCATGACTGATTGCGTGCTTTAGGTTTCCCTGCAGTTGAGAAAGGGGTCGTGAAACCGCGCGTGGCTGCTACCGACGCAGGCAAACTTACAGACTCTGAGGTTCGCGAACAAATAAAACCAGCTGTGGCGCATCTTCGCAAACTGCTTGGTAAAATGGAAGAACTCATGGCAGACGATGGCTATGTGTTCGGAAGCCAGCTGAGCTGGGCAGACTTCTTTTTGTTCCCGCTTCTCGCAGACCTGAAAGCAATTCCGGAGGGCGAAATACTTTCGCCCAGGATGCTGAAATGGATGGAGCAAATGAACAAATTGGAGGCAGTCCAGGCCACCACTCCGGGTACCTTGAGTGTTGGTGCAAGACCCCCTTAATCACCCAACTTGAATCAGGTATGGTCTAACTTTGGCAATCATTCGTCCCACTGACTCGGAGACAGTGCAGGAATTTGTTGTGAAGCTAAATGGAGTCCGAGTCCTTTGTAGATAGACAAGTCATCTTTCGATCTAAACATGATATGTAGAACTATCCAGGCAATCTTGTGTTGACATGCTGTAAATTGTAAATCATAATCAGATATAAATCTTGAGAACATTGTAGGCCCCTTCCCACCACTGCTTTGCGTGTGAGAAGTGGGCTGCAAGGAACTAGTGTGGATTGAAACACTGGAGTGCCATACGATTATCTGTATGATGCATGCTTGATGCCATATGCGACACTGAAGTGCATGCATGGTTGAACGAGCTTATCAGATTCTTCAAGTTCATACAAGTCTAATTGGTTGACCAGTCGAACGGTTTCTCTCGCAGATCCTACTTAGTACTACAGGACTGTGATTCAAGTTCCTGTGCCTTCGTGGCACGCAGTTCATCGTGTCGCTGAGCGTTCAGTGCCTGCTCGATGTTCCTATCAATGTTCTGATGGGCCACCAGGCAAAAGCTCTAATTGCACACGCTCTAGAACACAATACTATGACCGCGGAATGATCAATACCATACAGTTACCCCTTCCCCATGTTTGACGGCATTCCGCAGTTTCCTTGTGCCGCGGCATCCCGTACTACCCGCAGCCTAGGCCGGATTCATTTAATTAATTATTGTACATTCGGCAACTTAATTAAAGCTTGGCTTCTTGACGTATTATGTAATACCACCAGTATACATATGCGCCTACAACGTGTGATTATTAGGAGACTTATTGGGCAACCTGGGATACACCGAACAAAGGTAACTACTCTTGGTCTGCTAAGGTTCTTTCAATATGTGAATCTCTCTCGCTTTACGCGCTCCGGGTCGACTCCAGCAGCTTGGAGTGACTTCATAGCATTCAGAACGAAAGGCAACGGGCCGCAGATATGCGATTCCCGAAACTTTGCGTCTACACTGCCAAACAAAGTTCCATTGTCGTCAAGGCGTCCTTCATGCGTGACCAGCGAGACGAACGGCGGGAAAGACCAAGGCAACTGGAATTGCCTTAAGGAATAGACATGAATGGAGAATGTCAGGTCAGGGGGCGACTGGCCGCCGCCGTTTTTGCCGGATGACATGTCCGCAAACGCTTCTCCAATCAAGCCGAGCATAACTTCCGGCTCCCGCGATGAAAGGACGAGCGTCACATCCCAGACGCCGAATCCCCGGGCAGCGAGATTTGCCACGTGACGAGTTAAGCTCAGGAAAGGAGTAAGGCCAATTCCACCAGCAATCCACAGCAGCCGCCGTCCACCGTCGCATGCTGCTAGCGGCTCCGGGACAGGAAGATCGCCCCCGACACCTCGCAGTCGAGCGCAGACTTTCAATTCTGCGACATCAATGTCTTCTCCAGTCAGCTGCGGATCAACACTCCTAGCAAGCTGGTATAAAATGGGAGTGATAAGACCGCCTTTGATCGCTCTCATTGTGATAGAAAGAATGCAAGGTGCATCTGAGGTTGGAAGCGTGGAGATTGTCCAAGTACGAACACAGTCATCGTTAACTGTGCTCTCATCTTCCTCCCAGTCTAAAAGCGCGTGTGAGCGCTTGCGCAGGAACTCCGACAACTCCAGCACGCAATTTTGACTTGGATGGATATCCACAGGCCGTGATGACTCGAACGTGAGGGTGATGAGAGTGTCATTCAGCACTCGCGTCTTTATCAGGTTGAGTGTGATGTCCGCGAATGATACAGATGGTGGTTTTTCTTCCGCTAAGTAGCAGACGGGTGGGCTGTAGGGGCTACGCTCCGCTGTCCCTGTCTCCCTCAACGGAATAGCATTTTCGATAAAGGAGAATCCAGTGACGTAGATGGTGGAAATGATATTCATATTTGGCATCAATGCTCGTGCAGATGCACCATACAGGGTCTTCGCTTTTCCGGTGACATGCAGGATTGATCCAGTGGAAAACGATGGGAAAACGATTCCAGCAACTGGTGTGATGTGTATGTCGCCTAATGAGTTCATCATGCGATTTCCTGTGTACTACATATGAATACTAGATTCGCTCTGCGGTGTATCGTTCTTCTTACCGGCATAATTCGGAAGCACAAGAGTCTTCCTATCAGAAGGTCTGACTCGAACGAATCCTGGGCGACCCCCTCTATGGTTGACGCCAACTCGAGAAGGATAAGTGTCCTCATCCCCCTGAGCGGCCACGTAAGATGTCGACAAGAAAGCTGTATCAGCTGCATGGATGAATGCAATAACATCATCAGGCAGGCACTCCCCATCGCCTAGATTAAACCGCTCATAGATGAGGCGTGGCGACACCCCGCGATATGGAGTAAGCGATCTGATATTGATGTATTTAGGACACAATCTACAGCTCGTGAGACAGGGCCATAGCACAAAGAAGCCGCGATAGCTCACCCGAGGGCTTGGGTGACTGCGAGAGTAAGATCGACGTCCAGACCTCGGAATGAAACATTGGATATATGGCCAGCGAATTTGTTCCTCCTCCTTGTCGCAACCTCAAGCCCAATCCCGGAAAAAAGTGGCTTTCCGTCATGAAGGTGAACAGAACAGTTTTGGATAATTGGATCCCCAGGCCATAGATGCGCTTTAACTGTCAGTGAAGCATCGGTAGGGGACGAGATAAAACTCGGCATCCCATCATTTGAGCAAAGAATAGATGCCCACGGTCTTCCTTGCTGATCAAGAGTAGTGACAGGCAAGAAATGAAGACGACTTGTATGGAAGATGCGATGTTGTTCGGGCAACCTATCCACAATCGCGGTGATTGCAACCCGCTCAGGGAGATGGATGATGGCCTGAACGGCTTGTTCTCCTGGATGCCAGCCACGTAAAGCAGGCAATGGAACTGATGACACTTGTGGCGACTGCATCCTCGAGTATCAGATATGAGGTGATGGACGGTTTAGTCTGAGGTGTGGGAGAGCACGCGTGAGGACGTTCGATTGATGATTGCGAAATGTATTGGTCGTATGACCGCATTCCATTGGCACGTGTTCTCCGGAAAAGAAATGAACGTTTCAGTGAAGCGCCTCACCGCCTCGTTTCCGCGGGATGTATACTAATGTATGTCAATAATAGTTATGCTCCAGGCAACAGTGCATCGGTGATGGGCAGTCATCATCACGGAAACTTACTTCTGCGAAGGTAGTCTTCCCGTGGCAGACCATCATCTAATGACAAATCGTTGTGTCGTTGGTATTGTTGGAACAAGATGCGAAAGGCAAAAATGGATATTTGAGGACCAATGTTCCCGCATGTCAGGTTAATCCGGGAGCATTCGGTTTCATGATTAGACACCAGCTGAAGTAGACATTTTGTCAATAACGCCCGCGGGATCTAATTAGTCAATGCCTCCGAACCTTAAAACTCTCTCCTTTCGAGGAGGAAATATCCATATGAGCCTCTGCAGATACGCTTCGGCTTTGAGCGTTGTGTATAGTTATCCAGCGAATCCTATGGGGTTAGATATTAATGCCAAGGTCGAGGGTGCAGACATGGCGCTGACCTTGCTGTTTAGAGCCGTGGATGCACACCACCTAATGCAACTGCGGAGCCATATTCATAACTCAGACAACTTACCGGGTTTCAGCATCTCGCCGGTTCAATACCTAACCGAAAGGGCACGACTCATCAGAAAACCCATGTGGTGCTCTGGTCTGAGTCTGATTGCAAGATAGAAACAGCTTCAAGTTCGTTGTTAGCATCGTATCAGAAACAGGGAAGCAACGGCGCACTTGCATAATCTTCTTATCATACAATCGTATAACCAAGTTAGAGTGAACCTCAACAAAGGAGAGAAGCCAAAGCAGCTGGAGACGATCACCTCAGGTGCGCATACAATAGTTGACGATGGTCATTCGAGCTGTCACACCGCCTGTCAACGTTTCAACAGCAATGTACTTCTGAGTAAAACTATGCCCACCTCGATGTCTGAAACAGTATTTAGAACATGCAATAATATAAGCAAAGACAACAAAGTGTAGCAAGAATGGGTCTCAATCGATTTCAATCACATCGTCTTCTATCTTGTCGTCCTTGCTGCTCAACATCAGCAGCCCGTCCTCCTCTAACCTCCTCCTCTTGCTGGGACTCGCAATATCCAGTATTGATGTTGCGCCATTCGTATCTGTCTTCGCGCGTTTGGCAAAAGGCCCGACTTCTGCAATCTCGTCATCCGGGGCGGACCGTTTGCGGGATGGTGCGGGAGGGGGCGTCGACCGCTGCTTTTCTAGACGAGGAGGCGATGGCAGTGGTGACGGAAGTATGTACGCCGGGCCATCAGAAGGATGATTAGGTCTGAAGTGCACATTAACCAAGGGCTCAACGGAAATTTCACGTCACTTACGGTAGTACGCCCAACGCAACCACAATCGTACCCCACTCCTCATCTTCATCCACGATCGCCAAGAAATTGCCCCTCCCAACATTTAGACTCTCCAGCGTTCGTTCAAGATTATCGTCCCAATCGGGGTCGCTGAGGACACGCTTGTCTTCGTAAACGCTAACTTCCCTTTTCCCACCGCCAAGTACGCCATCTACAAGTTCACTTAATGTTACACGAGCAGGGTCGCACAAAACTTTGGTGTAGGTGTCTCGGCAGACACCGCATTTAGGATTTGGTGGGCACATAGTACTTGTGCTGAGTGGGTTGGTTGGCTTGAACTGCACGTGGACATTGCGCAATTGCGCGTATGATTTGCGAAGGAGGTGAACTGCTTGTAAAACTATGAGGCCGGAGATGATGGCATTAGTGGTCGCAATTGCGGGAATAATATTTCCTGCCATTTCTAGGGAGAGATGAGCTGTAAAATAGAACCAGCCACATGGAAACAGACCTTTGACTTCCCAACGTGTCTTGCGATCGATATAGTATGCCGCAGAACGAAGATTTGCGGCAGCGGTAACGAAATCGAGCGTATCGTCATCATCTTTGTCGAAGGAAATGGTATCTTCGCCTTTGCGAAGCCGCTCGGCAAGTCGATTTGTACTGCAACTCTCGTTTAGAAATCTGATTAATTAGATGACACCTATGCCGACCTTGATATGAAAAGCTCCAAGGTATCATGCAAACTGAGTGCTCGTTGATCCCTTAGTCCCGAAACTCCGTTTAACGAACTAGATGACGAAGACGCCGAAGGGGTCTTTCCATTCGAGTGGCCGTTCGCTGGCTGGAAGTGGATAATCTGCGCACTTCCGGTAGTCGTACTCGAACTCGAAGGTCGTTGTATGAAAAATCTCCCTTCCTGGATAGCGCTGAAATCAAGAGGCGTTGGCGCCGCACGTGCGCGCCACATGTCAGACATTGATAACAGATTGAGGATGTCCGAGTGGAAAACCTATGTAGGGGATCAATATTTCAAGGCGGTTTTTGGACAAGGTGCAAAATAAGACCTTCTTGAAAACACGTTGAGCCACATCCTCCGATGTCTGTGCAGAGCGGAGCGCACTCCGAACTGCTCTATATGCGAGCGCCTCTTTGCGCAGAGCGGCAATTTCTTCGGCTGTGTGAAAACGAAACGTTCCTTTAGCATCACAAGCAAAGCTTATGGCAAAAAAATCTACCGTTTTCTCCTTGCTTCTCCGCTTCATCGAGTTCGCCTGTCCCATCTTCATCCTCACCGAACAATTGCCTGATATCACAGTATCAGTATCTGGTCAACAAAACCACAATGACAAACTCACGGCAGTAGGTAGCTCTTCGCCCAGACAATGCAGTGGATAGGTTGAGACGGTGTAGACCGGATGGTGCACACCGGGAAAGTCGTCGGTGTAGGCTTCGGCACGCAGTCAAAGCATTCTGTGCGATCCTAGATAGGAAATCCTTCAACAACACAGCCGCGGGGATCAAAATGACCAATACCTTGAGCAAAGGTTGCACCTGACCAAGGTACCCGGCAGTGCCAGATTCGACTAGAGGAACACCAGCAGCCATGCACATCTTATTAACATGTCTTCGCGCATCTGGAATGCGATTCTGTCAAACTACGTTGAATCTGAGTTGTCGGTTATCTTTACCGAGATTGTCTAGTGCGTTCAGAACGATATCGAAACCACTGAACCATTCAATGTCAAACTGAGCTTCTTTTATATTTGCATGAATGGGATGAATGTTGACGTTGGGGTTGAAAGCGCCAGCAGTTTGGGCTGCTACCTTGCGGGACGATGATATCATGTTACCTCGGTACAAGATCTGTCATGCAGGCAACTTACCATGGCTTTGCTGTGTTTGACATCTTTCTTTTTGAAAAGGAATTGCCTATTCAGGTTTGAAAGGTCTATGGTGTCTAGGTCAAGGAGAGTTATGTGGCCGAAGCCAGTCAAGACGATATTTTTCACTGTCACAAATGATATCATGATACAACATAGAAATACATTCTTCAAAGACTTACGAAGTTCGCATCCTATTCCTCCTGCCCCAACCAGTAAAACTTTCGTCTCAGACAGCCTCTCACAAAGCTCGGGACCCAAGATGGCTTGCGCATGAGCAGATCGAGACGTCTTGTGAGCGCCGTTCATAGAAGTTCTTGACATTCCACGGAGGCGGCAAAGTAAGGTTTCCTCGATAGTGGGTTCGAAAACGTTGGCCCGTACTCTGCTGACGACTGTAAGAAATCAAAGGCCAGGCAGCGCCGAAAAGGCGGCCTCATGAGTGACACGATATTTCTCGGTCACGCGCCGGTCGTCACGCGTTTGAGAGTGTCACACCACTGCTCCTCGACTTGTCTCTAGATTTCTAGCCATCGTGCATATGTTGAGCAACGAATGAAGCTTCAAGCTTGAGTATTGAAAACGATATTGCTGGGTATTTAAATTCAATGTTTCCATCCTACTTCATGACCATTTTCTATCATCGGCTCCACAAATCCTCGAAACGTCCACGAAAGGAGTTCAGCAACAACTTCCCCGCTCTCCAAGACACTGCGATCCTGGGACCAGCGCATGCCATATCCTTCTGCCACTCGCGCTTCATATACTAGGACCTGATGCGGCAGCCAGTGGAGATTTCTCCAAGTTGATTTATCCACCACTCGTTCAAATAGTGCCAGTGCACGATCGTTGATGGAGGAAACTGAGCCGGAAGGGGTGCCCCACCACCCTGTGTTTGTCTTCATCTTCCCTTTGTTGTTTCTCTCGACCGGTAAATCCTTTATCCCTGGTGTCTCCCCTTGGGAACGGTGCGAATGCTTTGACCATGCACGAGCACCAGCCGTGAGTCCCACATTGTTGGGGATGCTGAATGCTGTAAGGCATTCCTCTCGCGTTGGTGGCTCAGATCCTAGTGCAGAACCAACGGTATACGCCAGACCATTCAATAGATGTCTCGATAGCGGGTCAAGCGTTTGCTTGAGCTCATCTAGCGGCTGTTTGCTACACTGAACCAACTCCTGGACTCGAGATCGCTCAAGCGCTGCAGATGATAACTCTTTGATATTGAAACAGTGAGGGATGGGAATCAAGACGCTTGACCGACTGCCAACATTTGACATCATGGGAATCGCAAAAAGTCTCCAAAGCATGAACATCAGAACATTGGTTGAACGAGGTCCAGTGACTCAGTCGATGGCTATCGTCGACAATAAATTACTGTATTACCTTCGTAGAAGAACGAAATTCCCGCCGTTGAACACGCTCGGATATAACCGGAATCATGTGATTGGCTAGCGGCTTTATCCTCAACGCTCATCCGCGCCCCGCACTGTGCACACGACTTTTCTCGCACTACTTTCCTCAGGGTTTGACACCACCAGCGACAATGGCTTCGTCCATGCTCCTTCACTCAACGCTGCCCAGAACCTTTGCTTCCGCGACTGGACGTAATATCCTGCGATCTGCGTTGCAAGGTAGAACCTTTCATATTCCTCAAGCGTGGATCAAGCTTACCTGCGTTTGAAAGTGAGAGCGGCAAGCTCGACTACTCAGTATGTACCAGGCGGACGTGCGTTTTATAAATCCTGTTTCGTACCAGACAAACTCATTTTGCGCTCGACAGCTATCATAAAGGGCACCGTCAATGACCCTACGGAGTTCCCTCCTCCATCAAGAACGCATGGGTCGTATCACTGGGCATTTGAGCGCCTTCTTGCGGCCTCCCTTGTTCCCATGACGGCGGCCGCTTTTGCGACCTCTGGATCATGTTACCCCGTCCTCGACGGACTGCTTGGTCTCAGCTTGGTGATGCACTCTCATCTTGGGGTCAGTGACCGCTGGGGGTGGCACTCTGTGAGGATCTAACGTCGGCTTATTCATGCTAGTTTGACTCGATGATTGTGGACTATGTGCACCCGCGCAAATTTCCCATCCTTGGACCTGTCATGACCTGGACACTGAGATCAGCCACGGTTGGCGTGCTCGTTGGCGTTTATCAGTTCAACACAAATGACATTGGTGCGATGAATCTCCCTTGTCATCTTTCCTCACCTGACTTATTTCCTATAGGTTTGACGGAGTTGATTGCGAAGGTCTGGACAGCATAAGATTATGTAAGACTCCGCGTTACAAATTACCAATAAAAATCGTTTATCGTTTACCACCGGTGCTCAGTAGACGACGAAGAACACTAAAAGATGTTGAGAGTAGTAGATATTCACAATATTTAACTGGTGACCAGCCTTCGCCGTTAAGACGCAAGTTCAAACCATCAAGCTCGCCGCGCTTGAACAGTGGTTGTCAGAAGAGAGATGGTCAGTATGCATCTTCCTCCGCAATACTTATCCTCCGGCACTGCCAATAACCGCCATTGATGTTCGGTCGTGACTCGAAGTTCCCTCGCGAAATTTGGCCCGCCGCATTTCTAGCTGTTGACTTCTTGGAATAGCTGTACGCCCTCCGAACCATGGGTAGACACATATGTCGAAGGCCTGAGCTGGCGGAGGGTGCTATATGGCGACCTCAGGTGCAGTTTTTCCCAATTTGCTCATAATACGACATGAAAGACACGTTCTTGACTTCCCGTTATTGACGGGACACCAAATGAGTTTGCTCTTCACAATACTAAATGCGATGATCAGGATGATGAGGAGCTGGATACTATGAAATTCGAAGGTGTGCTCTCACTTACGTCGTTTCGTGTGCATGGATGACAACCTCTGTCGCGCAAGGAGAAAGCGTAGTTCGAGGAACGGGTGAGGGACTTTCCATGTGACTTTGGATGGGGGGTGGTGGGTATGCGTGGATCGGTCGGGGGGAAAAAAAACGTAGGTATTGAGGTTATTGGCGTTCGAGCCGGCGGCCACCAAGGCTGCGTTACTGAGTGTTTGATTTTCAGATTGCTCAAGGACAGTGGAATTTGCCCAGGAATACATCAACTCAGTAATGGATCATGTGATGTGGTGATTGTGGCCTTGTGTAGCCGGTGGCCCTTGTTTACGCTCCGACCGGTCCACAATTCACGAGGCAAGTATTAAAGGCAGGGTTCCTTCAAACCAGCTTCGCATCTTACTTGCACGTCATGAAGCCTATTACCACATTTCCATTTACTTACCTCCCAGTTGAGCTTGTCCTCATCATCCTCAGATATTACGTGGAACCCACCTTTGATCAGACTGCTCCATATGACTCTAAAAGTCCATATTCTAATGCACGCGCCCTCTGTCATTTCTCCAGAGCTGTCAGGCGGGCGGTACTTCCAGAACTCCTCCATACCGTACTGCTTGAGCACTATGTCACAGTGAAAGTGTTCGTGCATGCTCTACATATGCAAAAAATGTACGCGGAGAAAGCAAACCACCTCCGTTTCGACTACATTCCCCATGTGCACAAGATCTGGATCGGATCCCAGTGCCACAACCCATGGGCCTTTAACTTGATTGAGCGTCCGCTTTCCATCAGCCTCCTCTCTCCGGTGCTACTCGCTGCACCATCCATTGCCCTTGACTGGACAAGTATGGGCCTTCTTGAAGGATGTCTGGAACATGCATGGAAGTCCCGTGCAGCCACACATGCCAACAACGAACATTTCCCACTTCCCTGGAACACCAAAACCCTGATCCTGTCGCGTGAGACCCCCATCAGCGGCGCACGGTGGGGGTGCCTCACGGACACTCCCCAGGGATCTGCATTCCTTGGGTCAATCTCTCACCTCTCAACCACCACATCCCTCCTCTGGTCGAACACACCATCCTACTGCATGGTGCCGTGGATGGAGGTCACTCCATGGGCTTCTTTCAAAAACCTTCAAATTGTCTCACTGCCGTACTTGATTGCTATCAAAGCCGGCGCTCGCATCAAGCTGCGGAACACACATGAAATCAACGTGCACGTCGATCTGTTGACATTGCCTGCATCCCTGCTAAGGGACAACCGCGACATTCCCGAGTTTATGAAGAAAATAAAGGCGTTGGATCAGAGAAGTTTCGGAGAGGAGATTATTCGATCAGATGGTGTTCATTTAAAGGTGCTCCCTTTTGGCGTTGTGCTCCCTTCTGGCATCTGCTGGCTTGGTCATGATTGGCGGCAGAAAGTTTGGGCAAGCATGTTGTAAAGTGGACTTGGGGCGTTATGATATGGTTGGTATTATGAATTTGTACATATATCCACTTCTCGGCACCCTATGGACATTCTTTATGTACATACATAGTAAACGCATCCTCCTAAAATTACCGCTACTTTGTATAGCGAGTCTCATCGTCCGACTTCTACGATGAAGTTCTGGCTTCAGTGTAAATACTAAAATTTATTGATCCCGCATGGAATCGAACCGGTGTTCAATTGTTTGCTTTGTTCACCATCTATCAGTGTTGCTCGTGCCGAATGAATCGCAGGATTCTTCCATAAACATGCTGGTTGCCTCAGGGATGGTTTTTGCTCAACCGGTCCGCACTTCATCCTGTGTGGATCACATATAGCTGCGGGATATCACAAACTTATGACTTCCTATCAGCTAAGTTAGCCCCCTCCCTGCATACACAGTGACAATGATGTGTCAACAGAGTCATTTAAAACAGTGGTGCCGGAGCGCGTGCAGCTACTATTGCATGGTGTGCAGTCTCAAACGTCGCACCCTGCCACACATTTTCGTCGGCGGTTTATTTGCTGTGAAGTATGAAACCAATTCTCAAAAGCGTCCAAGAATTTGATAACAGACTCGGTCCGCCCGAAGAGCGTCAAGTCATCTGGCCAGTACATGTTATGAAATTTCGTCACTGAAAGGTCTACGACATGTGCGGGCCCTCGGGGACTCTTTTGTTTGCCTAGCTCCATAAGTCAACAGAAGGCGGTTGATCGAATTTTCCGAGATCTGGTCTGTCGATATGACAGATTGCTGTACTCTTACACGCTGAGCAGATGATATTACTCAATCGCACTGGACCAAGACCCACTTTGGCCCCATGCATTACTGATCAGCTGATGGTCCAATACAGCATTGCATTGTCAATTGCCGGCCTGCGTGATGTAATCTCATTCTTCGCCCAATGCTCGGGCGGTTCTAAGGGCACTGGACTGAGTAGGATCATGCCCTTATGCCAGATATCTATTCGTGGTACTATAGCTAGTACGTACCACAAGGATCCAAGAGAAATCACGGAGGGATTACATAATTAATAATTTTCAAATGCAACTTTTCCGGCTTCATTTTGTCGCAAGCCGCCATCATGATCTCCAAGGGTTAACGTTAACATGCGGGATTCAAACTTTTGCATGATAAGTATGGCTATCCGCTACATGCGGTTAGTGATACTTGCCTCAATGGATATGCGTCGTTGGAAGTTGTTCGCGGTACTACTTGTCGGATGTGTTTTTCTTTTAAATGGCTATCCGCTACATGTGGTCAGCGATACTTGCCTCAATGGATATGCGTCGTTGAAAGTTGTTCGCGGTACTACCTGTCGGATGTGTTTTCTTGTAAATCCCGCCGGAAAGCTGACATAGACTTGACACAAACAGCGATTTTCGCAAGCCCCGCGAGCCTGTGGTCCTCACATCGCTCGACCACTGAAATTGATGGTATAATGAACAGTTCCTATCAAATACAATGAGTAATGATAACACACTCACTGCTGTTCAAATCTCAGATCTCGCCAAGTCCATCACTGTAACTAGCTTGCTCCACCGTTCGAAGCAGTACTTCGTGGGAAGGAGCCTGCCTTCCCGGTTATGCTGTAGAGAGATTTAAAGTGTCTGACAAAAAACACGCTGCTAGACCACTTGTTTCATTGACAATATACTATGGGTGACTACATTCCCGACTCCATTGGACTTCAAACTGTCGCAGTGCGTGCTCCGCCTCATCCGTCAGCTTTATGCTTCTGTTTCTCACAAGCTTGGATTTATCTAGTATGTTGAAGGTAGAGTCTACATTCGGCTTCTTATTTGTCCTGAAGAGCTGAATATATGGGACAGTCGCATCCGTGGCAGCCTTGGTAAGGAGGAAAAAAATAGTATGCAACCAATACCAATTTCCCCCCAGCTCTTCGACTTCTGCATCACTTTCGACTCAGAGGTCAGTATGTTTCAATGACCACATGAAGAACTGACAAAATTCCAGGTTCGCTGGACATGGGGGAGAAAGTGGGGATTCGTGAGGATAGCCTTCGTTATCTCTCGCTATTTGCCAGTTGCAAGTTTTGCTATGTCGGTATATTGTGAGTACTCACGACAGTCTATTTGCTCTCACTCTGAGTCACTGACATCCCTCGGTTAGGCGCCATCGAGTCAACTCGTGGAGGAATCGTAAGCTTCTTGTGCCAGATTTGAAGTATACGTGACAACATTTCAGCTTAATCATGGGAGGTTCTCCGCTGTATATGGCAGTTGCGTATACAATAACCTCACTTAAATCGATGAATATTCAATATTTTTTCCAGGCATACATTTTGTGGGTGCTGTTGCTGCTGAAGGTTAGGATCAACTTCAAGTCAAGTTTCCTTTTCCCCGACACTTCTTTGGGCAGTCCTACTCGTGACGAGGACATACGTGTTCTGGGGGGGCAACAAGAGGTTCTTGATCGCCATATCGGTTTTCAGCATGGTCACTTGGTCTTGAGCTATTTTCTTGCAACTTGAAATTAAACATCCTTCTTAGGTTATGAATGCAGCTATGCTAACCATTTCGATGTTGGGCGTGAGTGAATCTGGAGGTCTTAACTTTTCCTCTGCTCTAGGTTTATTTTGTTCACCTCATTTTCCAGATTCTGTGCGCGGTGTATTTGAGGAAGGACGACATGCTAGCATCATTTATGGTTTGTTGGCATTCTATGAGCTTGGTACGTAGCATTCGATGGGATATCTCGCCGGTCACAATCCTCCGCCAGTTTTGGTGTCCGTCACGCTATACAAGCGCTCCCGATTTTCTCGATTCGAAAGTAGTCCAATGGTCGCTACTCTATATCGGGATGGCGTGATTTACTTGCTATGTATTACTGGTAAGTCTTGTAGATTGTCGTCAAAAACGCAGCCTTATTTTTTTGGAGTGGCCGCGATGGCGAATTGTGTTGCAATCGCTGTGCTTCCCGTGAGTCGCTTGTCTCGAGTCGTCAGCTGAGCTTCTGATCAGGTTTCTCAGTCAACATATACCGCACTTCTTATCGGGTAAGTCCTGTTGTCTAACTCCGTATCTAAAGCTAAGTCAAAGAAGCCCGCAGGTGGTCATACACAGTGTTCTTGCTTCACGCATCCTGTTCAATCTACGAGCATTGCAAGAACCTCAGGATGACATCACAAACATTACCTCGGATGCGGTTTTCGTGCCAACCCAACATTCTGTGGATTATTTAGAGCTACGAGGGATCACAAACGTGTAGCTACATCCTAGTGTTAGTTTTCCTTCTGCATATGGGAAGCGAGGTGTGGTCGATGGAGTCAATTGGAGGGGGTTGCTTCAGCGATTCAGTGCAAAGTAATATTAGACCTCGACAAACCTATGTAATACTTTACTCTACCTAAGTTACAAAGACCACCCAAATCTAAGTAATACTTTTACTCCGCCAAGTTACAAATAACACCCCCTATCAAAAGAATCCTTGACCAATTCTACATATGAGCGACTTCGTGGAATCTTTCTACCGCCCATCCTGTACGGGCCTGAATCGCAGCCGGTCATAGTAGGCCTTGACTTCCATCCATTTATCCCTCAGTTCTGGATGCGCTTCAACGTACAAAACCGTCATATTCGGTATGGTCGCCCCGAGGAATTGTGCAACAGATTCAATGTCTCCAATAACCGAATCGCGGATGTTGAGCACATCCAGGAACTGAGCACGAGCCATACTGAGACCGCCCAGCGGTAGTTCAGGAACGTCCCTCGCATCCAATGACATGTGTACGCAGGTGAGCTGCGGGCAGTGTTGGGTCAACGCTGTCAAGGCATTTAAACTGATGCTGGGAGTTATGGAGGACCAAGGTAAGCTGCAGAGTCGAAGTTCCTCGAGCTCGCTCCAGGCTTTAGCCGCCGCGATGATGAAGTCATCATCTAAATTAAGCGTACCGAGATTGAATAATTTGATGGCGCGGAGATTGCGGCAAGCGAGTAGCGGTGCAAATGTAGATGAATGGAAGATAAAAGGATGGTCGGCAGTTGTGTTTGCTTGAGTCTTGTGTCGGAGAGAGATTGCTCGAAGAGATGTGCCAATGGCACTCAAGAATGAAGTGATGACGGTAGATCGTGCTTGGACGTTGTAGGAGACGAAAACCTCTTCTAGCCGTGGTGACGTTATAAATGATATGAGAGACACACACTGAGGGAGGTCGTGTGCCTCAAGGCTGAGATGCCGGAGAGCGGGGAAGGTATTATTCCTATCGCGTAGCATGTCGGCATCGAAATCAGGGTGAAGGCTTAAGTTGAGCTCTTGAACATAGCGAAGTGATGCGATATTCAGCATGCTCTGTGCAGATATATGAATAGAGCTGGAGACGACCAACTGGCGTAGGTGTGGCAGTCCAAGGGTCGAAACATTCAATTCGAATGACGTCACTGGAAATAAAGATGAAATTGTGATGTTTTCGATGCGGGTAGCTTTCCGAGGAAGGTCTTCTAGTACTCCACGAACGCTCTCAGGACACAACTTTCGAGGGAGAGTGAATGTGAGGCTTGTCAGTTTTGGAGAGAGAAAGCCTCTGATCAGGGGGAAGTTGGAGGAACTGCACGACAGGATGGAGAAGTCGAGCGAGGAAAGTGAGGGGAACAGAGACTGTGGAGGGCGTTCAGCAAAAAGGAGTGGAAGCGCGTCCTCGTGTAATCTGATCATTTTCCTTTGCTTTGGGTATGAAAAATTCTTCACACGGCATGAATACATGTCAAATCGTGCCCACTCAGAATCAGCAGGTGGTCTCGTGAGATACTATAGAAACTAAAATTATGAAATTGCATGCCCGTAGCGATATCAGACTCACAAGTACATTGCTGGGGTGAATCTCCCAAGTGCCTCTTGGCAAGCACATGACGAGGGGACTTAACGAATGCTGAGTTCGCCAGAGGGTATCAAAAGCACATTCCATAAAGGAACGACATGTCCGAGCTAGCCTAGCAAGGTCACCAGTATTTTCCAAGCGCTTCGAGTCCCGCTGACCGTCGGCAGCAACGAACTGAATTATGTGAGAAAGGATTTCGTCAATGAGCAGAGATTGATGCATGGTAGACCACGGAAGACAATTCCAAATTCTGCAGAGCTTCAGCAGAAGTGGATCAGTAAAGTTGCCCAGCTCCACTCAGCTTGGAGTCTGAATATTAAATAGGCTCACCTGCCACAACAATGCTCCAAAGGAGGGCAACGTTGAAACGGAGTAGGTCGAATGGATGGAAATTTTCTCAAGCTCGGTTACTAACTTACCTCATAATAAGGAATGGAACGACTATTCTCCTTCTATTTGGTCTGGGGAGACTATAACTTACCAGGCGATAAGGACCTACATTCTTCATGCGATCCACAGCTGGCGGATGGGCGCGCATCCGAGAGCTCCTCGGAGACTATAGGGCTCCGACACTGCTACACACTGCATATTATTGCAGGCGTTGCAGTCAATAAATTCTTGGCTGAGTAGTTGATGCGGCCGTCCGTTGATGAGTCGAGGCATAACAAATTAAGGCTCAAGTAAATTGCCGTATCACTACTGCCGCAACTTGCCGTATCTCTTTCCCGAACTGTCCTGAGTCATTTGCTTTCTAGTTCATTTTAGATCTAGCGTCAACGACCGCGATGCTCCGTCTGTAGTGTCGTTCGTAGAATTCACAATTGTTTAGGTACTCGACTGGACAAGTTAAAAATGACCAGCATGCGCACATTCTACGTGACCAGTCCATCAAAACGAGGTGTTTAGATTTCTCACCAGTATAAACGTTATGACCAGACCCCGTGGAGCATGCACGCCTTCCGTGTTGTGCAGCTGACCAGTTGACGTAGAAGAGTCCTGAATGACTTCGTCGCACGTGTAGATGTGAGAAAAAGTGCAGCAGACGGGACGGGGATGCATCGATGGGACGCGAAATCGAGTCAGCCTGCGTCATGTTTCTTGAGCCGATGGTGTAACAATATCGAATCACGACAATAGACACGAGGTGATTACGGGTTAGCAAGTGCTATAACTAGCTAATAGTCGTGGGCGACGATGTCGAGAGGAAGTTTGACGTACACAAATAAGAAACGCGTTTCAAATGTTCGTGAGCGCTGAGCCTTTGAGGTTTGCTCAACTCCAGAGTGCCCGAGTGAGCCTGTCCTTTCGTTGTCTCCCGAATGTGAGTGCTAATGTGCTTGCTTTCGCTAGTGCATGGAAGCGGAGGGCGTGAAGGAGTAATGACATGAAGTTCTGGATCATGATAAGTCAGGATTTGTAACAACTTTTGTGTGGTAAAATTGTGATCAAATATGCTTTTCACGCACTCTAAAGTTATATGTAGAACGCTGGTGATGGGTTGCACATCCCGGTGGCAATGGAGGAGAAGAATGATGGTGAGATAGAAGCCTAAACAGACGCACTCACATGAATTTCTTCCGCGGAACCACCCCATTCCAAAAGTGCACGTTCACAATGCAACTAACACGTCGAGTTGTGTGCATTCCATGATAGCACAAGATTGGTGTTGTAAGAGCGTGTCATCGACTTGAAATTCGAGACTCTTGGTGTGGTTGATAGTGATTGCTGGTCTCTGAGATGACTTGTCACTTCTTCGAAGGCACAGCTTCAGGAGACAAAGCTTAAGCGTGGTTGCTATTGCCTTCAGAATCAACGAAAATTCCGATCTACAGAGCTCGTATCTGCCCATCGGGCATGGATTCGAAGGATCGGATACCTTGTCAAGCGAATGGGTGACACTCACAGACGGTGGACAAAGTAAATGATAGGACGCCGGTTCGACGTCATCGCAGCATGCGGGATCAGAACATCATGCATCATGGTCCATGAGAGTGATATTAATATGTATAAAGTAGTGGGAATTATAAAAGATACATCTAGAATGTCCATTAGGTGTGCCGAGAAGTGTACATGCCAGCATGTACAATTACATATATAATATTAATGTCTGTCATATCATATCACCCCTAGTACTCAGCTTCATAACATGCACGCCCAAACTTTCTCCCACCCATCACGATTATACCAGCGTATGCAAGAACGGGACACCTTTAAACGAATGTCACTCGATCGGATACACTCCTCCCCAGGACCAATCTCAGCCAACGCCTCGATTTCCTTGGGAATGGAATCGCGGCGGTCCCTCAACAGGGCTGCAGACAACGTCAGCAGCTCCACGTGCGAGTCGATTCCTGCGAAGATCAACGCCCATTGATCGGCAGGGGGGTTGATGTGACGCGGGTACGGTAGTAAGACGGTTTTAAGGCTCTTGAAAGAAGCCCATGGAGTGATCTCCATCCACAGAGGCAGACGGTGGTCGTCCGAACTCGTGTACGACTTGTAGTCGGATGCAGATGTGTTGGTTGAGAGATGAGATATGGAAGCGAGGAAAGCGGATCCCTGGGGAGTGTTCGTGAGGCGCTCCCACCATGGGCCGGTGGTGGGGGGCGTACACGATAGCGTCAGAGTTTGGGTGTTCCAGGGAGGTGGGGAATTTTCGTCATTGACATGCGTGGCTGCACGGGACGTCCATGCATGTTCCAGGCATTCTGCAAGAAGGTCCATACTTGTCCAGCTAAGGGCAAGGGACGGCGCAGCGAGTAGTATCGGAGCCAAGAGGCTGACATCAAGCCCACTCTCAGATGGTTTTGTTGCATAAGCTCGGGGGGTAGTGAGAAAGCGAGCTGGTGCGTGATTCCCACCCTGGGATACAATCCACATCTTGTGTACATGAGGTGCGTAATCAAAATGAAGGTGGTTTTTTGTCTCCGCGTACGTTTTCTGCATACGTAGAGCATGCACGAACAGTCTCACGTTTCGAGCGTCCTGCAATAATATGGTGTGTAGGAGTTCGGGAAGCACTGCGCGCCTGACAACTCTGGAGACGCAACAGAGTGCGAGTGCAAATGAATATGGATTTCTAGCATCATAGAGGTTGTCCTGATCAAAGGAGGGTATCGCGGAATATCTGAGGATGATGAGAGCCAGCTCTACTGGAAGGTCGGTAAAAGGAAATTGGGTGATAGGTTCCATGACAGGCGAGTTGGAGGTGCGCTGAGATGCGAAGGTGGTTTGAAGGAGCCCACATGCCTTTAATACTATCGCCTCATGAGTTACAGAGAGCAGTGTAGACGCATCGCCACGCGCTGTGACCCGGTGGTCTATAGCAGCCTTATTGTTCCTTCTAACATACTTGGTCTATTGTGCTGTGCCCTGACCTGTTGCGTTCAGGGCATATGAAGATGGCAGTGCACCTATACAGGTGAACAATGGGATGAAATTTATTGCCTCATTGTTAATCGGTTGTAATGTACCTTAGAATCACGTGGGTGCTTACTAGTATACTTCCGACCCCATTAAGGTAGCGGGCTTGTGGATTCGACGAACGTCACGTGAAAAACGTGATGAAAGAGTGACAAAAGACAAAAAATGTAATAACTATTGATCAGGCGCCTTCTGCGTCAATCGCCTACTCAGTTATCTCGGTAATAATATTGCAAACATTTCATGGTTTTCAAAATGAAAAGAAGTGAAGTAGGAAGTATGTTATTCCAATTTCTTTGATTGTTGAAAGCAGCTGTGGGTGGCAAAGTACTATGCATCATACTCCGACACAACATGCCGTGAAGCCGTTGCCATCCATCCATGGGCAACAGAACACGCAGGCAGAAACGCTCGATAGCAAGCCTGGAAATAGCATGGGCTTGCAGAGCATCTAACAAAAAACAAAAGACATTGAACATTGAGCAGGACGAAAACTTAAATGTAAGCAACTTCCTATCCTTCACTTAACTTAGCATGCTTCGGCATGAGTTCGGCAGACTTTGTAGATACTTATCCATACGGCGTCACACCTGGTCACATGCACGTGATGTTCGTCGAATTCTCAAGCCCGCTACCTTAGTTATCTTCTCTTTTGACTATGATATAGGTCAACAGGGTGCACGCAATATTATTATGTTCCAGCGCATACATGCGACTGTCCATTATAGCAGAAGGGCCGGACCGGATCGGTTGATTCAATGTTCGATTTGATGATCGTCTCCTGGTCAGCCTCTAGGAAGGAGCAATAGAATGCTGGCCACATCCAACCCTGGATAATATAAATATATCCGTCAATCTGACTCAAAGTTCACTGTGGCTAGCTTTGTAGAATGAGCATTACAATGACAATGAATTAATCTTCTCTAGTAAGACATTTCTCCCTTTCGTCTCGCTCTTTTTGATTCTCTCGACAACGTCCTCACTAAACCAGCCCTTGACGGTCCGTTTTTCCTCAGTACTTCCCTCTTCTCTTATCCGCTGCAAAAATTCTGCGATAACAAAGGCACCCTCTCCCTCAGCCATGCTTACTGTCAAATCCTTGCCGACAACGGATATGAATGCAGACGCGAATGCTGATGGGGAGAACGACGGTGAGCGAACAACGGATTTGCTGGAATGCGAGAAATGTCCGCCCTGGAAAAGGGATTTATACATTCGTGACGTGTGCGGGAGGTCAATTGGATGAAGCTTTGAGGCATCCTCTGAAGGGTATATCGAAGCTAATGGTTGAAGGAGGGATTGTATAGCCGAAGACTTGTCTGAGAAACAAACGTTAAACTTGATAAATGTTGAGTGAAATGCACCAACCGCCGTCAGCGTATAGCATAATTTCCAACACTACCAAACTTCCACCGGTATCTCGCGCGGCTCCCGCGCCGTTGTCCTCGATGAACTTAAGTAATCCCTCACTTGCTGCTGCCCGTATTTCACCCTCGCGAACATCTGCACTTTTCTTGCTGGTTTTGCCACGTATAGGGTCTGTCTCAGCAATTATCGCTATTTGGGCAGGTGTGAAATGCCGTCGTGACCGAGGTACAAGCAAGTAGAAAAGTGCACGTCGACCTTGTGGGGTGTTAATGAGTGTAGGGGCGTGGGCGGTGATATCTGAAACAAGAGATTTTGCCGTCAACTTTGTATCGCTATAGAAGAGCATGTTAGAATTCATCAACATTGAGCCGATAAACCAAAAAAAAACGAACTCGATCACGTCTAAGGCAGTGAAGAGGACGAGCTGAGCCTCATCGTCTATACACATACGCTCAACATGAGGCTTGATGGCTTTGATAATTTGTTTTCGATCCTGTACGATAAAAAATTAATATTGGTCATACAAGCCAACATCTAAATGTACCTTGGCTGTCCCATAAGCAATGAAGTCTCTCACAGCCCTGCTGCCATCCTTGGTATGGACCATCTCGGCAAGGACATCCTGGCAACTGCAGATACAATGTTAATGAAGAATACACAATTAAATCTATATTTACCTCTCAAATATCTCTTTGCGAAGTTTTTCTCGTTCAGACTCATCTTCCGTGTCATTGACGGCATTTAGATATTCCCAAAGCGCCCTATGAACGATTGCATGGGTTATGGCGCCTTTATCGGAATTGTTAAAACTGTTGATAGCATCGTCGATTGGAGGACTACATGATGTTCAATGTCAAATGCTTACATCGTGGTGAGATTTTCTTTTAGCGCTACCAGTACGCGTTTTCTTCGTTCGCCCTCAAGACCTTCAAGGACCCCAGGAAAGCCTTTTCTAGCGTTCGCCTTCTCAGGTTCAGAACCTTGTGTTTGAGAGAACAAAGCGACTTCCTTGCCGTAGAAGTCGCGAAGAAGAATCGAACGCTCATATGCATTTGCGTACAGCTCGAAGGAATCAGCGAGAACCGCAGATGCCTCCCGGTGCAACAGTAGACGGAGTACGTGGGACTGGAATTCGAGCAAGATGGATGCACGATGTGCTGGACAGAGTCTGATCAATTTGGTCACCAAAAACTATCACCGTCGTCAAAAGAAAGCTTAATTGCGAAGATAAACCGGACAGACCTTCGAGTACTTGCTTTGAGCTAATGCCTTGTAATGGCCCTTGAGCTCCATCGCGACCTGATCCCTCTCCTTTTGCCCACCATATTTCACGACGGTCTGGATAATCCTGCTTGCATCGTGCTTTAGAACAATATCCTTGACCTTGCCTTGGGTAACCTTCATCAGGTCTTTCACATGCTTTTGTCGCTCCGCAGAGGGTATGCTTTTTTGCCGAGCTAATGACCAGACGAGCTTTGCATCCGCTAGTAACTGGGAGTGTGGTTTGGCTGCTCGACGCTGATCCTGCAGTACACGTTGGACTTTATGCGATTCTCTCGCAGCTACTCAGAACGATATAAGTCTTGTGCATTCGGTCCCTGTGATCGTCGACATACCGTTGGGGTCTTTGCTTGGAGCATCATCCACAATCATTTCATCTGGGGCGATCACCTGGTCCCCAGCTTCTTCTTCGTCAAAGTTATCCTCTTCCTCATCTTCGTCATTGTCAGACAACCCACTTGCTGGTATTGGCTGTGTGACAGGTCTACTCCGTTTCTGGATTTTTCCCTCCTCGAACTTCGTCGAGGGAGGTTTTTCAGAGTGCTGTTTCTTGGGTTTTGGGCCACCCTGCGAGACCGCTGGTCTTTTCTTTGATGCGCTTTGCAGGCCAGGCATTGGAAAGGAAGGGACTGACTCGTAAACTTGCAGTGACCTCTATCAAGCAAGTCTTTCGAAAGTTTTTGGGCCTCATCCACGTGACTACTTATTGCGGTGTAAATTGATTTGCGTGCTTTCCACCACTGCCAGTGGCAACTAAGTTACCCTTTGCAACTTGCCTTCAACCGAAGCTACTGAATCCCCAATTATCTTGATCGCTGGCGGTCCAAACTCTACGTGCCGTATGATGTGTTTGTGAGCCGACGGCACCCACCATCAGAGCTTTGTGCCAGTAATTATGAATGTTGTTTCTCCCATGAGACGCTGTCCCGCATTCCACTTCGCAATATTGTTCGCATTAAGGAATCGGGAATTCACTGCAATGACGGTATGATGCTATACCCCCTTTATATCGCTTCGTCTTACGCTCAGTGATTGGACTTGCCGCCACCTTCGACGAAATGCACATCGATGAAGCGAGTTTAATTGGCTAACGTACATACGTACAGCTAAGTATGACGATTCCTTTACTTACACTTCTCGAGGTACGACCATCTCTTACTAGAAAATTGGGTCGTTTCTCAAATTCGCTAGTCCTCGATCTCAAGTATTTTTTCGACCTTTTAGTCGGAGGGAGTCATCCGCAGTTCTTCCCGAGTCTGCGGAGAGCCCTGATAATTTTCGCTCAACCGTTTACATAACTGTTTAGCATTATTGTTCGGATCGCGTGCATTCTAAGCAGCGAATCCACTGGCAGCTTCAAGTCAGAACTTACGTGCATGCTGAAGCGAAGCGAAACGTTCGTAAATCGCGACGGCCCCAGTTATTCCAGCCTATAAAATACCTGCACACCATACCAGTCCATGGTTTCACATCCTTCACTGCAACAAGCTTCATGATGTTCACTTCCCGTTTTGCCCTCCTTGCGCTACTCACCTTCCTTGCTGGCGCCAACGCAGAATGTGCAAAGTGCGATACAACTTTGAAAGTTGGCACAACGACCTACACACTGGTCGGCAACACCCTGGAGCACGCCAACGGGTGGACACTTTGCACGTACGTCACGCTCACACTTTGTAAAAGTCAAGAGACTGATGCGGCACCGCAGCTACTCGGATAACGCGGGCGACAAAGTGGTCTGCGAGTATTCGGTACGTGCTTGCTGCTTGCTGTGCGGCTCAGGCTCATCGGTTTCGTTTGACAGAACGGCGGTATAATCATAGATGGTGATGCCGTGTGTCCACTTACGGCATCGGTTTGGTGCTGAGTAGGATGTGAAGTGGGTCTAGGGCCCCGCGGGAGGGTCAACGATGACGAAAATCGCTATAGGATGTCACAGGGTGCACGGTCATTAGGTTGTGTCGAATCGGCTCTCTGCCTCAGTGATGTGATACCTTTTGCTTCTTTGGATCACGGTGTGATACTACACCCGAATAACCCAGGATGACTACATGGATCGCCTCACCATCTCTACCCGAAGATGCCATTCACACATCACTTGAGTGCTTATCATTTCGCGAACTCCAGTCTGTATCTGCCTTGTGTCCCGGTTCCTGTCTTAGAAGTCAAAGGCCCAGGTGTGGTCAAAATAGGCTTGTTTCACGTATGTTATCAAGGCAAACAAAGTTCAAGATGTGTTATTCATTGCAGAAGACAAGCTGTAGTCTTTACCGGAAAGGCCAGTCCGACCTAGTTCGACAGACGTTCTTGCTGCATAGAGCATAAATGATTGTTCCGAGGGACGGTTCGCTCGACGAGTCTGCTGGGGAAACTGGACTACTATGGATAGCCTTTTCGCGTATGTTTCCTAGCGCAGCAGCAGGATGATGATCACATGAGACTATTGTAGAAGTCATCATGGCATCTGAGGACATGTTCGTAACCACTCAAGAACGTCAAAATGCCAGAGATAATGAATTTGGATCGATTTTCCAAGACCAGCGATCTCCGATATGTTTTCATACATCCCTGACGATACTCGCATACTATGATGTGGGCATCGTTGCAGGCCTGGGACACAGTTGAAGTGCACTCATCCCTCAGGCTGCTGTCGTGCCTTCACTGGACAACAACGTGCTATCTCACCTTCTCTAGGGATAGCAAACATATCAAATTGATGAAGAGGGGATTTCGGATTGCGTACTATCTAAGTAAGTTTTGCTGGAAGTAACCCGAAGAACAGGCGTCAAACGCGCGAGTTGGCGCGGCGGCCCGCGTTCATTTTAGGTTTGTGCGCTCTGACGCGTTCCACAAGGTACATTCGCGTCGGTACCGGTCTTCAGTCCGTTGCGTTATCTCATCTCGTGCAAAGACGCTTTACCACGTTACGCTACCAAGGGACAATTCGTCAGACCGTAAATTTACAGCGCTTGTATTGGACAAGTGGTTTTGTCGACTGAGGTGATTACCACTGAACCGGTTGACGGTTGACCTGTCTCATAAGGTACGAGCATCTTCACAACTAACTTTCGGAGCAGTAAGCCTTCTGCGTCGTCATCACCCTTGTGCTGGCAGTGGTAGACGGTCGAAGGTATATATAGAGAAGCCACATCAATCGACGAAGATGGCGGTGACGTTGACGTCTCGTGAGATTTTCATGTTGCCCATAATTGCAGTCTAAGGCGGCCCGGCGGGACTGACGTGTCGCAGCTGCAGGACGCGGAATTACACATTTATTTGAACGCATTCGAACTTGATCCTTAACAATATGTTTCTCCTCCCAAAACTCCAAAACTTCACACCTTATTCCCCCAGCGCAGCACAACCAGTTATGGAGACAGTAGTGTAACGTATCACCATGACAAGTATCATGGACACGGAAAGCAAGAAGCGGGCCTACCCTTTCCTCTTATGTGCAGGTGTAGGACCCGTCGTTGCCTACACCTCCATTGACGACGGTACAACAAGACACACAGCTGCAAGTTTTGATGACTTCGACAGTGTTTTCTTCCGAACAGTAAAACAAAAACGGCCAGCCGTTGTTATAACTCGCGAGCCGTCCACACTCATACACATCTGCAAGCACTCGTAAGTACACGGTCAATACGGTATGTTGAAGGTGTTTACTTTGTTGGTCGCATGGCCCGATGCTAGAGTCCTGCGCCGTGATCATGCCCGCCAGTACTGCGGCAGACACAATCATAGTGGTGAGTGAGGTGAACTTCATTGATGCAATTCAGGATAGGGCTGCAGATGATATTCTTTGTTATTGAACTGAAAGTTATCACTTCGCTTTCATAGCGTCCGCATATGTAACGTAATGCGCCGTGGCAGCGCGATAATCTCTCGACGTGGCTCCACGAAAACTCGCTGGTATCAAGCTCGCGTCGAAATTTCACGAAGACGACCACGATCTCCAATTGAGTAAGTTCGCCATACCCATATCTCTGTCGACGCCATCATTGTCCGGTGGGGCGGGTGCCTATGCTGGACAGCATGTACAGTATCATACTTTATCCAGCGACAATATGTGCGATCTGCGCTGGGTGTTGCTATGGTATCTATCCAAGCTTTCGCGAGGATGATAGTCCTCACCACTGAGAACACTTCTGGCATGCTATTTGAATCTCATTAATATATGACGAGTATGATTAAAGAGGATGCGAAGCCCAGCTACCTCGATCGAATGGTCTAGTACTTGTGAGTCTGTTCGAATCAACCTGAACCTCGAGACTCATTTTGTCAATGCTGATCAGTCCGCTTTCAATTTGACCCTTCTGGCTCAATGAATCCGAGACAATGTTATTTCATCTTACTGGCTGCCGACGGACGTTGCAGTATCATCAATGCTTTTGATTTCTTCTTCTGCACATGTGCGTATGACCGTGTAAGTATCTGATTTGTATTGATTGCAACAAGTTCCATGATGTTCACTTTCTGCTTCGCCCTCTGCCTGCCTCGGAATGGGCCGATCGGACCGCTGGTTCGTGAGCTGTGGTTATCGACGTTGCTCCAGGATCTCCATACCACATGCACCTACTTGTCGTGAATCCATGGACAGCGCCTGGTCACGATACGCCCATGAGGATTATCCAAAATATCCGAAAATAAAATCGGCGAAGTACAATTACACATGTAGATACAGCAACAAAATGCGGTATGAATTCTTTGTTAATTTCTTAACCCCACTTCACAAAATGCGTTCTAGTCATAGAATACCAGGGCTCTCAGCTCGATGGATTCCCGAAGCGGCGTTCCCTCTGGAGTATTCGGGTCTTGGAAGCCAGAATGAGGGGTGAGCCTCGCGACACTGCCATCTTGTATCGAGTCAAAGCTGAGGCCCTTTGAGTAAGATGAAAAGTGCAACTGGGTTACTTCACTAACCATTTGATAAGAACAAACTCTTCTGGGGTCATTGCTTTCATGTATTTCCACTGGTGGTTTGGGTTGTACGTGATTCCATATGTCTCACCCTCGCGGTCAGGGTATATAAGAGCGACAGGCAGCAAGTCATTCTTGGCATCGACACTCCGGAAGTCACATAGTGCAAGCGGCCAATCTACGGCTGCATGTGATATAGGGCGCCAAATGTTTATGACTTGGAAGCGTCTGCGAAGCAGGGAAGGAGCTTCTGTTGGAGGAAGATGCCTATGAACACGAGCAATGGAGGACGCAGTCGTTTGGTCCACATGGACCAGGGGGACTGGTTGACGCTTCTGTGGGCTATCGTCTGGCTCGCCTGGGCGACGGCGACGAATGGCTGCGACATGAATTAGGCATCAAGGGTTGTTTAAAATTGGTGGTCAACGTACTGTGATCGAAGATGACAATGCTACTTGCTCCCGTGACCCTCTTGATAAGGTCGATGCTCTCAGGATAGTATTCACGCTCAATCTCGGCATCATTCAAGAAACTGGTATGCTTCGCCGCTTCTCGCCCATACTGAAATCCAGCATTGTCAAGTTTGTAAAGTTCCTCCTTTCCGCGCACGTTCTCAATGTGCATATCATGCTGGTCCTCGATCCAGTTGCGAATGTGCTTCCCCGTGGTACTGTCTGCGTTGATGTTAGTGTAAGGCCGAGAGCCGTCAGGTGGAGCAAGGAAGTAGTTGAAAGTGCCGGTGGTATCAGAAGCCATGGTTAGTTGGCGCTGCACTGCGTAAAGCGGAGTGGAAGTGTCTTTGGTATCACAGGGTATATATGTGTCCAAGGGCCGAGGAGGCCGCTTGGCTTACATATCAATCCTTCTGGCTGACTGTCAACGTGGATGAAAATATCTCATCCGCATGGCGCCACTGAACTACGGGATGAGCGATTATTGATCGCAGTCGTACATAGAATGAAGCCCACCTGGTTAATCAGTCTCTCCCGCTCAAGTCTCGTGACACCGATAATTTCCATTGATGCTGACTTGGCCTCAAATTTTGCCTCTGCATACTGCAGCCGCGTGCAGCAGGGCTGCAGGATACAACAACAAAAACGTATATATATATATATATAGCAACTCTGCTACCTGAAAGCGTGTGACTCGCACGCGACTTCAAATTTTGTCCATCACGTCGTCTCTGGCGCTTTTTAAATTGTATTCTTCAAAAAACGACTGTCTTCCTTCTGTTGGTATGACTAGGGGAGTCTATGAGGTGGCAGATGAAGGATGTCAGGTTTCAGATTTTGTGGTTGCAACTCGGTAGTCGGGATTTAGCTTCAAGCAGGAAACCGAAGTGAGCGGCGATGAGCGACCTCATCTGATCATCATCTGAGTCGGTGAGGATGTCGGCAGAGTCAACACAAGCGACTTGTGATCAAGGGCAAACGACGATCTGCGGCGGAGAATGCCGCTCTGGGCGATACCGACTAGCCCCAAGAGTGCCCCCTGTGGTTTACATCCGAGTCACGAAAGCCAGAGTGAGCGCGGGCACGTAGACCACATTGGTGCGCAGCGCTATTATCCTTTCAGAGCTGGTAGATTGCACTGGTATAGTGATTTCTGTGCTGCTCACTACTGTTCCTCTAGTCGCCGTTTGCGCTTAAAATTCTACTAGAAGCTCGTTTAATCGATGTACTCAGTATCCTACATTCAGAGCAAAGTTTCAGCCGGCTTGGTTAGGTGTGGCCTGAGTGTAAGGTTGGGTGGTGACACAATTGTGCGCAAAAAAAACAAGATGTTGGAATTAAGCAAGAGAGTGTTACCCCCATGCCGCCGTCGTGCTACATATTATGCACTCGTATCAACGCGCTGCACACCAATTATCGAGAAACTAACCTATAGTTGACTATCAGATGTCCTTCTGTAGCGAACGACTTCAACAGCCATCAGGAGATGTTCTGCGACAAGAACTAGGCACATTAAGTACCTTGTACAAATTCGACACGGTGTCATCAGGAGCGGGAGAGAATGCGAGATTGATATATGTGAACTGGGACGAGTCAGCTCAGCAATAGAGACGAGATATAAATCCTAACCAGTGGATCTCCAGCTTTCCATGCCAGCTCCTTCCTCAAAAACTGTATGACTGCCTGGAAACGGTTGGAGGCAGTAATCTTATAGAAGTTCTGCCTCATGATCGGTGCGTTACCGACTGCCTTGAAGCGAACCACGACTGCATATTGGACCTGTTACAGATATAGCCGAGTTGATCTAACACCAGTGCTGACCTTTGGATGGATCCTTCTTCTTGTAAGTGTCCAATGCCTGGAGGGCTTCGGTTGCATTCTCGGACACGTCACCCGGTGTCCAGGGAAGGGCAGCTAGCCGACCGGAATCATCTGGACTTCCTGAAGCCATCGCGATGTACGCGCGAGGAGAGCTGAATGTTACGGATGTTCAGATGGTAAAGTTCCAACTTGAAAGTAAGTTAATGGTCCCATGACTTTCCAAGGTGTCCGCAAAAGGCAACCCTACAGCAACGTTTCAACATCAGATTTGAAGTTCCGTCGAGTCACAGCTTTATAGACACATTTACTTGGACGATTGTGCTCCTGGGCTCTGAGCCGAATTCGAGATACATCCTCAAAGATCTCACTCAGCTTTCAAAGACGCAGTGACATTTACTTGGATCGGATCTCTCCGCTCGTCTGGCTGTGTACTACTATTCTAAGTATTATGTTTCGTCCCCTACCCACCAAGGAGATAACGTGTGGCTAATCTTTGTTTTCAGACGAAAGTAAATTATCATCCCCAATCGCCGCTGAGACACGTTTAAACCTAATGAGTTTGTAACAATCCACCCCAGGCTCTGGCGGCTGGCTGAACTGTAAAATTCTATTTCCGTAGATCGCCTACCAGAGGGGTGAGTTTCCGTTTCGATCATTACAATATCTCAAGGTATTGACTCCTGCAGACACCACCTTATGGAATAGTAATACGCCGAGTGGTTCAGACAATAACCAGATCCTTATCTCATCACCTTGATCGGCTCTTGCTATCCAGACCTTGTGAATATACACAGCTCTTGGATCATTCCAACCTCTCTCGAGGCGTCCAATGTTATAGCTGGCTTTCACATGGAAATAACCCCGTGGAAGTTTGGACAGTAAGTAACCCGATTGCCAGCAGTGATCTCGTCACGTTTTGGGTGACATACCGCGCTGTGTGTCACCTAAACCGTGACGAGATTAATGCTGGCGAGCCGAGGCAGCTTGGCGCACTGCGCGATGTTGTCGCCCAACATTATTGCCATGGGTATAGTATAGAGTCTACCCTAGTCTATCCCACCGTAAAGAGTTAAAAATGAAATCACTCCATCAATTAGTGCTGTGCTGGCGCCAGCACAGTACTATCCGAGCCTCGAGGGAATCATTTTCGTTGTTATAATCCTGTACGATGGGCATCATGGGCTATACCTATGAAAATAATGTCGGGCCTCGCAGCGACTACATTGCGCAGTGCGCTACTCCATCTCGAGACTGCTTTTCTTTTCACCAGATCCGACTACAAGACAATACTCTTCCCGGTGGTAATCATTCCAGAAATGATCATTAGTGCGCGACACTGAATTTCCCGTCGTAGATCGTTTTCGCGCTTGTTCTATCTCCTCGTCGTCACCCGCTAGCCCTGTCTCACGCTCTGTGCTGGGTCTGGCTCCATCTCCTACAAGCCAACGTCTCTAACCAAACGTACTCTGCACATGAAGATGTGGTGAATAAGCCATGGCGTCCTGTGCCGTCCGGGCGCATTAGCGTCAGAGATTGTCGTGCATTGCGTTGGCGACTGACGGTCTTCTGCTTGGGTCTTTCATTCCTTTCCAGCGTCAACGCACTGATATCTAGTGCGTTGTTAACCGTGGTCGAGATCGTGCATGACGACTTTGGTCTCAGTCACCATCCCGTTTTCAAGAATTTGTGCAACGTAGGGGGTTACACGACTTTTGAAATTGGTGCTACATTGGTCCTGTGTAGGCAGTTCTCCCTGAGGATGATATTAACACTTAGCTGACCAGATTGATAATTTAGCGGGGGAATCCTACCTGGATGGAACGAGCATAACAGCACTTGCCTGTAGTGCGCTTGTCATATTTATGACAATTCATGCACAGGATTTCGCAGACGCGAATGGTGATCGCATGTCAGGACGACGAACTCTGCCGATTGTAGCGCCCGAAGGTTCCCGTGTCTATATGCTCTGCGCGCTTCCGTTGATTTCTCTCGCTCTTTCCTTCATTTGGAGCCTGGGACCACTCTGCAGCGTTTTATTTGTATCTACAGGCTTATGGGTCGGACTTCGGTGCTTTCTCTTCCGCGATGAAATTAATGACCAGTCAACGTACTTGCTGTATAATGTTCGTATTTTCATTGATATTTCTTGTCTTTGAACTAAGGTTTCTTATTCTCTGTAGATGTGGCTTTTGGGTGTTCATCTCTTGCCTGCTAATGCACGATTTCGTGTATTGGCGTGGTAGTGCTGTAGACACCTTCCGCGAAGAGACCCAGCAATTTTGTGCTATGGTACAGTTGCGGACAAGCAAACTCGACAAATTTGGACATCACCAAAAGATTGATTTTTCCTGCTGCCACAAATGACCCGGAACCCATTTTTAGTGCAGAATCCATTGATTGAAGACCAAAGCAACTGATTTGCACGAGCAGATTGTTACAAAACTGCCATATAAAAGTTTTGGAGGCCAAAATTTTGGCCAACCCCTAAATAAATTGCTAAATTCGCGAAAAATATGCCAATCGCTTCCTTTTGATGTCCTGTACATGATTCCGTTGAAATATCAACAGATTTCTCAGGCCGTTTTGGCACTAAAAACTCGGTAAGTATTGAGGTAATTGCCTCCGGTATGCCCCAAAATGTCATAATGATTCCATTTTATGACTTACTATCACCTACAAAGGGGTGAAATAGAAACTTAATCGAGTTTACAAACATGATTCTGACATGCAAGAGTACCTTTGACGACTTTTATACCCCAAAAGGGGTACACAACATCACTCAAATTGCTCAAAATTTTGGCCAACCCCAAAACTCGTGGGAAAATTACAAGAGAAGTGTTTTTAGACGTATTTTGACTCCCTGAGTTCAAATCTGGCCTCAGTTTGGCCCAAAAAAATCACCTTGGGTGGCTATGAAAATTGTTGAGTTTGCTTGTCCGCAACTGTATGTAGAACCTGTCCTTTACCCACCCCCACTTTTTTACCCCCCCTCGGGCAAAACTTCTAATTTCGTGTCAACATGTAGAAATTAATTGAAGAAGTCGATGTCATGCCTCGACGGATATTTCTACAGTATTAGATGATGAATTGATGTCCGCTGATGTGCGTGATACAAATTAGTTGATTTTGCTTAGCTATTGAATTCTCATGAGAGCCACAATAGATTCAATAAGTATTATTAATACAACTCGACGGAGATATTCGGCGTAATTCATTGCTATAGCCCCTGCATTTGTCAGCATCAGAGTCCTGGCTAACTCGGTGGGTGAGCGACCCGACAGGAGTGTACTTGGCGATGAGAAAAGGATGCTTATGTCCTTTGCCAGCAGCCTGACACGTCATTAACGTGGATACATACTGCGAAAATATATAAGGTGGCTAGCAACTTGACCAAAGAATTCAACGGCTACCTTACATTTTCTTGCCGACAATGTCTACAATCCCTGCAGAACTCGTATACTTTCTCCGCCCACTGATCCCGGTCCCGCCCATTCACCAGCATAAATGCTGATTCGAAGACAGGCCAGCGCGCGCGTAATCGGGAACAAGAGGTGCATACCGTAGAGAGAGCATTGAACTCCTCAAAGAAATCACGGGCGCGAGCAAAGTCGTCCTTTTTGACCACAGTATGTGTGAAACTGTGGTACATCATACTCTAACATCTGATTCTGCTGGATCTTAGCGGTCAGGCTCCACCGCCCCAGAGATGCAGAAACTGACGTAATGCCCGGAGGTGGTGAGACAGTTCAAGTTGGTGGCGCTGTCCACAATCAAACTTAGACTGCTAGTTTCACAGGTAGTACTAGGATAAGCCGTCTATCAATTTCATCCAGCTCGTTTCTCTTTGTCTCGTCTTCTGCATTGCGGTGGTGAGCTACTCTACTACCGAGGCGGATGCGTTCTCGGTGCTTTGAGGTCGTGTATCAATGGCTATTGGACGGGTGATTTGATTTGGTTAATAATACGATGAACTATTTGGGAATGCACTTATGGAAACGATGTCAGGCTCTCCAACGACTCTCTTAAACCCACGGGTCCGTCTGTTATAGCAAATATTCCCATGTCAATGTTGCTTAATCGCGCTCAAGTCGTGTCTGTTCCCCGAGTGTCACAACCAAAAAGGCATTTGTTTGGCACATTTCGTATCAGACCCCCAATCCACCAGCAAATAAGTATCTCATCCATAAGTGCAGGGCCCATGATTTTTTTTGTGCAACAAGCTAGGAATCAAATCAGTTTATCTTTTCTCTTTCGCAGGGTGAAGTTTACTATATTCCCTTTTATGCGCTGTGCTATGTTCTAACACACACCAGCGGAGAAGAAGGGATCTGAAGGGTACACGATATGATTGAAAGGTACAATGCACACATACCGACGTCTTATGTGCGTTCACAGCACGCAGCTCCTCAAAAAATGCACGCATTTGTTTTGCGGTAACTGCATTCCTTACACAAAGTTAGAACATAGCAGTTTGAAGTGGCGCTAAACTCACGATCTACCTAGACGCCCACCCTCGAACAATTGGCACACGTCGTTAGATATTTTCGCTCTCGAAGGTAAATAGATGAGAATGCGGCGCGGTTCTGATTATTGGCTTTGCGTCGTGTGAAGACGAGAATGGGGTGTTTTAGGGTGGTTGAAGTAGATGGCGAAGAACACCTTCAGCTTAACACCGATGCGTCGGAGGTGACGGTCGAATGGACATTGAAAGAGCTTGAAGGAGAATGCTAAGCGACTCGTAACTGCTCAGAGAAGTGCTTCGAGTCTCTAGGAAGGAGTACATAGTATGAGTGTGACACTGATGGCAAAAGCCTACCGGCCTGCGGGTCGTACAAAGGATCATCCGAACCGGCTGCCAATGCCAATAACGCTCTCATGAATCTTGGGACGAGGAAGTAGGTATCAAGAGTGCCGAAGTTGATCGCAAAACATGACAGACCAAGGCGTTGCAAAAAGTACGTGAGATGGGAACGAAAAAAAGTTATTACTTGGTAGAATATAAATGCACCATGTGTGTCTCTGCGAACGCCAACGAGTGTGACTGTGTTTATGTGTTGCTAACTTGATGTCTGCGTGCGCGTGTAAATTAGTTTAACGGATCCAGCGCCATACAATGTCTGGTAGCAGCATGGTAAGCTAGAAGGGCTGCTGTTCAAATTATGTGACAGTGCTGTTGGCCATGGACGCGCGTGTTGATAGAAGCCGGCGAGAACAAATATAAGTGCAGGAAAAAAACTTAGATGATTGAGGTAGTACTCCGCTATTCACCGTGCTTAGTAAGGTTCAGCTTCAAGTTCTTGCTTCAACCGTGACAGCGTGTGTGCGGTAACTTCAGGATACTTTCACTACGCACCAGTGATCGGGGGTCTGGCAAGGCAAGGGCAAGGCAACTTAAACAAGGATCTGACGTGGGGAATTTTAAAGTTCCTTCAAGGTGTATAATAAGCCTGAGCCTATATCTAATGGTCCTTACTCCTCCTAACTCCTGGGTACATGATGGTGTCCGCTGCTGACTTCTCTCAACAGGATTTTGACTATATTATCATCGGTATGTCGGGTTCTGCCTCTGTGCGACTTGTTGACATAGTATTTTTACAGGGGGCGGAACAACTGGCCTTGCGTTGGCTTCGATGTACACGCTTATCATAAGATCCTTTTTCTTCTTTCCTTGTAGATCTAACTTTGGGATGTTGTAGCCTCTCGACTAATGCTAACGTTCGCATAGGAGTCATTGAAGCAGGTTTGAGGAAGGACGATGAGATGATTCTTATCCCTGGTAAGGGGTTCAACACTGACCGGTTAACCTTATATTCATGTTGTTTTTGCGACTTCTCTTGGTGAAGGCATGATTGGCAAGGCTGTTGGAAGTGAGTCTGGAGTTGTGTTTTAAAGACAGGGCATCATAGTTCGAGTCTAGACCCAGAATATGACTGGAATTTCGTCACAAAACCTCAACTATTTGCTCAGAATCGGGAGATGCCAATCCCTAGAGGCAAAGTTCTCGGTGGTTCTTCAGCATTGAATTATATGGCTTTCTGCCGGTGCGTGCATACTACTCACTCGTAAGATCGGATATTAACTTTCACCTTTATAGCGGTTCCGAGCTCGAGCACAATGGTTAGTAGTTATCCAGTTAAGTTGATACCCTTCATACTCATGTGTCTAAAGACTGGGAGAAACTCGGCATCAAAGGTCAGTAGTGTATCGTCGTTCAGTATGAAATGGAACACATTACCCATTTCCCTCGTGTAGGATGGAATTGGGATATCATCAGTGATGCAATTAAATCTGCTGAGGCTTGGAGCCCTCCCACTCGCCATGCCAAGGCGCACCACGCAGATAATGTTGCTAATAATCATGGCAGGTAGGTCTAACATTGCGGACACAAATATGTCATGACGCATCATTCCCGAACAGGTACGGCTATGTCAAGACGACTGCCTACAGCTACTATTATGATCTCGTTTTGCCTTTTTTCGAGACCATGAATAAGTTGGGTGTCGTCACGAACCAATCTGAAGTGCGTTTGAAAATCGACAAAGTGAGCGTAATTGAAGTTATTATCAGGCCTCCGGAGACATTATAGGCATTTGGACGTACACAGCGTCCATTGATCCTCAAACCAATACTCGTTCTTACAGTACAAATGTAAGGCGGCAGAAAACGCCATCACGAAATGTTTGATGCTGAATTATTCTTCTAGGCGTATTATGATCGGGTTTCTAACCGACCCAACATTGTTGTACTCACTGGTGCACAAGCCTCTAAAGTGCTTTTCAGACAAACCTCCAGCAGTGACCTGCAAGCTACAGCAGTTGAATATCATCAAGGAGGGCGGATATACAAGGTCCCTGTGCGCCGGGAAGTTATCATATCTACCGGTAAGTCTCTAATGTGATGATTGAAAGATTAACCCAAACGATGAGGTAAGGTGCTTTGCAGACGCCCCAGCTTCTGGAACTTTCAGGTGCGGCAGTCTAGTTATATCAGATGGTCTGTTTAGTTTTCAATTTCTACATTACCAGGGATCGGAAATCCCGACCTCTTGCGTAGACTGAACATTCCCGTAAAAATCGATTTACCTGGTGTTGGCGAAAACTTTCAGGTCGGTGTCACCTCCAGTCGAGAAGCGAATAGAGCCTGATCCTTGTCTTAGGACCACCCTAGGGTATCCATGGGGGCTGAGCTGAAAGGCTCGCACGAGACCGCGGATGACCTCAATTCAGAAATCTTTGCTCAACAAAGACTAGAACAATATCGTCTTTCCAGAACGGGGATGCTCAGTAGCACACTGTCTACCCTCGTCTTCATTCCATCGTCATCTTTCATCCCACCCGACAAGATGCGGAGTATGCTGTCAACCCTGGACGAGGCCCTGAAACTGCCGCAAATTCAAAACTCCCCCTGGAAAAAATGGTACGAAGTCCAACGCGCCTGGCTGGAGAACGATGGTATTGCTCAGTTAGAGGTGGTTTTCTTCCCTTGTGCGTCTTTTGTACGTCAGGTATGGATGCGGTATTGATCATGCACAGCCTACACCCACGCTGGGTGTGCAAACAACAAAGCTAAGCATTACACGATATCGGTCTTCCTGCAGCATGCCTGGAGTCGGGGACATGTCTGTTTCTCCTTCTTCAAATTGCCACTTGAACTCATGCTTCCACCCCAGGTGCATGTGACTTCTTCGTCTGTGTTAGATTCGCCAGAGATTGACCCAGAAACGCTTAATTCTCTTGGGAACATTGGTAAGTGAGCCATCATTTTCCGCAGACAGACCATTGAATCTTCTTCGAGATATGGTGATGCTTTTGGAGGCTCTAAAATATGTTTTCAAGGTCATGGAGACAGGGGCTCTAGGCGATTTGACTTCGGAAATCATTGAACCTAAACCTTCTTGGTCAGATGAACAACTGATGAATTACATACGCTCCGACGTCGTCAGCGGATTCCATCCTATAGGTATGTTATGTACCTCCTCGAGAGCTGCAAACTTTTCTTATGCAAGCTACGCTTTGAAGGGACGGCCTCGATGCTCCCTCGATCCGCCAATGGCGTCGTCGATAACGAACTGAAGGTCAAATTTAACCTTCGGTATAATTATCTGCGAGACGTACTCACGTATTTTTACAGGTGTATGGGACAACCAACCTGAGAGTAGTATGTACATCTTTCTTGACAAACTAAGCTCAGCTTCCTTAACATGCTTCACAGGCGGATGCCAGCATCTTTCCCATCGTAAGGCTGAAAGTTGTTGCCTTTGACATACTAATGCGGGCGATCTTTAGCACTTGGGGACTCATCCACAAGCCACACTTTATGGGTAAGCCATCAACAATGATCGTGCAACTTGCACTGAGAAGATCTTTCTAGGCTGGCTCACAAAGCCGCGGAGATCATTCAAGCCAGCGAAAAGGCCAGCGAGAAAGCAAAACTTTAATGTTATTGGTGGAAAGTACTGTCTGTGGACGCAGCTATTTACACGAGAATGACTGTACCAGCTTTTCTCCGTGGAAACATTTCCATAGATGTCTCATACACCGATAGTTCCTGTCCATGTCTCAATCAAGTCGATCACACAGTAACCCTTCACAGGCACATATTGCTTCGTGATCATCTTGATCGCCTCTTGAGCAACCATACCGCCAAGAAAAGCTGCAGTGTTGGGCAGCTCGGAAAAAGGCGCTCGAGCACTATCATAGTGACATGAGCCATAAATTTGAACCAAGATGTAGCCCTACTCACATCTCACCAATGGCATCGTCAGCCTCATCGGGAAGCTGAGTGGACTGTCCGACAATGGACTGCATCTTTGCACGAATGGACTCTGCCGATGGTGACACCGAGGTGTCACTTGCTTGAAGCAACGAAAGCGCAGAAAGCGCTAGATGTATACACGTTTCCTTCGGCTTTGTTGATAACGATTCCACTAACCCAACAGACGAAGGTCAGCGTTCTGAGCCAGCGTAATGTCCCAAAGCATTACCTAGAGCAACTTTGTCCTCATCGAATGTACCCCAAGGTTTGCCCCTAAGAACAACCAGCGCATGGGCGTTCTTGACAAATGCATCAACCATGCCGTCGTCGACTGGTACTTGGAGATAGCTCTTGAAAATGAGTTTTTCTTCTTCTGCCCTCGCTTTGTAAAGTCGCTGCAAATGTATGTAGTTATGGGTATCTGACTTCATATCTGGCAGGGTTGATGTGAGAGGAAGCATGTGTGTGTCAGATTGCTCAGTGAATTCCTTCAAGGCAGCGAGAAGATGGAAGAAAGGCGACTGGTTGTTGTCCAGGGCTTCAGTGAATAGCGCGTGGTCACTGAAAAGGGTCGCAGTTTCCGAAGGGATCTAATGGAACAATTATGCCATAACTCGAGACAGAAGGAACAACAAAAACCTTGGTTTCCGTCCAACATCTATATGCCTGTGCTTCTGCTTCGTCAAAGTTTTCTTCGTCCCCTTTCACCTTCAGCGCAAGGATCCCTTTCTTGAACTGTTGTCGTTCCTCATATGATTTCGGTAGGCTACCGTCATGCTATGTGATCTGTCATGAACACGCCTTCGACCTGAACAAGGACAAACATACGGATTTCTTCCAATCCTCAAGCGCACGAACTAAAATCACCACGTAGGGTATGTGTCCGTGCTCTGTTGGGTCCATCTTGTCAAACTCCAGCGACAGGGCGTGTTCTCTCAAAGCTGGGAATGGTTTGTCGATGCGAAGAGAAGGGGATGTTTCCGAGTGACTTTCGATGACTTGAAAACGTCATGAGCACATTCAAGGACATAGTTCTGGACGTACTTGTGTGTTCATGAAATTGAATGTAGAAATCTGCCAGGAATCCAGCTGATCGGACGACCATAAGAGGCGGGTATTTCGCATCTTTCCAAAGGAGTGCAGAGAGCTTGTTCAAGAGTGTGTGATCTAGGTTATGGGCAATGACGATAGTGAACGAAGTGATGAACTCAGGATGCGACTCGAGGATGCTCTCGAGAGTTCTGGTGTCTGCGCGACCTTCGACGCCGTCATTAAGTTCGCTCAGAAGCCGGACAGCCTCTTCTGATCTAGATTTTCCAATACTATCGAATCCTTCTAAGAAGAAGTTATTCCCGGCATCAGAGTGTGACACCTTTGCGTGATCAAGGATAGTGAAGTGCCCGATGCCAGGGAGAACAAGGTTCTTCAAGATTGAAGTCGAAGTGGCGGATCCAGATATCACCAGTAACCTAGAAGACTCTAATGCGCTCTGTCCAGTTGCTGCCCACAGACTTGTTGCAAATGTCAATTGGACCTCATTTGTATAGTTCTCCTGAAGTAATCTTACCGGAGCTGACGATCATATCTTCGAGTTTTGGTGTCTGGCGCAGACCTAAGTCTGGTCAGCCGACAAGTCTTGGGTTGCTAGAGAAATCATACTCTATTGCAGTCGTTGCAGTCTCGATGTCCTGAGAATCCTGACTAGACATGATGGTCGAAAGTAAAGACTGTCACAGGCTGAAAGTGGCAACTGATAAGTAAAGGTGACAAATTGACGCGTACAGTCACACACTGTCACACTGTGACACTCGTGTTTCTTGACCTTCACCATGACGGACACGCGTCAATTTGGTGATCTTGCCACTCAGCTCATCATGGAATCTCGCAGATCGACCTTAACAGACACTCTTCTCAAATACAACGACAATCTTGTACGGTCCATCATCCGGGAACAACGCGATCTTGAAAAAATGGCCGGGACCAGCCAGAACGTCTCTCCAGCGCTGCTCATCTACCAAACAACCATTGTACGAAACAAGAGATGTCTCTTAGCATATCACAAGCATCGTATGGATAGACTGCGCGATATGTACTGGACCGCTGGAGGCGCTTTACCGCACATCCTGAGCAATCAGGACATTCGCAGCAAGCTCTCTCCTCATGAAGTTGACTTCCTTCGCCAGTATAGCACTTCGGTGATGGATTATCGTGCTGGTTTCTCAAACGAGCTCGATATCACAGCCAGTATTACCCATCCGCCCAAAGACTTGCATGTGCTCGTTCACGTTATCAGGGATTGTGGAATCATACAGACAGAGCTTGGGACTATAGATTTCCAGAAGGGGCAGAGATTCATGGTTAGGAGGGCTGATATCGAACATCTTATTGTCCAGGGTTATCTCGAGGAGGTTTGATAGTGCGTTGCAGATTTATCGCGAACAGAAAGGTTTTTGATTGACTTTGATCAGAAAGGAAACACGTGGCTGTGTTGTTACTGCCAAACAATTCGACACTTTGTACGAACGTGTCTACGCGTTGCATCAAGTACTTCCACTATGATGCGACGTAGTCTCCACAATTGCTCACGACTATCATCAAGTGCATTGATCTCACGAAATCGCTTTCCTTCATCTCCCAAATACCTATCTACGCATCTACGACGGTTGTTGACTCCAGCTCCTAAGGCTTCTCCGCCCTTTGCCATCCAGCCAACAAATGAACATTATAATCTCTTGTTTTCCGAGGGCCCTAGTCCTCCTATGTTTACGCCAAATAAAGGGGGTTCCGGTGGTTCTGAAGACATATCCGACCGTGAATGGCAAATCCGGACAGGTCAGTACGACATGCTACCACTTTGGAGACACACTGATGCTACAACCAGTTCACCCTATAATCATCATTCCTTTTGATCGTTTTGTTATCTTGTTACCATTTAGGCCGCGCCATCTATATCCTACAGAAAACGCTTCCTGATTTCTTCGATGTTGGCCTTGTATCAAGCATAGACCCCACACAGACCCCGGCTCTCATTGATTCCAGAGAATCGCTTTCGCCAGAGGTAGAAAACATTTACAGCCCGAAAGTGAGGTTGACGTACACACCCCCTATTGCCCTTCCCTCGCCATTTCCAAGAACACTTGGCCTCGAAGGTTAGCGGTGTGCCTATGCCACGCTTTTGACATTGACAATGACTTTCCTAAGGACTGCCGTTGTACCTGGCTTCGTCTGTCTTTATCCGGCACACCATGAGAACACTGTATTCAGACCTTCGCGTAGAATTACGCAAGGTGACGGTGCAAGGGTCACTATCCTCGCATTCAGAAGGCGCTGCAGCAGGAACCCACTCGAATCACCAGCGAGACAAGAGTCTCTTCATTGGCCTGAATGTGTATGGCACGACACGTGTCAGTGGTGGTGCCGGGCAATGGCAGATGTGAGAATCTTATATCATCTGCACTGACTCTTGCTGATCATGATCATGTAGAGACTCGACGTACAGCTTTTCGCCTATCTCTGGGTTGATACAGACGCATACCATCGACTCCATCCATCCAGCACCGCATCTGGCTGCATATGATGCGCTACGAGCGTCGCTCAGCAGTGTGTTCGGCTTCGGCGGGCCAGGGCCAGGAGATATTCGACCAGGAGAAGTTCGGGCGGTTGATGGCGATAAAAGGGTGATCTAGGCTGGTTTCTGTATTTTTACCGCGCTCATTTCTCCTCTTGTACCTATTGCCTCGCTAAGCAAGAGATGAGCTTGATTGACTCCGTGTCTTGTCGTGGGCCATTGTGGGAGTCAGCAAATAGCGTATCCACATCCACTACAGCGTTAGGCTGGTCTCTAGCCAGACCTATAGAAGACGGATGACCTACTTGCACACGAGATCTATGATTTATAACGGAGGACTTAAGTGTCGGCCAAGTCCGGTCAGGCCTGACAGCGTTAATATCGGTGAACGTGCTGTGGTGGTTACGGCCCGGGGGCACAAGGTGGCGCCCAGAGCCTGAGACCTGAGACCTGAGACAACCAGAGCCTTGTCATTTTGATGCGGGTATTATTGAATTAGCTCTAGAATGAGACCCTTCCGTGGTGGACAGCCCAAGTCTGGCCGACAGCTTTGGTGATGCGGCAGAGTCTTCAAACATGATATCGATGATCACCATCTTTACGCTGTCTTCTAGCAGCGCTCTTGGATCAACTTGATAATTACTGATCATGATTCAGGCGGAGGATGTAGTACAGGAAACGGTTGCCATGTCACGGTGGTCCTGTATACCAAGTATAGAAATTTAAATTTAAGGGATATGTATTCATCAAGTTTGAACTCGTTCTCAAGTTGCTCCGCCTCTTTCGTCTCACGTCTCCTCACCTTGAGCTCCCCAACCTCGTCTTTCTTTGATAGCACACTCATTTTTTCAACGTTCAAGCATCCTTTCAAACGCAATGTTCACTAAAGCAATTGCTGCTATTCTCGCCTTGCCCTTCGTGGCACAATGTCAGTATTTTATTTTTTTGATACACCTGTTCGGTTTATAACGCGATTTTTCTGGTTCATTATTTTACAGTTGCTTCCGCAAACACCTGCACGCGCACTTACACTGCTCAGGCTGGCGATATCTGTGACAGTATCTCGGCGGCCAACAATGTTTCTACGTACGCCAAGTCCCAATCCTTGTTGAAGCTCCACCGCTGATAATTTTTATTCATGCAGTTACCAGCTTGCTGTCGTCAACGCTGGAATCATCGACGAAGATTGCGACAACCTCGTCATAGGCCAGAGCTACTGCCTTGGATGGGAGGGACAGGACTGCACGACCACTTCTGTAGTCGAGGCCAACGACGATTGCGACATCGTCTCCTACGAAGCAGGCATCAACACCACCATCCTCTATGAGAACAACCCGCAGATCAACTATGGTTGCTCTAACATTTACATTGGAGAGGTACCTCAATATTCCCCAGTTTCATCACAGTTTTCTAAAAGCTTTCGTTAAGGTGTTGTGTACAGCGAACACTGTCCAAGTCCCTCCTGCCCCCGCTGGCAGTACCCCCGCTACGACTATCCCTGCAACCGCTACTCCTGCCAACCCCGACGGCGACCTCCCTTGGTGTGACGAGTAAATTCATTCACCTCCACCATCCTGCTGCAGCCTGCGCTGTTGAGTGTGTGTAGCACGGATCGTCAACTGTGGTCATTCGTGACGACAGGCCGGTCGTGTCGTCGCTTTGGTCACCTTTTTCCCTCTTTCATTTTGAACTTCATATCGCCTGTTTTGTTTTCACATCAAGAACTACCCCCGGTGGTATACCCAGCAATAGAAACTTCATCTTCAACTTATTGTTGTTTATTACCTTGAATCCTTCGCATGTAGGTAATTCTGGAAATTCCCGTTACATTTTTGAGGGAATAGATCGTGGTCTTGTGGGCTTGCCCTTTTGATGACCATTTGCGCCGTTGCTATCGGGGTGATGAGGTATGAATTATGCTGGCCTGCAGGTACTTGAGTATGGGATATTTTTCTCGAGCTTGACGACAAACAAGGAGCTAGATTGTGCACAAGAGCAATATTCGCCCTGATGTCACTTGTTCTGTGCCACAGACATGTGAAACAACTGATTAAACGCCCAGTGCTGTCCGATTTGTCAGAACGCGAGAAGATGATGAACACGGAGGCAATGAGGCTTGCGAAGCCTTGAACAAATGAAAAGCTTGCAATTGGGACCGGTTTTGGAGGGTGCTTCCGAGGTTCTGCCTTGAAACACAGCGGCCTTCTCGATCCCTGATGCAGGCCCCGTACCTTTGCGCAACACCCTGTGTGCAAGTTGGTGCATATGTGGTTGTGCATTAAACCGTAGCCTCATGTTCATTTCATAATTTTCGAGCTTTCGGGGTCCAAGCCTGCCCTATTTCTGCCATTTGTTCAGGTTTACCATCACCTCACAAAGTTCCTAGTCAGGAGAGCTCAGCGGACGGTACCGGTACGAGCTCCCAGCGCTGTCAGTGATCTTCGCTAGCATTAATGAAGTTCTGACTTTTGGACTGCTTGAATGTCATTTTAATGCTGTGTGCCACGTCGAGTCAGGTTTATCACAATTGTAATAAGCGCTCGATCGAACACAGGCACCGATACCGTCTGGTCTCTTAATATCATGGATCAATACAACTACCATGCATGTTGACACAAAATGCACTTCTCAAAGACGTACTCACAACTCCTCCTCACTCTACCACCAGAGCTACGTGAAAACGCAATACAGTACCGCCAAGTAAGTCCAGTGGTGTGTCAGTCGACAGCAGCGCTGAACATCCGACAGCTCAAGAAACTCATCAACCAACTCGTCCAGGAGCTCTCTTCTCTTGGTCTCAGTCCCACCGTCCTCCAACAATTGTTAGAACAACAGAACCATGGAAGTTTGACCGCCAAGATCGAGCAAATACGACAGCAGTGTGACCTGGTTCCTGACGGCGATGGCGACCAACAACGACACGCCACAGTCGTCTACGAGTTTACGGGGACGTCCTCTCATATTGAACCTCGTCTCCGGCTGTCAGTCAAGCACTCGATAGACGCTACGGAGCTTGCATCTGGTCACACGACCACACCGGACAGCATCCTAGAGGCTCTTCATCTTCATTCAAGAGCTCTAGAAAGTAATACGGCCTTTGTGAACATCTCCTATTCATCCGCGAAGTACGTTCGAAGTGTTCTGCCGTGTGCTCCTGTTGATAGCTTAGAACCCAGCACCCACGATCTTATCATCCCATTACGGTCTGATACCGCGTTCTTTCACCTATTGAACACCGCCCTTGCATCGCTTGCTGCCCATCTCAACACCGTCCATGGCAGTTTTACATCTACGCTACAATGTCTGGCCCATACTATCAGCACGACAGCGCGCCCCACTTCCTCTTCAGCGCCTCGTTCCTTTTCGGCTTATTCAATGGCCGTCAGTAATGCCGCCACTTTACGACCCAGCTCTGGCATTCGAAAGACGGATCTGTATTCATGGAGGGAGATATTTCAGACATATCTTGACGGTGAAATTTTTGAGAGTGTCGGGGAGAGAACTCGTGGGGAACGCAGTGTCGAGGAAACAGAAACCCGGATGAAGCAATTTGAAGAACGCATACGAGAGAAGAGAAGTAAGCTCAAGCTGGCTGGAAGCAAGGATGCGCTGGATGTTTTCATGCGGATGAACTTTTTTATCTTGGATTTGAAGCGGGTGAGTGTGATTTGCTGTTCAGTTGGACATCGATATTCAATCATCTGACATACAGTTCCAATTCGCGAATGCCGAGGCGACCCGCAAGATCCTTAAGAAGCATACGAAGCGGACCGCATTGCCTCTTCCTTCCTATCTCCTTTCACTGTGGAATGGACCATTTCCAGCCTCTCCGCCTCCAGCAGAGCTGGCTCTGTTACCTCAGCCTCCTGCATCTTTACCTCGGCTCCTCGTGCAAGCTATTGGCGAAATTTTGCTTCCGATTGTGCCTCATGTCGACGATTATTCTTGCCTTATCTGTACCAGTCTCGCGTTCAAGCCTATCAGACTTCATTGTGGTCATTTATTCTGTGTAAGGTGATTGCATGATATTTTTGGTTGATTGTAACGACCAAATTGACTAACATGGTTTCTCGAAGATGTCTAGTAAAGCTTCAAAAGCTTGGTAAAGCGAATTGCCCTATTTGCAGGGCCCCTACGGTGCTAAAGGCCGACCGCAGTGAGTCCCCGTTTGCCCTTCGTTGTTTTTCGGGTGGCTTATGTTTCACAGCTAATGTTGACTATGCCCTCTTGAACTTTATGGCGGACTGGTTCCCCTTCGAGTCGCGTGCGAAGCTCAGGGCTAATGAACGCGAGGCAGCAAAAGAGGAACTTGAGGAGCTTGGTCTTACTGGCCAAGGATGTCGGGTGATGTAAATCACACACGAGACCAGGGTTTTATCTAGACAGGTTCAGACTTGTGTTTGACAGGTATGTGCTACGATACGCTATTTATATCGGAATGGGATAGCTTGTGGGATGCATGGATTTCGGAAGTGGTTAAATTATGTTTTATATCCAAGCAGGACGATAGATAATGAAGGGGTGCTTTGGTCATCATGGGTGTGCGATGATAAGAGATGACATGTGCCATGTTTTATTCCGGCTCTCCAACAACATCCTCCATTATTTCTTCTTGCCAGTTTCGGCGCAATGCATCCATGAAATCCTGCACGCCGTCACCTTCCAGGAAGCTGGTGAGGTTCATGAGGGATAGGCCAATTCGATGATCTGTCACACGATCCTGCGCATAATTGTACGTTCGGATCTTCTCGCTGCGGTCCGCGGTGCGCACCAAATTCCGACGAGTCGCTCGGCGGTTGGCAATGTCTCGAGTAAGCTTTACGTCCATCAGACGAGCGCGTAGAACTTGAAAAGCACGACGCTTGTTCTATTCAAATCATGTCAAATCCCCCTCAACCACAAAATGAGGGCATGTTACCTGATGTTGACTCCGTTCATCTTGCATTGAAACAGTGATACCGGTGGGTGTATGTGTGAGACGGACTGCAGACTCTGTTTTGTTGACGTGCTGACAACAATGGTCAGAGTCAAATAACCTGCTCGAAGTCCAGAAGCCCACCTGTCCCCCTGCGCCACGTGCACGCATCACCTCGATTTTCACGTCTTCCATTTTGAAGAGTTCGTCGTTCCCGTTAGTACTTTCAACATCTTCGCTTAGCGGCAAAACCTGAAAATGGACATGTCACCCCATAACCCAATCAATCTTCCTAGAGACTTACTATGACTGCAACGGTACTCGTATGAGTCCGCCCACTGGACTCCGTTGCGGGGACGCGCTGCACACGATGTACACCGCTCTCCCACCTCAGTGCATCATAAGCACCTTCGCCTTTAATCTCGAGGATAGCATCGCGCATCCCTCCGCTTTCGGTTTCGCTGCTCTGTATGATACTTGTTCGCCACCCGACTGAAGCAGCATACCGAACGTAGACTCGAAGGAGGTCCAACAGAAATAAAGCTGCTTCAGACCCGCCAACGCCGGCTTTCAGTTCCAGCAGAGCATGTAAATCGCGCGTAGATGATGGAGGAACGAGGAGAGAGGGAAATGTGGTAGAGATGTGGGTGGAGAGGGTGTTGGTGAGGGAGGCGAATTCTTCGGATGCAAGGGTGCGCATGGTTGGGTCGGGGTCTTGCATGAGGGGTAGTGTTTCTTCCAGGGACTACTGTTGTAGCATTGAGCCTGGGTACGCAGGGATTGTGTAGGATAAGGATAAGACGAACCTGACGAGCGTGTGTGAAGTTTGACCATGCTTCGTGCAAGGGCTCTAGTTCTTTGAGTTGACGTGCGCGTGAGATGTCCTCTGGAGAGGACATATCCTCGGACATCTGGTATAGACTGAGCTGACACTTCAAACTGATTTCGATAGTAGTAGTCTTACATTTGCTAGCAATTCATCCCGGACTTTGACGCGCTTTCTTACAGCTTGGAGGATGCGAGCGCCGTCTTGCTCGATTTGGTGTATGACGTTGAAGGAAGCAGGATGAGCCTCTACGAGGTATGGGCGGGTGCTAGAAAAAAAACGTTGGTAATGTTTTATTGGACGGTACAGAAGGCGGAACATGGAGATTTCATGGAGAACTCAGGAAAGAGCATTTTCTCAAAAAGGATTTGTTTGGTTCAGAAGGTTTTGGCAAACAACCTCCTTCCAAAAATGGATACGGAGCGCTCTATGCATGTGACCTCTCAGCTCTGTCATAATCGATCATCATAAGTAACCAACTAAGATCCGCCGCAACAGTGCAACTGCCTTGCTGTTTGGTTCATAGTAATGCTGTTGGACTGGTGTGCTATGCCGTCCTTTTCATTAGTACTGTCAGCTTCTTGATCCAGGAGAGCTCTACTGATCCTTCATCATAGGCGATCTCAGGCTGGAGTCGTCGTATCGATTGACGCTCGACCGCCGTGACACATTTTCCTCTTTTGAATGACTGTCTCCCTTCTATTTGGTCCGCCTATGGGAGACTACCTTTGAACTTTGTATCACGGCCCGCGCTTCAAGAAAGCTCATGGGCCGGCACCGCAAAAGTAGCTTTTATCTATATCCGAACCAAGAAGTCACCATAATCCTCAAGTAACCAGATACGTCTATCAGGAGTCTGTGGTGCGCTGCTACATGCAAGATCTGTACGGAGATTCCCTGACCATCTATAAAATCCTTGAGGCGTGCGCGTGAGTGACGATTAATTGACTACCATCCTTAAGACTGCTTATTGCGTACGATGACTGGTTGACCTCCTAGTACGTACCCTTCCTGAGCCATACCTCAGGGGAGTCTAGGAAGTCTAGGGTGGTGATTGCCTGACGTACACAGGCAGATTGTGAGCGACAAATTGTCAATCATCTACCTGCCTTAGTCGAACGGGTTCCCTTCCCCCTTGCGCAATCTCTTGTAGGTTAGAACATTGGTGTGACAGCGCTCCTTGGCAAGCATCACCGTGTTCAATTGCTTGCGTGAAACCGCTGATGATCCAGGGTGTTGACACATGTGCCACAGGCAGTTCTCCCGCGTTAAGGAATCGATCGATGCGGATATGGTGGATTCAGAGTTGCACAATTTATTGAACGAGCTCTCAAGCGAAGGGATGCACCATCAAATTGGTTTGTTTGTCTATCATGTGTTGCTGGCATCGAACTCAATAATCACTGCAGGGGTAGACGGCGTCACGGCGTTCGCACTATGAAATAGACTTTGAGAATAGGACGAAAAATCGTCATATACGTTCACCACCGTGAGCGAGGCAATGTGGTTCATCACAAGATACGATGTCTACAATATCAGCCGCTCCCCTGCAAGATATGTGCATTGATCCATTGCGATGCATACCATGAGTTGGGACATCAAGCATATTTGAAGATTGAGGCATGCATCGTCCTGGTACGGTACGGCGGACCAAATAAACAATGTCGCATGGTAGGAAATTGGTTGTTACACACCGATAGGCTGCTAATCTTCTTTATATCCCCCTGTTAAACTTCTCAATCTTGCTGGTCATGCTGGGCTTTTTGCTCATTCTGCTGGAAATCTTTGTCCACCTTGCCACTAAGCTTGCTCGCGGGCGTCCTGGGATTCCGAGAGTCGAGATACTCTCTGATCGGTATTTCACTACTCACCCACTTGAAATCACTCGGCCATTGCGAGAGGTTTCAATCCGAAGTGAGTGAAGCCATACTCATCATATAAGGCTATCCATTCCGTGTCAGTGGCGCCGTTCTCCTTTAGCCAGTTCTTGACCCGAAGATCTTCCTCGTCTTCTTCTGGCCACACCCAGTCATCACAAAAGTGTGTGAAGAAGAACACACGACTGCTAAGTGGGTCGAACTGCCATGTAAGGCATCCACTCAAAACGTCCGGTTTATTATCTGCGAGCCAGTTATTGATCGGGATTTTCAGTTGGCCGTCTTTGAACTGAGTATCATTGATACCGAGAGTCTTGTTGACAGTACGAGCTGAGGAGGGGGACATATGATATCCGCCGAGATTGATATCTGAGTGCCATTAAATTAGAACCCAGAATCTACAGACCACAACAGAAACAGCGGCGCACGTATGACATCTCCCCAACGAATGAGTCTGCTCACATCTTGAGTATCAGGTATTCTCTTCTGGGCTGCACTGGAATGAAAGATGCGCGACATGGAACGCAGACGAACGTTTGAGATTGAGTGCGTGAAAAAACGATGAGGTATGCGCGATACATGAGTTAGTAGCGCTGTCATGATATCAGTAGACCATATTAGGAGGTCTTGACTTGTCAATGTATATATGGTGGAGTAAATAGGAGAGTTTCCATTTAGGACTGTTTGACTCGCGAGGAACCTCTGAGTCCTCCCGCACCTAACCGTTACTGGACTGAACAAACCAGTTCTGTTAGTGCAGAACCGGAAGGAGGCAACTTTACTTTCTGACATAGTGCTACGACAGTCACAATGTTAATCTCTAGCCAGTCATGTTCAACCTCACACTACTTGCTAACAAGTTTCCTGCGATTCCGAGACAGATACTTTTCGACCGTCATTTCTTCAACCACCCAGTCCCTCGGCATTGAGGAAGGTCGCAACCCGAAGCGAGTGAAGCCATACTTGTCATATAAGGCTATCCATTCCACACCAGTGGCGCCATTCTCCTGTAGCCAGTTCTTGACCCGCAGATCTTCCTCGTCTTCTTCTAGCTGCTCCCTTGAGTCACAAAAATGGGTGAAGAAGAACACACGACCGATATGGGGGTCAAGCACCCAAGTGAGGCATGAACCCAGAACATCCGGTTTATTTTCTGCAAGCCAGTTGTTGATCGGGGTGTCCAGGTGACTGTCTTCGAATCGACTATCATTGATACCGAGAGTCCTGTTAACGGTACGAGCTGAGGAGGGAGACATATGGTATCCGCCGAGGTTAATGTGTGCTGATTGTGATAATATTAGAACCCAGAATTTACAGACCATGCAATGTACCTTTGTGATCCGTCTCTCCGCTAAGAATTTGTTTGCTCACGTATTCAAATATCGCATAGTCTCTTCTGTGCTGCACTGAAATGAAAGAAGCGCGACACAGAATGCGGATGAGCATTTGAGATTGAGGGGGTCAATAAACGATAAGGCATGCGCGATACATGAGTAACTTAGGGATGTCATGATAGCTGGCCAAGAAACAATTAGCCTAGAGACAGGAGAGCTTCCATTTTAAAATACACGAGTTGGAACAAATACTTACACAATGCTGTCAACAAATGAACGTGATCCTACGTTTGTACCCAGTTAACAGTCGTACGAATATCCAATAAACCCCCGTGCTCTTCAACCGACCCTGCAAACTTGGTCCTGCATTTACTTGAGAACTCTACGGCGCTAGTGATGTGCAGGGCCCGGCTTCAAGCCGAGCCAAACTGACGGCTTGAAGTAGTCTTACATTTGCTAGCAATTCATCCCGTACTTTGACGCGCTTTCTTACAGCTTGGAGGATGCGAGCGCCGCCTTGCTCGATTTGATGGATGACGTTGGAGGAAGCGGGATGAGCCTCTGCGAGGTATGGGTGGGTGCTAGAAAAACAAAGTCGGTAAGGTTTTATTGGGCGGCACAGAAGGCGGAACATGGAGATTTCATGGAGAACTCAGGAAAGAGCATTTTCTCAAAAAGGATTTGTTTTGTTCAGAAGGTTTTGGCAAACAACCTCCTTCCAAAAATGGATACGCGTACGGAGTACTCTATGCATGTGACCTCTCAGCTCTGTCATAATCGATCATCATAAGTAACCAACTAAGATCCGCCGCAACAGTGCAACAGTCTTGCTGTTTGGTATATAGTAATACTGTTGGACTGGTGCTATGCGGTCCTTCTTGATCTCGGAGAACTCTACTGATCCTTCATCATAGGCAATCTCATGCTGGAGTCGTCGTATCGATTGACGCTCGACCGCTGTGTCAGATTGAAACATTTTCCTCTTTGGAATGATATTCTTCCTTCTATTTGGTCCGCCTATGGAAGAATACCTTTGAACTTTGTATCACGGCCCGCGCTTCGAGAAAGCTCATGGGCCGGCACTTCAAAAGTAGCTTCTATCCATATCTGAACCAAGAAGTCACCACGATCTTCAAGTAATCTGATACGTCTATCAGGAGTTTGTGGTGCGCCGCCACATGCAAGATCTGTACGGAGATTCCCTTACTATCTATAAAATCCTTCAGGATCTGTCTCACCTCTATCCCTGAACCATTCAGTGCTAACGACAAGGTACGGTTATGCTCGATTTCACTCCGAGATACTGGATGCCAGAAATCCGCAACAGGTTGTGTGTCAAGTCATGTCTGAACGATCTCTTGACCAGCCCAATGAAACCTGGTGGTCTAATCGGACCCGCTCTCGTAGTGTAGACCTCGCTCAGTTCGACGACGATCTTGAGGCCAAGTCTGAGGTGAGTCCGCTGCATGTGATAGATCGTCCAAAAGTGAATGTAATCGAGCAGGGACATCCAGTATCTTGCAGGAACATCGTGGTTTTCGGAGAGACTGGAGTCGGTAAAAGCTCCTTGATCAATCTGATTGCAGGCCAGGATATCGCCCCCACATCCCCAGACGCACTTTCCTGCACCACTGAAGAGCGTGCTTACGAGGTCTGTATACGTGGCCAGAGGTTCGCTCTGCACGATACAGTGGGTCTCGGGGAGGGAAGTCATGGGTCAACGTCAGCGGATATGACTCCCGCCAAAAGTTGAAATATTTATTGAGGAAGATATCTCAAGAAGATGGGCTGCATCTGCTAGTCTACTGTATGCGTGGATCAAGGGCCACCAGAACACTACGTCATTCGTACGAAGCCTTCGCCGCGGCGGTCGCAGGGATGGAAGTTCCAGTCGTTCTTGCTGTGACATGCATCGATGACCTGTCGGAGGCAGGTGATTGGTGGGAGAGGAATAGGGCAATGATAAAGGGCCTTGGGATCCGGTTTGATGGCCATGTTTGCGTATGCACACTTCCCGGAGACTCCTACCGTGATCGCCGCTTCCAGTCAAAAATCGACATTTGCGAAAGAATCTCAGAATTGTGCAGCCATGATGGTGTTCGTGTGCGGCGCCCACGGCGCCAGAGGAGTTTGCCTTTTACTAGATGATATTTGGTGTTTGTTCGATTACTTACTTTGTATACATCTCGCTGGTATGGATTTTTTCTCCGCTAGGTTGTCATATTGAACCATGACGTAACTATGAAGTCAGAGCGGTTGTTTGGTTCCGGGGCCTTTGCCAAACACTCATTTATGGGAATCAGGCATGCTTCGCGACGGTCGGGCTTCATCGGCACGTGTAGCACCTTGAACTCAACCTCATGGATGTCATCCAGTCCATCCTGGTCCGCACAATTGGTGACGAAGAGCCAGAACTGCCACCGGGATCACCTCCAACATGTAGGTTCAGACCAGAAGCTCATTTGTCAATCTTACACCTCCCCCACCTCTAGTCAAGTTCGAGGGACCATGGTTTACGACACAAATCTTACTCTCTTCCACCATAGGATTGTCATCCTTCCTGATTTTTTCGTACTGTCGCAAGCGATGGCCATTGATATTTGCACCAAGAACGATGCTGAAAGGTATGATGTTACGTTCTTGCTAGGTATGTAGTGGAGCTAATCTCCTTCAGACTTCTCCCCGCACGACGCGCATGCTCACCAGGCGTTTTTTGGATGGATCATTCCAACTATGAAAGTGTCTGAGTATACTGTGCTGCAAATTGTTGGATTGGACGCGGCAGTGGCAAGTTTGCCACACAATGCGTATGCTAGGACATCACTAACGTGTAAAACAGCTCCTTAGCTTCTTCAAAACCTCCTTTTACCTCTTTTCCGTTTGCTCTATATGTGCTGTTTCGATTCTCATGCCTATTAATTGGAATGTACGTACATTCGCGTGTCTGAGAAAACCCAACTCATACTGCTCGTAGAATAACATCGGTCTCGGAGGAGGCGCTGACGAAGACGATAACGATTGGCCGGAATGGAATTCCACCAGTATTGATGACGACCCTATGACACCTGGACGCGACTGGCTCGACCTCATCAGCGATGCTAACTCATATCTAACGATTCATTTTCTCTTCACGTACCTTTTCACTTTCCTTGCGTTGCGGTTTCTCTACAAGAACTACCGTCGCTTCGTTCGCTCACGTCAGCTTTTCTCCCTCGAACTGGTTCATTCTATTCCAGGAAGGACTGTCATTGTGACTAGCCTACCTAATCATCTTCGGTCCGAGCGGGCTCTCGCCGAGTACTTTGAAAACATGGGGCTCAGCGTTGAGAGCGTGACGGTCTGCAGAGAAGTCGGCACCCTGAAATCCCTTCTTGACCTTAGGACCAAAGCATTGCTGAAGTTGGAGAGTGCATGGACGAAATATGTGGGGAATCCTAGCGTGGTGGAATCCTACGACCCGTCAGAGAACGTCATTCCCCCCCTCCTCGGATAGAGAGCCGTCGCTACTGGAGAACCAGCAGGGACGTTTCGTCGTACCGCATCGGCAACGTCCTACCATAAGACCGGGATGGATCTCCAGAAAAGTCGATGCACTTGAGTACCTCGAGACAAAGTTTACGGAGGCCGACGAGAAAGTCAAGAGGTGGCGTCGTATCGGGAAAACTAAGGCAACGCAGGTCGCCTTCGTTACGTTTGAGAAGATGTCCAGTGCTGTAAGCGTTGAGTTAATTGGCATTTACATCCCCCCACTAATTCATCCGTAGCAAATTGCTGTGCAAGCAGCGCACTCATGTGACCCAGGTGAAGTGAAAACCTGCCCAGCCCCTGAACCACGAGACATTGTTTGGTCGAACATCACTCATACTCCAGGAAACCTCTTGGCTCGCGAGGTGTTTGTAATTGGTTGTGTATTGGTACTGTCGTTCTTCTGGATATTCCCGATCACCGCGCTTGCGAGTCTGCTGAGTTACAAGGAGATCAAGAAAGTGATGCCTTGGCTTGGCAGACTCATCGATAGCAACGACAAAATACGTGCTATCGTACAGAATTCATTGCCGTCCGTGGCCATGATTACACTGAACGCACTTCTACCGTTTATTCTTGAAGGTGTGTTTTGCCGCCAGACATTTGGCATGGCTTTTGATTAACATTCCTAGCTTTGACTTATATTCAGGGGTACAGAGCACGAAGCTTGATTGAATACTCTCTGATGCGGAAGTCAGTCCTTTTCACTTGCGGAGAGTCTAAATTCTAAGACTTTGAAAGATATTTCTTGTTCCTCCTCATCAATGTGGTATTCATCTTCCTATTGGCGAGCACGTACTGGCAGTTGGTGCGCGATCTTGCCAACTCACCTGCGAAGATCCCGGAAAAGCTAGCTACAGCGCTTCAACAAGGAAGGGCAAAGTAAGTGGCCATATTTTTGTAATCTACACCTTTTCATCTGGGCACGTCCTTTAGGCACTTTTTCCTTTCGTATGTTATACTCCAAGGTGGGTGATGTATCATTTTTTTTTACTTGAGAGTGCTGAATTAGAACAACAGGGTTTGGTATCATGCCGCTCCAATTGCTTAACCTGGGTGTGATAATACCGCGGATGGTTTTACGCATGTTCAGGACTCGTACACCTCGAGGTAAGTACTACCACATGTCGATGGTAACCTGACTCTTACCTGGGTAGATTTTGCTGAGTTGAATGCCCCTCCCATGATCAACTATGGCGTCGTGTACCCTCAAGCGATCCTCGTATTTGTGGTGACCATCCTGTACAGCGTCGTCCAGCCCTTGATCGTTATCTTTGGTGCAATCTATTTTGGAATGGCCTACTTCGTGTACAAGTACAAATTGTTGTTTGGTGAGCAGATCCAAACTCTGTTGCGCTGGACCGTTTCTGAACTAGCTGGTTCAGTATTTTATAAGCCCTACGAATCTCAGGGCCAAGCATGGCCTCTCACGTTCGTCAGGCTCATTTGGGGCATAATCATTTTCCAGACATTTATGATCGGCATTTTGACCTTGCGGAAATGCTATATTATGTCTTCGCTGCTTGTTCCGCTGCTCGCTGGTACCGTAATCTGGTCATGGTACATCCATGAAACCTTCAAGCCTCTCAGCAGCGCGGTGTGTCTCAGTTCTGTGTGCGAGGTAGAGCGGGGAGAAGATTCGGCCGATGTAGTGAGGTTGCGGGAGGGACATCCAGTAACATGGTCGCAGAGGTGAGGTTTACATATGTTTATGTTGGACACTAATGCAGACCTACTTTCAGTAATTTGATGCGTCGGAGATACGCACAAAATGACGACATGCTCTATGTTGCTCCAGAAGACGAACGAACGGACTATGTAGGTAACTCGGTATGCGGAAATGAACGTCTGACCTACTCCACTTTCAGTCACAACCACCTATGGCTAATTGGTATAATGGCGTGTTGAAGTGAGTTGCTTTGTTTTGAAGAAATACCACGTATTCATCCATTATTTAGTACCGGGAAACGAAGATACGGACACCCTGCTCTAACTGGCGTGCTTCCTCAGCCCTGGCTTCCGTTGAAGAAAGGGCAAACCCTTGTCAATGGGCACCGTGCAGGAGGGTCGAGAGTTTCTCCATATGTCAACCAAGGCATCGTTCTCAACCTACGTAACCGCTACACCATGCTACGAGGAAAGCTTCGAGCATCGCGGCAATCTCGCCCCGCTACTGACGGCACTCTTACCGACATGAGTGCCTCTGAGAACCAGGATGGTGTTCCTGCTCCAGATGTTGGAACTTCAAACCCATGGATGGATACACGCACGGCACGCGGCGGGCGTGGATCTCAGCCGCATAGCAGCCTCAATCACCGCTTGAGCTTCGACCCTGCTTCGGGTGTCATCATGTTACCAGAAGACGGTGACTGGTTGATAGACGACGACTCTGACGATGATTACGGGACTATGAGTCCGACGCCTGAGGCAGCCCACAGCCCAAGCAACGCATCTCAGGAGAACCTGTTGCCTACAAATGGTCAATCACCATCCACACCTCTTGCTTCGCCCAGCAAGCGACGACACGGCACGTATTACCATCACCCAGAGCGTCGTCGCACAGTTCCTGGGTCATTTCCCTTGCCAACATGAACCCAATCCTATTTACCTCATATCCTAGATTTGCTCCCGACATGCCATATTGCGCTCCTACCTTACATGCTCTTGTGAAATTCTGGACACTCGGAATTTATAAATATGTTTCAAGAATCTAAAGCTGCAAGAAGGGAACAACATTTGAGTAGGAGAAACCAAATTCGTATCATACGCTTGTTGGGTCGCCATTTACGGCAGCCTGGCGCCTCAGGTCAGTCTTCTTGCTGATCTGCACATGGTTGGACCATAGTATCGATCACCAGTCAAGTGTCGATCGGATGGTTGTGTTTCCAGAAGTGTTTTTTCAAGGCACGTTGCACCTCCTAAGATGTCTGAACAAACAGGAATCTTACTGAGATTTATTGCGTCCAGTAGCACAAGCTGAATGTAATGGTGTACCCTGCAGTACATACAGCCTCATGTGACCCCTGTGATACCAGCGTTCTGGTTCAGGTATCGGGCCTTCCTCGAACATCATCAGAGGCAAGTCGCAGCCTTGGGGTTAATACAATTCACTCGATGAAGGATTTCCAGTCCTATCATCGCACTCCCGGACCACATAATTCTTCGTGCCCTGATGCACTGACTGAAGGTAGCCATTGATTCCTTGCAATTCAGATCAAGACGCACTGATCCTCTTCACTAGTACTATTAACACGTTCGCCTGTATGATCGGCCGGTCCTGTCAGGCATACGCGGACACAGGATTTCTATGTATCAGTCCAACATAAGTCCTGTAAGTCCTTCTGCTGAGGTATAAAGTCGCTGCACGTACTCGCTCAACTTACCCTTTTTTACCCAGCAAACCTCTATTGATATGCAGCTTTCTTATTTGATCATCCTTGCCTGTTCCATCTTTATGGGCGTCAACGCCACCACTGGCGGCTGCAATGGGATTGGCGCGGTTTGTGTACAGGATCAGGATTGTTGTTCTCAAAATTGCTTTGCTGATGTAGGTGGCCCCGAATGGGACTTATATATAAGCCTTGATACTTATGACGCCTCTCCCTGCACAGTTATGTGTGCCAGCTCATTATCTGTGAATTGTGGAAGCATCCTTTCCGTGTTGTGGTAGGCGTTTCTTTGTCTGACATGATGCATGATGTTTAACATGTGTAACACAGTGACTTGGATGATACTCCTTAACGCCAACGGGGCCTTTTGGATGAAGTTATTGGATGTGATACTTGGTTCTCCTTCGTTGGGTTATGTACAGACGTCATGCCATGTTCTTCATGCGTGTACGTGTGATAAATGAAGAACACGCTGATCTATGGACACATAAGCTCACGTCAGTGCTGGTTCTCCATCACACCTCAGGGAAGCTTTCAAGAATTGTTAATTTTTCCACACGAACTAAGGCCGTGATATCATAGCTACAACTTTCTCTCTCAAAATTACCGATGCTTGTGATGTGTCGAAATTCGTCTGATTGACGCTGCAGCCATGTTTTTTTGTGTCGCCAAGTCCCCATGCAAACATTTGCCACCGCCCCGTGGGAATAAATCTATGGTGGATGTGATTGCGCACCCCCATGATAAACGTCATATATGAAGACACATCACGTGAAGATATATAACTTATAACAGACAAATGACGGTGAACGTTCCTTCCGAGGCTAGTACTAGGTTTTCGGAGGAGACTCGAATGTCTCTTAAAGCGAATACACGCCGAGCTCGAGGCGAAGTCTATAAAATACCAGCATGCATGCTATGGCTTTGAATTGTTCACTACAACAAGTTCCATAATGTTCACTTCCCGCTTCACCATCCTTGCGCTGCTCACCTTCCTCGCTGGCGCCAACGCGGGATGCGCAACGTGCCAAAACACGTTGGAAGTTAATGGTGTGGCGACCTACACGCTAGTCAGCTACTACGTGAAGTCCGACAATGGGTTCACAGAATGCAGGTATGGCACACCCACATATCTACATCAACCAAAGTGACTGACGGTCCGCCAGCTACGTGGATAAGAAGGGCGACCAGGTGACCTGCGAGTATACGGTACGTGCTTTATGGGTGCTGTGCCGCTCATCGTTCTCGTTTGACATACTGGCGGTCATCAGAACGTCGGCTTGTTGGAGGACGGGGATTCCACATGTCCGCAATGGTCAAGGATGGACGGGTATGGGTGTTGAGCAGGATGTAAAGTGGAGAAGGGGACATAATGCCCAACGGGAGGAGCCATATCAGTCTGCAGACACCGGGGCACATCATACATTACAAGAATTTCCCTCATGCACATCTTGTCTTGACCAGCTTGTAGTCACCTTGAATCCACTTGAGCATTTCGAGAGATTCAGTTTTCCTCCCGGCCTGTCAGTGTCGCGAATTCGATCCTTGGGGCGAGTTCCGCGAGTCCAGTCGATCTCGGATGGAGACACTGCTTCAAAGACAACCAATAAAGATTGACGCGCATTTACACATCATATAATAGTCTAAGTTCTCTCATGATACGCGTAGTACACAATAATTTATGGCATCAAGTAGTGTGACACTTTGAACGCGTCCGCCTCACTTCTTTGGCGCTTCTTCCACCTCGCGGCCGCCCATGTCATGCACCACTATACCCTCACTCTCACATGCAAGACTGCTAAGTCGACTCGTGTATGCGCTCTTGGAAAACAATTGTAGCCATGGTAGTTCCTTCATCGGAGTTGGCCAGAAGCTGAGCGTGATATGCTCGAACGCTAAGGATGAGGCGTGGTCCCAATACAAACAACTCCATGACGGAGGCGATTTGATAAATGCCATTATAAACCTCATCTGCCACGAGAGAGACATTCTATAGGAACAACGAGTGGTCAAACTCGGATCCAAACAGTGACAGATTTATGCGTACCGACAGATTTGGGGACAGGGTGCCGAATGCCAAGGAAGAGATAACAGCAAAGCTAGCACATGAGGAGCTTCAGCAGAAAAATGGTATGACATTCAAATTGCGAGCTCACGCTCCAAAGTAAAACACGTGTGTCTTGATTAGCACCGCAAAGCAGTCCCTGACGGACCATCTCGATTGTGGTTGCAGTTCACGGTAGTGTTTTATGACAATCCAGACTGCAAGACACAAGGTGAGGACCTCCCATGCGAGTGCAACGACGAATATCCAATCCCTGCCAATCAGAAGTGGGGCATTTCCATCCAGGTAGTAGGACTCGCAGTAATAGTTACCAGAGAGGATGAACTCCTCTGAAATTTGTCTCATAAACCTGGTGCGCTTAAAGTTCGCCTAGCATAATTAAAGCTTACCCCCTCGAACATTTTGATCTGATATTGCGAGGGTCACCCCTCCTGCGATCGTGAGTGCCAGGCAGTTTACAACCAAAAATATGAGCATCTTTCTGGACCCCTGGTACATGGCATGTAGCCGAATGATCATGACGACTTGCACGATGTTTCAGTCAAATCAGAGCTACTGCAGCTGAGGAGCTCACCGTCCTGTATGACAGTTGTGACGACAGCCAGCCAGTTTCCTACCAACGAAATAATAGTGCCTGCAAAACCCGGTTACTGATGAGTCTCGGAGATTCTTCAAACAAACTTACAGCTGTTGTGGTCATTATATTCAACCTACAAGCCAGTCAAGAATCTTACTCACCCCTACGTAGAAGTACAGTTGGTTAGTTCGGATTGGTAAGGTTCGATGCGGAAGACCCACCGTATCTGTCATCGAGATTGATGGGATATTCGCTGCATTCCGCCAGTCAGAACGGTGAACACAGTATTTGCGAGAAAAAATTCCCATTATGTTTATGCTGCTCGTGAGAGATGGCTTATTAGCACATTGCCAATTTATTCGCCATGAACACGTACACACAGTACAATACTCCAAGGCAGCGCACCTAGAACATTCTGTAAGTCTGCACAGCTCGTCAATGGCGATTATAAGATAATGCACGCACACTGAGATATAGAACGGTAACGAGGGACCAGCGTCGTGTCTGCCCTGCATTGATTGTATTATCCATTTTGATATGGGACTATACTCACCCAGACCAGTTCGAACTATAAAAACATACACGGTGAGATGACTACTCCGACAATGGCATTAACCTACCTCTTGTCCAGATATTAGTACTGGAGAGTACGATAAGGACATCAGTAATTTCACGATAACATGTATTGTGCTCACCCCAATCATAAATCATTACAACACAAGATGCAACTACGAAATCATAATCAATGATCGAGTGAGAATATCACCAACATCTCGTCAACGAACCTATAGAGTAGCTGTTAACAAGGGAAAAGGTGATTAACGGCCACCATCTAGGATCATTTGAGATTAGTGTCATATTCAAGGGGTTGTGTTGGTGAGCAGTGAACTTGGTGGACTACTTATAACAACTGCAAAGCTGTGTCGCGCGGAATATTTGAACACGCAATTTTTGCATAGCTGTCGAATAGATGATTGTTTCCAAGCCTCAAGGCCACTCTCAAGCCATTCTTGAAAGGTTCTTGTTACGCTTGCATCGGATCTATGACTATCAGCGAATGGCGAGTGCTTGAGATGTGTGACCCCCGAGTTTATTCAAATTGGTCACTGATCACAATACAGTCACTCATCAAATAGGTTCTTCATCATGATTGATCACAAGATGCGCCCCTTGAAGTCGGCGAGTTCCGAAAGTTTTTGTACCAGATGCGGGCTCTGGATTGAGAATGCGAGGTGTGCAGCGTATCAATTGTGGATACAGTGCATCACAGTCGACAGGGTACTTCGCGGAGTCGTCCAGGAGTGACATACGCCAGACAACAGTGATGACCGATGGATCATAAAGCGCTTGCTCAGGATGGCAGCCTGTCAATGGAAGACCTAAATTTAAAGCAAAGAATCAGCATCGTAAATATACAACTTGAAATTGTTTACGTATACTTTACGTCAGTGTACAAGGCAACTATCTCCATTTGTCAAGAGGCGTGCGACGGCGAAATCCGAAACACTGACTACTTGCTTACCGTAAGCAGAAACTTTAATTTCAGCCACTTTGGCGTTATCTCGCGTTGTCGTCCGAACTTCTCTCCAGCGCCTTCAGATCTCAACAAAAACTTTCTGCGACCCGGGGGAGGTGGTGGTTATTGGGGTAGTAGGATAGTCTTAGGTAGCTAGATTAAGTAGTTTCCTACCTCGTTGCTTAATTGCCCTGCAAACTGTTTTTTTTTTTTTTTGATTTTTCACCCACGTGAGTCACGAAATCCATGTGATCAATGAATGTGACGATGTCATAGATGTATAGACATATGTCCTAAGTCCTTGAATGCATCGCCGTGTTCTGTCCCTTAATCTTATTCAGCCATCATATGATGTATCCACCCCAGAATGAATCATGGTTCCCCGCTGAGTCTCAAGCATCCACCGAGTCTCAAGCATCCACCGAGTCTCAAGCATCCACCGAGTCTCAAGCATCCAACTCACAAAGCAGGTACACCTCTCCAACCTTTGACTATGATCAATTTGAGCCATACCACACGTTCAGTCCTTCTCAATGGACGCATAACCCCAGTCTTAGTCCGATCGACATCAATTCACGTTCTGATACCTTTAATTGTGATAGCCCAGCTCCTGTCGATACCCCAGTCCTCTTCTCTTCCATCAATCAGACAGGAACAGGAAGCAAAGCACCCGAAGCTGCTCATTCCGATGATTCCCACATGCTGGCGCTTGATATTGACGCCTTGCTCAAATCAAATACCCCCGGTGATCTCCTTCAACTATTTTCGGCAAACTTAATCAAACGACATGCTGGAGCATCTCGGTGGGAGATAGAATGCCCTGATTGCCAAGATTGGATCAAAACAACGTTACCAACACGAATTCTCACAGATCTTGATGCTCCCGGCTACTTCAATACCCTCAGTGACCATCGCCACGGTAAAAAGTGCTCGAAGCGTGCCCTTCAGCTTAAATCTTCGCCGTCAAGCACTAATTCTGATCGCATCTCCTCCTCTTCATCGCCTACCGAATATTCGGCTCCAATGACACTAGCTGAGAACTCTGACGTTATCAGTACAGCATGCACTGGTGTTCCGATCGACTGGCCAGTCAGAGGACCTTCATTTCTGGAGACTTTCCCAGTGGGTCGTGCTTCTGATGGCCGAGGCGCGCTTCCTTTTGATATTGATACACGGGGTGCTATTCCGCACGCTTACTCAAAAAATTGTGATCGGAACACAACATCGGGATCCCCTTGCACAGAATGTGCTGATATAGTCCCATTCCTTGAGCATCTTGTCTCAGTTGCACAGGACATCAAATCACACACTCACTACCGTTATCGAAGCCATTTCGACATGGTTCAAGCGGTGCGTCAGTATGCCGAAGAGGCTAACCGCTTGAAGCTCAAGGTTTGTTTTATCACTTACGAGAAACTTTAACTGATAAGCTTCAGGGGCTTAATGATGCGAGACGTGTCACTCATGTCCTCACGCGCTTAGACGAATACAAGTCATTAATCATGGCATTGTCTGAAAATGACGTCCCTCGCATACAGCATATCCTCGCTGTTGCACTTAAGCGAGGATCTTCCATTCGCCAAATCATTAATACCCTTGAGGACGCAATCGCCGGAACTTACCATCCTCGAGGCTATAGCGGAGATGACCTCGACATCGCCTTATTAGCATACCGCCTAGGAGGACGTCAACTGTTGTATGCTTTTAGTTGTCACTTAGGCCTGCCCTCGTTGTGTACACTGCAAACCCACCGCACTTTTACATCCATTTCGCCTACAATCGGCTCCATTACAGCTGAACAGTTTGACGCTAATATAAAGACTCTGATCCTCACACCTTTGCAGAGCACCCTCGTCCCTCATCGTGGGCATTCCATTATGATGGACGAAATCGCACTGGAGGAACGAGCCTCCCATCACTGCGCCTCGAATAGTGTCATTGGACTCTGTCACTCTCACTCTCACCTCGTCGATCCCACGCTACACACATACGACTCAGCGCTTCGAATTGCAGAGAAACTTGCACAAGGTCACATCCATCTTGGAAAAGAGATGTCCGTGCTTGCCATAGGTTCCTTTGGGGACGATGAGATTTTCCCCATTCTCGCTGCACCTACTTGCAAGTGTGAGAACGCAGAGAATATGATCTCTATCTTTACCCTGGCAATAGACCGTTGGCGAGAGACTGGCGCTGAAGCGCATCTCGGACCAATATTCAGTGTTGCGACAGATGGCGATTCAACACGGAGGGCTGCTGGCCATGCAATGTTTCTCAAGACTAAGCTACCCACAACGTCCAGACTTTACGGGACCCTATCACATATGCTGGGACTCAATCTCGCTACGGGTGACCATGAGATTACGTTGGACTTTGATTTAAAACATATTCTCAAACGTGAGTACATTTTTTATTCATTGTCGTATATGAGACTTAATTAAGTAACAGGATGGTGCACGTTGTTGCGTACTCGTAAAGGCATGAAGCTCGGCAATGGACACTCTATTACTAGCGCAGTACTCGCTCGCTACCTTGCGTGGCTCCCAGATATGGATGAAACTTCGGTGACCAAGCTTCTCAATCCCGACGATCCGCAGGATGTGCCGCAAGCTGTTGAGCTCATGCAGGCCATCATTGTGCTGTCGAAGTTCAACATTGACACCGTCACAGGTGATGTTGGTATGTGCGCAGATATGGCTTCAATCAAATCCCTTGGCGCTATCTTAGAATCACTCCTCCTTCCATTTATCGACGTCACCTTATCACTCCAGCAGCAGGTCACACACTTAAGCCGTTACGCACATCTCATGTTCACCTTCTTCCGACTGTACCGTTCAGCATTCATGCTGCATGTCCTCTATTACGACTCCCAAACGATGGTGAAGAATGTCTGCTTTTGCATTGCGAAGCAGCAGAAGCTCGATGGCGGCCATTTCTGGATTATCCAGACGGGCGACGACCGTCTGGAGAAGTTATTTGGCATCACTCGGATGCGCGGCCAACACAATTCGGCCATGAATTATTCGCAGGCCCTCAATCGCATTGGTGCCGCCAAGGATATAGATGTTGTATTCAAGAAACATCCAGAGCTCGAGTCTGGCTCGCGACGCCTCAAGATTACTCGCACCGAAGGCTATGATCATATTCGCAGGGACATGTGGGTCGGAGACGTTGTCACAGCGCACTGTGACCTCCCCTCTTCTTGGAAAGAGGGTCGCGAGCAGGCAGTGACTCTCCTTGGGGAGGCTCGCATCCTTGGAGACTCCTTCGCCTTTCAAGTCTTTTTTTCACATCCAGGATGCGATCTCATGTGTCCTTGGGGAGGCAATAAGTATCTGGGGGTTAGTAGTACCATGGATGCGCAGGAGGTTGATCTGAGAGTCGAGGAAGCTATCCCTACTCTCCCTACTCTCCCTACTCCGCATACACCTTCCTCCACTGAGGATGTTCCCCTCGAGGATGATGTCCTGACTCTTGAGGAGGCACTCATGCACAACCTCCCCTCCGGAAACCCTACCGTCGACATTTCAGCACACTCCGTTGCTCCCACACTCGCGAGCGGACCTGGGATCAACCCCGATGATTTTCTCCTTGTGCACGGCAAGTACGTTCACAAGGAGACCATTTGTCGTTGTGTCCTCAACAAGTACTTCATTCGCAAATCCCTCAATCAACAAGAACGTGTCTACAGTACTGGGTTCACAAAAGCCAACCGACGATGTGATCTTGTAGGTCGGTCTATTACTGGCGGAAACTCATTCATCATTGGCGACGTCTTCCTCACCATCATCCGTTCCAACATCACACTTACAATCGCACTCATTCGCTGCACTCTTATCGAGCGGGATAGTGTCACTCGACACGATATCCTTGTCCCCGAGGTCGCGACTTCATCTGTCAGGCTCACAGGTCAAATTCTGTCCCTTATCCCCTCTCGCAAACCTGCAGGAGAGCGCTCCTGGCTCTGGACTGGAGATTACATCAAGACTAACTCCGAGATTCAAGGTACCGATCAACACATGGAGAAGATCGTGGAAATCACCGTTCCTGGGCTTCTCGTCGAACTCGTTAACCCCGATACCACATGCATCCGCTTCCGTGACGACGTCAACTCTGACAACTTCATCGCTCTGAACAATATCGGGAATACCTGGATCATCGACGAATCAGCTCTTGCCCTCGCGTGCGATGTGTTGTGGGCCAAAGCATGTGAACATTCAATTACCATCAAGTCTATTCTCCATGTCCCTCCTCCGTCGGACTCTTCTGTATTTCCTTACGCTCTTCCTGATGGTAAGTTCATCATTTTTATTTACTGCTCGAATATTCTAACATTGTAATACTACTATTCTAGGCTCTACAGGGATCACTTGCGCTGAAGCAAGCCAGCAACTCGCTGCCGCAGAATCAGGAGCTCTGATGGAGTGTCCACTGTGCGGGGCAAAAACAGACTCCATGCGCGCACACGTCGGCCGTCATATTCTGAGAGCAAGGCATGGTCTCCTCGAGGAGAATCTGAAAGAGCAGGTGCGTATTGAGTGTTCTTCCCGCTGATCAAGACTTACAATTTATTAGGTTGGTGTTGTACAGCCATGCGGGTCCTGTGGGCGATCTGGACTTGAAGGATGCAAGATCCAGGTCAAAATTAGCGCCAATGGTGTCATTTCTGTCGTGACGCACTGCCCATACCACACTAACTTCAGGTACGCGAACGCCAACGCTGGATCGAGGAACCGTCCTTGCCACAACGTGCCTATCAAGTGCGAGTTGTGTCACCCTACTCTTGCGCCTGTTACAGGCAAGAAATCCCGCTCTGGTGCGCCATACGTGGACGCGATATGGCGTTACAACATGATCGATCATCTCAACGAAACCCACCCACAGTATGCGCATCCCATGAACACCCACGGTCATCCTCTCCCACCAGATATTCTCAATTCGTTCACTCTTACATCCCTGGAACAACATGAAGCTGGTATTCCCGAGCTACTCTGGCTCGTCCCTCTATTCGATGGTGATAAGGAAAATCAGGCTGGACCCAGCTCCCACAAGCGGAAGTCCAACAACGCCGCCAATGGGAATGCGAAGAAGGCTCGACCAACTTTATAGTATTTGTTTTTTTCACGCTTTTACTTAGCTATGCTTTGCAAGACTCATGGATTTCAGTTAGTTTAGTATGATACATTGCACTACGATAGCTGCTGTACTGTCTCGATTACTTTTTTACACGTTATATCGCACACGACACGTCAACGACGCGTCTACAATGACACGCGTCTGGTGAAAATAACAAGTGTTACTTATTTCCTTATTGGGATGTTACCCTCACGTGAAGTCACCATCACGGTGGTGGTGGTGGGTCATTGAACTATATTAGTCAGTGTCTGGAACTAACGGGTCGCACACCTCTTGCCATTTGTCTGATATGGTTCGGTGACCTATTACATAAGCAAATGGTATATAGCGCCTCGCGCATCGTCCGTGCATGCCTATGCATACATAATTTTTCATACTATGGTAGTGCAATTACTCCACCAAGCTTTCAATTCAAGGGCACATCAGTTCTGTTCTACAAAGCAAGGCAGGCCGAAACACTCACCTAATCTCCGCATCCCTCCCGTCATGTACCTGCAAACTCCAACGGTTCTCCACACCCAAAACACGGTGATAAGCATTCAGGTTCTTGTGTAATGTGAGTTGGAAGACGCTGAAGCTGCCTTGGCAGGAGATGATGGTGCTGTAGGTGAGGAAGAAGACCCAGATGTGGTACCACCATTCACCGTACTTGTCTACGACCTACACGAACACGTGAAAGTCAGTATGGAGCATGGGGAACACATGATGATAAGATAGGAAGACGGGAGGAATCATGTCAGTCTGTAGACACCGGGGCACATCATACATTACAAGAATTTCCCTCATGCACATCTTGTCTTGACCAGCTTGTAGTCACCTTGAATTCACTTGAGCATTTCGAGAGATTCAGCATTCCCCCTGGCCTGTCAGTGTCGCGAATTCGATCCTTGGGGCGAGTTCCGCAAGTCCAGTCGATCTCGGATGGAGGCACCGCTTCAAAGACAACCAATAAAGATTGACACGCATTTACGCACTCATACACATCATAGTCTAAGTTCTCTCATGATATGCGTAGTACATGATAATTTCTGGCATCAGGTAGTGTGACACTTTGAACGCGTCCGCCTCACTTCTTTTGAGCTTCTTCCACCTCGCGGCTGCACATGTCGTGCACCACTATACCCTCATCCTCATATGCAAGACTGCTAGTCGACTCATGTATGCGCTCTTGGAAAACGATTGCAGCCATGGTAGTTCCTTCATCAGAGTTGGCCAGAAGCTGAGCGTGATGTGCTCGAACGCTAAGGATGAGGCGTGGTCCCAATACAAACAACTCTTTGCACCTGACCGTCACCGCTTATGTTACTACTTAGTAATATTAGCACATATGCTACGACGTTCCTAATTAGAGGGAAAAGTCTACCACACAAGACTTCAGCGATTTCTGCAGCATTTACCAGTGACTTGTAAGGTATTTTCTTGCCGGCTATATACCCAGCTATACCCGGTGTATAGCCGGGTGGCTATTATTATGCTTATGTACTAATCAGCAGCCGGCAATTCCCGTCAGGTCTCCGCACCGTCTCCCACGACCTACCAACATGCGAGCTCATCGTCGTCGACGATGAGCTCGCTTATATGGCTCATATTTATGCCTTTTTCAAGCGCTTTTTTTGCCTCTGTGCATGGGAGCCTGTCTGCCTTATCTCCACCAGCAATATCCGGCTTTAATTCACATTTTTAACGGTCTATGGAATGTAAGGTATGTTCATGTTCTGGGGCAAGCTTACTAAGCTTTTTCCTAGTCATCTCTAGTGCTGCCGCGGTCGAGCTCATCGTTGTCAGCACCTGACAACGACGAGCTCAAATTCCCACAATGATCATGTGATCTATGTCACATGCAAAGCAAAGGCTTGCCGCTCCACCATCACCTCATCTCCACCCCACTGTTGACAATGGGGAAGCAGCCCACTCTCCGTTCAACATCATGCCGTGTGACTATGACAGTCCTCCGTAGCTCTGGTCTACATACTTCTTCAGCTGGACTCACTCGTATTCGCCGTGATCACCTTGAAGCTGAATGCTTGAGAGAACAACAAGCCCGTGGTA